AACCACTTCACTGTGCATTTAGGTGCTTGGTTAATACATAGGCCTAGTAATGTTTTATATAGAATGCTGTTGTACTATTATTATTGTGATTTTTAAGAATTGCGATTCTAGGTATTGTGATTCGATATTCCTATGTATTGCGATTTTTGTTTGTATCATTCAACTTTTCCCCATGGTCTAAAGTTAAAAAAGCACATACATGATGGTGCATGTGGTATATCCGAAGATGTCTCTGTCCGCCATTTTTCACTTTCTTGTGTCCATTACTAGGAGATATGATGTCATGTAAGACACTGACACAACACATATCACCCTCTCAGGACTCAATACTAAGGATTTTTTCTACTATTTTCTGCAGTGATTCAAATTTTTATTTGCCCTGCAAAAAATGTCACTGGCCCCACCACAAAAAAGTAATAAATAAATAAGATAAATAAAATAGTCCTTGTTATTGTCTTAAAACTACTGGCCTAACTCATGTAAATTTCAAATATTTTTAAAGGCATGTAAATTGGCTAAATAAGAACAAATAATCAAATTATGAGCAATAGCACAAATACAAAAGAGCAAACATACAAATAAAACAAACACTGCTTTTCATGTTAAGGTAAGTCTAACAGTAATTTTCAGGTAGAAAAAATGAATAATCAAATATAAAATAGCACTTCATAGTCTTCACTGTATCAATACAGATTCATCCTTATTAAAGTTACAAAAGTTATTCAGTCAAAAACAGTGAGTGTTTCTTTTTCTTTGTCCTTTGTTGTTTGATTAAAGGGATAGTTCACTTTGAAATAAATTTTTGATATGTTTTAGCTTACCTCGAGGGCATCCAAGATGTAGGTGTCTTTGTGTCCACAGTATTTTCAATTTTGATATTTTTAGGTCAAACTATTCTTGTCTGTCAGTCATATAATGCAGGTCTATGGGGTCCACCTCAAAGAGCATGCACAGAGAAGTCCAAATTAAACATGATTTAATGACTCGTAAATGTTACTCATTGATGGCCTAAGACACGAAACGAGCGGTTTGTGTGAGAAAACGAACAGTATTTATATCGTTTTTACCTCTTGTAAACACAGCCACGTCCAAGTGATCTGAGGGCGCGGGCGCTTCGTTCTTTTCCGGAAAGCGCCGGAAGTGAAACCTCGCGCGTGTACATCACTCATTGTTTACACAGAGCAGAGATTGTAGGTAAGACGGCTAATTAAAAGGGTACTAATTTGCGCTTATCCGGGATGTTTAAACCATCGTAAAAGAAAACAATTCCAAAAAAATAAAAAATAAACAATTGTATGAGTGACGTACACGCGCGAGAGATCACTTCCGGTGCTTTCCGGAAAAGACCGAAGCGCCGGCGACCTCAGACCACTTGGACGTGGCTGTGTTTACAAGAGGTAAAAACGATATAAATATTGTTCGTTTTCTCACACAAACCGCTCGTTTCGTGTCTTAGGCCATCAATGTGTACTTACATTTACGAGTCATTAAATCATGTTTAATTTGGACTTCTCTGTGCATGCTCTTTGAGGTGGACCCCATAGGACTGCATTATATGACTGACAGACAAGAACGGTTTGACCTAAAAATATCAAAATTGAAAATACTGTGGACACAAAGACACCTACATCTTGGATGCCCTTGAGGTAAGCTAAAACATATCAAAAATTAATTTCAAAGTGAACTATCCCTCTTAACCTTCTCCAGAGCGTCGGCGCACTGAAGCGTTTTTTTATTTATTTAGTTCAAATATACTATCAGATTTAATGTTATACCTTGACAAACTATACATCATTAAAAAGATATAAGACTCAAGATTCAGTATTTGACCACTATTGTATTCTGAGAAACTTATAGTGACAGTTATGTCTTAATTTGTGTAAGGAGTTATGAAATGAAAAAAACGAGTCGATACCTTTAATATGAATTATGAGCGTCAGCTGGTCCATTCATAAAAAACACTCCGTGCTGTCCTCATGATAGCGATTCACAAAACAACGTCCCTGAGGGCTTTTAGCTCAACAATGTGCAGATGTGGAGAAATATTGATATATTCTCATAGATTCACATCATATTTCTATAGACAGGAATAATATTTATTGAATTTATACCCAAATGCGTCGATGTAATCATAATGATCGCTTCTTACTGAGATGTGCTGTGTTTTCCATTCATACCAATAGCATGGGGGCGCTATTATGTCCAATAAAAGTCCATATATGGATCATGAAGAAGACCCATAGTCATGTGACATTCCAGGACGTCACTGAGTGATACAGAAAGTACAGAGATCGCTGTAACATGCAGATAAAGATGTTTTGAAGACAATAAACATGATTGCAATGATATTTGAGTTACCTGTGTTCTTCAAGCCATGCCAGGTATTTCATAATAATAGATTATATTTATAATGTAATGCTAATCGATATAGCTTTCATCATCGTTCAGAACACATTTTCTGTCTGATTTTTTTTTTATCTGAAGCCAAGTTAGATCACAGAAGATTATTTAAAACACTAGACTTGCGTTATATAGTGAGTTTGGAGCGCAAACATAGTTTTAATCTCATAAATGGTCGTGTATTGATGGTGTGCTAAGCTAACATGCTAGCGAGCCCAGGCGCACCTGCCACGAGCAGTTATTGTTTTATGATTTTTTTCTAAATAGGAATGCTTACTGAAATGTTTCAGTGCATTTGATACCAGTTTCAAATATTTAGTGAGAACTTTGATAAAAGAAATTAGGGTTTGAAACCCTATGAATAGCTTGTGAATAGCCAGTCGTTAGTAGCTATAATGCAAACAAAAGAAATGCATATTTAGAGCCATAATAACCAGTCTGGAGAGGTGTAAATGTGTGCAGGGGAGACTGAGACTGAATGGGGCACCACAAAACAATAGAGACAATAGACTGAATAGATGACTCAGAAGATGACTAAACATCAGTTTGCTAATAGAGTCTAATCAAAATAAAGTAATTTGACATGATCTTGAAAAACATTTAACTAAATACAGAGCTTTATACTTATCATTTTCAGATTTTAAATATAAAATGGTCAGACATGTGGCTTTAGCTGCAGTGCATTTCTAGATTGCTCCAGGGCCAACTTCAATTTTATTTTCATGAAGATGTTTCATAAAAATAAATTTCTAATAACTTTACAAAACTTTGAAGCTATTTAAAATTGTTTTTTTCATTATGACAATAATTAATTCTACATTTACAATAAACAACCAAGTGTCAGCTTTCAAATGAGATCATACTTGTGCTTTTAGTGCAAAGGGTTCATGAACTGTATCTGTTTTAGTTTGGGTATGTCATTTCTGGGGATTTTTCAATAGTGGGCTTGAAGCTTAACAGGTTAACATTAAAACAAAGACAGCAGCAGGTTTATTAGGCTCCTGTCACTGCACAGATCCAATATACTGATACACATGCTTTTTATTTCTCAACTGTTTATATTCACTTTCACTTAAGACATAACAAACTATGTTTACTAGGATGCTTGCAGAGACCAGAATTTTTTGACGTGATTTTGTGTGAATGTCCGTTCAAGCGCAAGAATGCGTGAAATAGAGCTCTATTCAGCATTCGCACGCTGTCTGAGAAGCGGCTTTCTGGGCGCGCGCTTCTGATGTGTGCGCACACACAACTTCTCACACTTTTGAATTGAGCTCTCTTCTGCGTCTTCTTGCGCCTGAATATTTAAATTGGCAAGGCTTAAAATCATGTGCAAATCAGGCCATCGGGCAGTCCTTATTGTCTAGCTCTGCTGAAATAAAAGATTTAACTTTCCTAATCTATCTGTTTATCTGTCTGTATTATTGCTAATAATTTATGTGGGATTAACAGATTTGTAAAATAATTGGTAGTTATGATCTGTCAGTGTTTTCATCTGTCTTCTCTGGGTATATTCTTTGTCGTTTTTTGCGTTCGTAGCTATCCATTCCAGTCATGAAAAAAGTCAAATGTAAATGTCTTTGAAGACGGATGGCAATCCAATCAGTCAGGCTACCTCATAAATTGTTGGTTTGAGGTACAAGATGTGACTTGAAGTGGAAAGTCAAGTGCTTCTTATTTTATTTAAATTTTTTTACTTTACTCCTTCTAAACAGATATTTGCATATAATACAAACGTAGTACATCGTAGTTCCAACAGATATTTCTATTTTATAGAGACACATTTATGTGACGAAGTAGCAATCAGATCATTACAAATGCATTATGTCTAAATAGGCTGTCTGATAAATGCTCTTCTTCTCCTCTGGAGTTCAAAGGTTTTGGAAAGACACAGTCAGAATGTGCTATAATAGAGAGCAAGAGAAATTGAGGATGTACTGTAGAGTACCTGAAGGAGGGTAGGAGAGAAATAATTGATAATGTATGAGGAGGAGTTTAAATAAAGCCAGGAGGGAGACAGTAAAATGGCTGTACAAGGTGTAGCCTAGATAAAACTAAAAGGAAAAAAGTTATGGCAGGCAAATCCATTTGGTCTGTTCTTGGCTATTTTGAGAACAAGGTTTTATTGTTGCCTTGATTTAAGTTAAAAATGGATTTTAAGAAACAATACTGTTCCCATATTGTGCTTTTACCTGAAATGGATATTGTTGTTGTGTGTTTAAATGTGTGAGAGTTGGAGAAAGGGGAGGGCTTTGGTGTGTAAATGTCGAAACACGCAGAGCCGGTTTTGTGAGGTTGTTGTGCTTGCAGTCAAGCATTAGCTCACACGCCTTGTTTGAGAAGCCAAGGGTCAAAATCTACCGCTGGCATTCCCACGTCACTACCGCCCCCCTCCCTCCCTGCTTCTCCACTTCTCCCCTTCTCCCATGATCCTCTGCACCAGTTTCGATTGCTTGTGTTTGTTTGAACTTCTGTATCTAATGGTGTTTTGTCCTGTTGATCAAGAACAGATTGCAGGATGACTTAATTACATTTTTAATGAGCTTCAGCTGCTTTTTGAAAAATATTTGTTTAATCCATGATTGTTTTTTGTTTTACAGGTTTTACTTTTGGGCTGTTTGGTTTGAGTCCGGGAGGCCAAAATGGAAATGCACTGTAAGTACATGTAATTATTACAATATTAAAACTCCACATAATCCAATTATTATTTTAAAATTATGACTGATAACATGACAGGGGTTTAAAGACACTTAATATTCAGTAACATTATCGATTTGTCTGCAGACTTTGCACTCACACTATTGGATCAAAATTAAACTTTTGCAACAATGAAAATAATGAACCGAACAGCTGAATAATTACACTATTGTCTTCTGTAGAGCTGCTTTAGTGGAATTTGTCTCATATTTGATGAAGTTTGTATCATTAATTATTATTTTCCTGTTTATTACCGTGAAGCTGCTTTGAAACGATCTACATTGTATAAAGCGCTATAGAAAGAAAGGTGACTTTATTTGACTTGACTTGATAACCACTAAATGCCCAGTATTGAAATCTACTTTTATTTACTATTTTATGTTTACAAAAGATAAAATAGAAGCTTAAAGGTAGGGTAGACTAGGCAATTTTCGAAGCAGCTAGAAATAGCAAGATAGCTTTGAAAGCATGAGATCCCTCCCTCCCTCCCTCCCTCCCTTCAGTGTCTCCAAAGCCATGCCTTCTTTAAAACACATGAACGCACACGCACAGCAGAGTTTGCAAAGCACCACGGGATGAGAGACAGCGTTAAAATACCTCATCTCTCAAAGCACATAGCATTACAATTATAATCAACATAAACAACTTAAAGAGCACTGACCTGTACCACCTGACTGCTGCAGATTCATTTCAGCGTTGATAGTGTTGCCGTTGAATTGCATTAATTCGAGTCACGAACAGCTCCGAGTATAGCGTCACGGGTTTCCATCTCTTCAAAATTACAGTAGTCATGGCGTGAACGCTGCATAAGCTCATTGTTTTGGTTCTGGAAGAACTGTACAAGGCGGCTGCTGTTTCGGTTGTTGTACTCGGTGACTGACGTCTGTCTAACTCTGCATAACATGAAACGTGTTAATGCCGTGTGATGTCTGCGTGAGCAGGTGCGCGCGCGGGGGTATGAAAATACATACGTTGACAGGCAGGGAGGACATCATATGCATCAGGCCGAATGCAATGATTGGATGAGCATTTTATGCTCCTACACCTTCCACAGACGATATATACATGTAAATACATTTAGACCACTTAACTTATTGATTGCTATCAGTATGTGAAGAGACTTTCAACCAACAAACATTTTTCTGGAACAAATCTCCTCCCCTGCCTTTAAATAGATTTTTTAAATGCTACAAGTGAATTTAGGCATCACAACATTATAATGTACAGTATAAAAATATACATTCATTTTGAGATTTGAAGCATATATTTAACTGTTAAAATTGTTTAACTGATAAATTAAAAAATCTTTAAAATATGCCGATACCTGATATAAAATTTCTCTCTCTTAAGATGATTTTTTTTTAAAAATGTTGTAGTAATAATAACACAATGTCTGTCAATGGTTTTCACAGGATGAATACACAGGGTGTATGTTTTTGACTGAAACCCAATTTATGATGATTAATAAAATATGTGATAGAGCGAATAGATAAAAGCGAATTAAAAAAAGAGTGCCAAGTGTCCCGATATGGGACAGTTAATGGGTTAAAATGAAATGAACATTGTTTTGTGCCTTGTAATCCACGTTTATTAGCTTTGAGATCATCTATCCCCCTTTTTCCTATGTTCCATGATGCTTTGCATGATTATTGGAGTAACTTCAGAGGGAGTTTTTTATGGTTTTGACGAAACAGAGGTAATAGATCAATTCAAATCATGTTGTGTTTGTGTGTGTGTGTGTATCAGTGGCAGAGGCCCCAGGCACGGTGAAGGTCACAGAGTGGCAGCAGTCGTATTACGGGACAGATTCAGGCATCCAATCAGGAGCCACTACGGTTCGCTCAGACGAAAATGGAACAGAGTACAGCAACAAGAAATTCACCTACACTACCACATTCACAGAGAACCCTGCAGGTGAAAAACATATACTGTATATCAAAATAATTGTATTATGTAGCAACTTTCCTATATCAGTTTACCAATTGCCTTTGCCATGATCCATATAATGCAGATGTATTTCAGATTTCCCTCCAAAATAAGCATAGAAAATGCAAAAATAAGCTGTTTAGTTCAGTTTATAATTCTTTCTGTATAACGCTCTCCTATAGAGGTGGAGTCTCAATTAAATCTGACCCGTGCCCAGCGTTTGAGGGCGGCCATGTTTCCTGAGACGTTGTTGGAGGGATCGGCCATCCTTTCCACACAGATCGATCCGTCCCAGCAGACCAATGTTCAGAAGCTAGCCGAACCATCTCAGCAACTCAAAGCCGCCATCGTTCACCTCATCAACTACCAGGATGATGCTGAACTCGCTACACGCGCCATTCCAGAGCTAACCAAACTCCTCAACGATGAAGACCAGGTACCTCGCTGCTTGTATTAAACATCTGTTGATGTCATAACACTCACTCACTGTTCTCTATCTATTTCTACGTCACAAAAACGTATACAAAAAAGAAGTACGTTATTTATGTACTGTAGCTTCATGTCCTGACTGTTGACCCTCTCTCTCGCCTTCAGGTCGTGGTGAATAAGGCAGCTATGATCGTGAACCAGCTGACCCGCAAGGATGCGTCCCGCCGGGCTCTGATGCAGTCCCCGCAGATGGTGGCCGCCGTAGTGAGAGCCATGCAGAACACGTCCGACATGGAGACGACTCGCGCCACAGCCAGCATCCTGCACAACCTCTCACACCACCGCGAGGGGCTGCTCGCCATCTTCAAATCAGGGGGCATTCCAGCTCTGGTGCGCATGCTGAGGTGAGAGAGACTGGAATACTGAAGTAAAGGACTTGTTTGCCTAAAACAAACCCATGTGACGGATTTATTTTGTAAAACACAAAATGAGACTTTAGGTAGAATGTCCAAGCCTCGGTTTTCCATACAATGAAAGTGCACGATAATTCGTTATTCAAAAAGTTAAAAAGTCTTTAAAAAATTTGTGTTCTAAATTCTGTAATACCAAGCTCAGATATTTTGATGTAGTTTATTGATTCATGCGTTTATTGTATGATAAACATAATGGTAAGTAAATGATTACAAAATGTTGGAACTATTGAAAATGTGATTTTTAAAGCGTTCATGTGTTATAGTTGTATCACCCTAAACTAAAGCTATTAATTTATACATTTATTGTTTGTTCATATGTTTTATTTACATTATTTGTAATGTAGATATTCCTAATTATGAGGAAATTTCACCAGTATTTGATTTGAACTTCAAAAGGCTGCAGAAAGGCAGTTAAAAGTCCTAAAACAAATAGTGTTTGGTAAATTCTTTAATAAAACCAAGCATGAATATTCTGCATAATATCTCCTTTTGTTTTTTTATTGGTGAAATGAATAAGGAGAGCTTAGTTGGGAAGACATTAATGACGATATGTTAATTTTTGGGGTAAACTGTTAATTTAAAAATAAAAAAATAAAAATTTTTATTAATAATAATGCTTCCATAAGCTATATATGTGACACCCTAAACTAAAGCTATGTTATTTATTTTTTGCATTAGTCGGAACGTGGATATCCCCAACTATTAGGAAATTAAGCCAGCACTTGATTTGAACCATCTAACCCATTTCTTTTTCAGTTCTCCGATGGATTCTGTTCTTTTCTATGCCATCACCACCCTGCATAACCTGCTTCTGCACCAAGAGGGAGCCAAGATGGCAGTGCGTCTGGCTGACGGTCTGCAGAGGATGGTTCCCCTGCTGAAGAAAAGCAACCCCAAGTTCCTGGCCATCACCACAGACTGCCTACAGCTGCTGTCCTATGGCAACCAGGAGAGCAAGGTGTTTAAGTTATGCATGTTGATCAAATATATATATATATATATATATATATATTATAATTTCTTTGTAAATATAGTTGTGTGTATATATAGGTTTGAAAATATATAAATGATAACTATTCTTATTATTTTAATTTATTAATAACATTACTATCTTACAAAATAAATGTATTAGTCGTTTGTTGAGTTGTTGTTCTTTAAGTTGAGTTTCTTTCAAATGTTATTGTTTGTCATGTTAACGTCTGATTGTCTCACAGCTGATTATTCTTGCAAACGGTGGCCCTGAGGGTCTAGTGAGCATCATGAGAACCTACAACTATGAGAAGCTGCTCTGGACCACTAGCCGTGTGCTCAAAGTGCTCTCTGTCTGCCCGAGTAACAAGCCTGCTATTGTAGATGCTGGTAAGTCAAACTGGAAAACCAAGTACCAATCCACTATGGACATGAATGATGGTTGAAATTGTGGCTTTTTATCAAAATTGTGGTTGCCTGGCGGGCAAAGTGTCATTTTAGTATCATTGAGATACTATTATAGTTTATATATATATATATATTGAATTAGCTTTTATGTTATGCTTTCATTTCAATTCAACTAGCTGAAATAATAGTTTTTTTGTTCAATATTTTATTTCAGTTCATTTTTTTATTTCAAGTAACAAAGATGTTTTGTTTTTTTACAAACGAATCTAACATTTTCTTTTAGGTGGAATGCAAGCTCTTGGTAAGCATCTGACTGGCTCTAGTCAACGTCTGATGCAAAACTGCCTGTGGACCTTGAGAAACTTGTCAGACGCTGCAACCAAACAGGTCAATTTATGCATCTAACACCATCTTAACTATCTTACACACACAAACTCCATAGTTTATGAGGACTTTCCATACACGGAATGATTTTTATACTGTACAAACTGTATATTCTATCCCCTTACACTAACCCTATTCCTAAACATTTTACATCATGCCAAAAACATAACTTAGTATGATTTATAAGCTGTTTTCCTCATGGGGACCAAAAAGATTTCCCCACAAAGACAAGGAATCTGGATATTGCTTTGTAAGGACATTTTGTGCAAATTCTTGGTTTTCATGTTTTATGGGGACATAATGATTTTTGTACTGTACAAACATACAGTTCTCGAAACTTCTAGAATAATGAAGTTATCGAATTTTGGTTAATGAATTGTGGTTAATTCATTTAATATAATGTATCGACTCTCCTAGTTTCTGTTAATTAAAAAAAACGTTGAAAACTAGCATTTTCATAATTACAGCAGAAATAATGGAAATATGTATATATAGTCTATAAGGTTAAGGCCTTTGAATAATGTATTGGACAGTGGGAGGCCTTTGAGTCAAAAAGATTGAGAACCGCTGCTCTATACAAATTGTACTCCAAATAAAATGGCAAAGCCTTGCTGCTTTAACTGAACTTGAAAATTTTCATTGGTGCCAATGCATGCTCTCTGTCGACCCCTGCAGGACGGAATGGAAAATCTGCTCCAAGTGCTAGTTGGTCTGCTGTCATCTGATGACATCAACATGTTGACCTGTGCAACAGGCATCCTGTCCAACCTCACCTGCAACAACACACGCAACAAAACACAGGTGACCCAGAGTAACGGTGTGGAGGCACTGATTCACACCATCCTGAGGGCCGGTTCAAAACAGGACGTGATCGAGCCAGCTGTCTGTGCCCTTCGCCACCTCACCAGCCGGCACCCGGATGCTGAGACAGCACAGAATGCCGTACGAACCGATTACGGCATCCCCGCTATTGTCAAATTGCTCAATCAGCCCTACTACTGGCCCGTCATTAAGGTAAGTGAGAGAAAAACAGAGAGAACTGTCAAATTAGCACCTCAGTGAGCAATCGATGGCTTTGCAAACTACCAAAGAAGGGAGAAAAAAAATTTAAGAACTATTTTTTTTTTTTTTTTTTTTTTTATTCCTAAAAGTTTTCAGGAAACCATATTGATCAAATCAATTAAAGGTGCACTATTATATATTTTTTATTAATTTGTTTCATTTTACTATATAGTTGTTCTAGGCTATATACTGACACTTATTGGTGTGGATGAAGCATTAAACCAGTGCCACTGTAGAAATACCCCATTCACAGGAGCTTTTGTCACCCTTGATTCATTCGTTCCACAATTGAAAGTGTCCAAAATAGTAAGGTTAAAGGAGAACTCCGGCACAAAATGAACCTTTGGTCTAATAAAACATTGGTACCTAGTCAACCGTTCTCTGAGATTTGTTTTCATGATAATCGAATGTAAAGAGTTTTATCGTGTATAACGCTAGTAATGGGGGCATATAATAAGTAAAAAGAAATCGCTAGTTTATGGTAAATGGACTGCATTTATATAGCGCTTTTACAGACCCAATGGCCACCAAAGCGCTTTTCAATTTTGCCTCACATTCACCCATTCACCCATTCACTCACTCATTCATACACCGACGGGCGACGGCAGCCATGCAAGGCGCCATCCAGCTCGTCGGGAGCAGCTGGGGTTAGGTGTCTTGCTCATGGACACCTCAGCACTTGGTCAGGTGGAACCGAGGATTGAACCACCAACCTTCCGGTTTGTAGACAACCCACATGAACCACTGAGCCACTGCCGCCACATGTTTATACCACTAACAAGGCTCAAAATAGCCCCACACGAACACAGTAACATAATGAGGGTCCCTACATGCAAAACGAACCATTGAGAACTTTGTAAGTGTACAGACCGTTTAATAAGAAGATAAAGATAAAGACAGTCCACTTCGTGTATACAGACAGGAGCCATCTTTGGAAAACAGTCTCGACTAATCAAACCACGAACGACGTGCTAAGTGAGCTGAACTGTATGAAGTTCAGTGAACTTCTGAACTGTATGAATGGCGTTCGTGGTTTGATTAGTCGAGACTGTTTTCCAAAGATGGCTCCTGTCTGTATACACGAAGTGGACTGTCTTTATCTTCTTATTAAACGGTCTGTACACTTACAAAGTTCTCAATGCTTCGTTTTGCATGTAGGAGTAGGGACCCTCATTATGTTACTGTGTTCGTGTGGGGCTATTTTGAGCCTTGTTAGTGGTATAAACTAGCGATTTCTTTTTACTTATTATATGCCCCCATTACTAGCGTTATACGCTAAACAGTTTTTAGAGATAAAACACTTTACATTCGATTATCATGAAAACAAATCTCAGAGAACGGTTGACTAGGTACCAATGTTTTATTAGACCAAAGGTTCATTTTGCGCCGGAGTTCTCCTTTAAGTTAAATGAAGTAAAATTGACATGATGTGAAGGGGCCGTATGTAGAGTAAAACAGCTCTTAATAAGCCGCAGAATGTAAAAGCATTTAATTTCCTAGGTTTATTAATTGTGTGACAGGGCTGTTGCTTAAATTCACAGGCCCTGGGACAATATTTTGTGGGCGTCTCCCTCTCAATGAGTAGTTTATACCATATAGGGCCTTTTTGGGTCTCCTGTTGTGCAGTATATAACCATATCTTGCTGACCTCACATTTGTCTTAATCACAGGCTGTGGTTGGTCTGATCCGTAACCTGGCACTTTTACCAGCCAATCAGGGTCCTTTGAGAGACGCTGAAGTCATTCCCAAACTGGTCACTTTGCTTTCAAAAGCTCATCAGGATGCACAGAAACATGGTTCATCTGCTCAACAACAATACCAGGTATGCATTCCTCACCTGTCGCTGTAACATGGACACATAATTTGGGTGGGGAACCAAGTGTTTAACCTTTAAAAAAAAAAAGGACTCTCCTAAAGAATGACTCTTATGTGCCAGTTCTTTTTATTGATTCAGAAACATGTAGCACAATCAGAGGAGTCCAATTCCCAAACAAATTACTCAGTCAATGCTTTTAAGTGTATCAAAAACCAGGGGCACGTTCAAGTTCAAAACGGTGCGCAACGTTTTGCTACGGTTTCCGGGTTGAACGTCATGTTTCCTGGAAACGGCGTGCACGGGTGTGCAACGGGGTTTGAGATGCGTTTTCTCTTGTTTGGTGGATGTGTCAGAACTGCAGTCCAATCAGCAGCAACATGTATATAATGCACGCGGTATTCAAGTGAACTCGTACAATGGGTTCAAGGAAAGTAATTTACAAATGTGTTCTATGCAGCTCGGTATACGCAACAACTGAGGATATTAGAAGACGTTTGTCGTAAGTTTTATTGTAAAAATATAGGATATCAACATAATGATGTAGTTGTTTATAGTTTTAGCTTCATTGCAAGTGTATGACATTTGGTATAGAAATAAACAATGGTAATTAAGTGCTTTTCCTAAAAATGAGAAAGAAAATACAGGGTATTAAAACAGTATGAACTACAAATAAAGTCAGTATGTGAGGCTAAATAGATGCGTTTTAGTCTGAATTAGGTAAGATGTGTGATTCCATTTTAATTTCCACAAATCCCTTCACTCGACTGGGATGTTCTCTTGTGTTCTGGGCGGCAAGTGCAGTAACTGTAACATCGGGCATATTTTGTAGTATTAAACACATATTTATACCGACTTCATCAGTCTCCGAAAATTCTTCACAAAGAATGGCCTTCTCAGCTGCCATAGTTGCAACTCTTGCGTCATCAGAACAGTGTGTTCAACGCATCACCGTTTCTGTTTAAAAAACGTTGTGCAACGTTTTGTCGGGGCTTAACGCAGCCCATGTAACCCAACTAGTATATATCAATTTCCAAATGAATGACCCTAATGAGCCAGTTCTTTTTTTGGTAAATAAAAAAACATGTAGTGCAACAAGTGTATTCCAATGATTCTAATTATTTTTAATTATCCAACACATCCAGCATTCAACTAACTCTTGAGACATTAATCAGTGTCATATGAAAAATCTGTCAGTATGTACAATGTATTTAAAAAAAAAATCACATTAAAATATTTTCTAATTATTATAATCTTTTCTTAAAAGTATTAAACAAATCGAAATAATTGAGAACAATTTAAAATAGTTAAAATTCTTAACAATGCCCATCATTACACACGTGTACAATGTACAGACTACTGTTTCACATTTACATTTAATAATTTAGCATACACTTTTATCCAAAGCAATGTACAAATAAGGAGAGCAATAGAAGCAATAAAACTAACAATAAGGCAACAATATGCAAGTTTAATTTTTTATATATATATATATATATATATATATATGAAGAGTTCAGATGCAAAAGCCTCTAAACGCCAACTCCGTCAAAAATGAGATAATGACATTGAGTGAAAGCTATCTGAACATAGTACACGTTCAACAAATATTTGCTTCAAATCCTCTAAATCTCAGCCTCAGCCCATTCAGAAATATCAGTTTGTCGGCAAAAGCCTCACTTCCCTTTGGCAGCAAAAGCTGCTACATCCGAGAACCAATCAGAAGGGGCGAATCAGTACAGGCTGTTTCAATAGAGCGGCGCGCTGAGGAGACGGATTTTTTGAGACGGCTGAGGAGATTGTTTTGGTTTTGGATTCAGATTTTGTCGGCAGAGAAATGGGGTGGGATTTGCAAATAATCGCAGATCTCATTCAGCCCCCCTGTAAAGAGGTTTGTCTACTGTTTAGTTTTGAAATGAATGTGCTCTAATCTTTTTCAGTGTTTCTAGTTACATTTTTTGTGATTTTTCAGCTATTTACTGTCTTGTCCCAAAGAGGTGGATTTAGAGGTTTTTGCGAAAAAAGTTCAAGTGGATTTAGCTGTTTTTGACACAAAAGAAAATCTAATTTGTTAAAAATCACTGAATTGACTAAAGTGACATTTTTGAAAAAAAGTTATTTTATTCACTGACTAATAACCTTATCAGTACCTTTAAAATGAAACTACTGGACGTGAACATAGGAGCCTGATAAAAAATGCTCATTTAAAGAAAATAAGTCTTTAGAGGGTTTTGCATCTGAACTCTTCATATATATATATATATATATATATATATATATATATATATATATATATATATATATATAGATATAGATTAGTAAGTGTTACTATAAATGGGTCAAGTGTTGCTGAAAAAGATGCGTCTTCAGCCATTTCTTGAAAATGGCTAAGAACTCAGCAGCTCGGGTTGAGTTAGGCAGGTCATGCCACCAGCTGGGACCAGTCCAGGTAAAGGTCTGTGAAAGTGATTTTGTGCCTCTTTGACACGGCACCACATGACACCGTTCACTCACAGAACTCAAGTTTTTGGAGGGCACATAGGTCTAAAGTGGTGAGTTTAGGTATAGGGAGCAGAGTCGGTGGTTGCTCTGTAGGCAAACATCAGTTTCTTGAATTTGATGCGAGCAGCGATTGGCAACCAGTGCAAGTTTATGAGGAGAGGTATGACGTTTGCTCTCTTCGGCTTGTTAAAGACCACTCTAGCTGCAGCATTCTGGATCAGTTGCAGAGGTTTGACTGTGCATGCTGGAAGGCCTGCCAAGAGAGCATTACAATACTCCAGTCTGGATAGAACAATAGTCCGCTTGGACAAGGAGTTGTGTAGCATGCTCCGGTAGGAAGGGCTTAAACCTAATGTTGTATAAGGCAAATCTGCAGTACCAGGCAGTTCTTGCAATGTGGTCTGTGAAGTTCAAATGATCATCAATCACAACTTCAAGGTTTCTGGCTGTCCTGGCTGGAGTGATGACATGTAGATGGGGAAGAGAAGTGGTCCAAGCACTGAGCCCTGAGGCACACCCGTAGCTAGATGTTGCGACTTAAATACCTCACTTGTCACTTAATTAATTAAATTACCCTTTTTTTCTCTCTCTCAGGATGGAGTGAGAATGGAAGAGATCGTGGAGGGCAGCACTGGTGCTCTGCATATTCTGGCCAGAGATCCTATTAACAAAGGCACCCTTGCCGGCATGGGCACAATTCCTCTGTTTGTTCAGGTAACTCTTACACCTTTCCACCAATATACTGTTGTGGCCGTTTTTATGCGTCTGAATGAGAGCGCGTTTGTATGTAGCCTTTGCCCTCAGTCTAACATGCTCAGTGTATATAATAGACATCTGTTTTCTGTCCCTGCAGCTGTTGTATTCTCCATTGGATAACGTCAAGCGTGTGGCAGCTGGTGTTCTGTGTGAACTGGCTCTTGATAAAACGTCGGCTGAGATCATTGATTCGGAAGGAGCCTGTGCGCCTCTCATGGAGCTCCTCCATTCCAGCAACGAAGGAATTGGTGAGTGAGAGAGAAACATCAGAGAAACAAGCAAAATCAGATTGATTATGAGGTTAGCATAACCAAAGCGTAGTAGATTTCATCTTCAGCATAGTACTCGAGTACTGTACGCTCAGAGCCCGATTTTTCTCTCTCACATGCTTGTCCACAAGCTGGCAACACTGGCCTGGGCCGTTGTTTCACAGTCGAAAAAGGGCCTAAGGAGACAGGACAGCAACAAACTACTCAAGACTTTAGATAGATTCCCTCGTTGACAAGCTCTTGTGTGAAGGGGTAAAGATTATCACGCATCTCTACTTTAAACGAGTACAAGGACATTTTTTATCACTCATAACTTCTGGAGAGAAGTTATGAAACTTTGAATAAAAGTATGAAACTTTCTAGTGTGCACGTTTCAAGGGCCTGTGTTTGTGCATGCTATCAAATAGAGTTATACTTCAAAAGTCAATGTGTTCGGCTGTATGTACACACTGAGAGTTTGCATCAAATCTGAAGTATACTTTGGGGTTAAGCGTGTAACAAAGCGTGTTTTTCTTTCAGCCACCTATGCCGCTGCTGTGCTCTTCCGAATTTCTGAGGACAAAAACCCTGACTATAAGAAACGAGTATCAGTGGAGCTCACACACTCGCTCTTCAAACATGACCCTGGTGCTTGGGAGATGGTGAGTTTGCCCCCTGGTGGTGTAGAGGTTTTTAACATTTTAACAATTTTCTTCCGTAATATGACATATTTCAGAGTGAAACAGGATATTCAAAAAGAAAAAACGAATATAGACCTTATTTTATATGGTATTTGCTCTTGAAAATTGGTCTTTATAGTAGTGACCACATTTGTGAAATTGACCGTTCGCAGGCCCCTCCCCCAAAACGGCTATTGTCCAATCACACATCATAGCAACCGTTACTATGTGAGCAGGTCCGTCAAACATTGACTCCAAGAAGATGGTGAAGCGGTGCGCCCACGGCGTTTGTAATTCGGACACTAGATACCCCGAGAGATTGTCTGGAGGAGTTGTGTTCTTTCCGTTTCAAAAGCCGAAAACACATCGTGAGCGGTGCCTACAATGGATAAAAACAGTGTGGACGGCCCCACTCCCAGTTAAATGTTTCGAACATGTTTAACTCGCGTGCAGCGTGCGTTTATCTGCATCTTTCCGTCTATTATGTATAGTTACTTTTTAAACACGAAAATTGCATTCAGCATGACACGCAAGCGGTTGCCGTGGTTATGAACAACCTGCTTGTTAAAGCGAATGAATAATCCTGTATCTGAGGCAAAATTACTAAATATGCAGCTCGAGTTATATATTTCTAACTCCAAACAATTAGCCACTGAAACCGCTTATAAAATCTTCTTCAAGGCTGTGCTGGTTGCATTTGAGGTAGCTAACGTTACAGGTCATGGGGTTTCTCAGATTTCGCTTGAGACCGGTTTGAGAGCCGTTTGAGAGCTTGAGAGCATTATTAGGCTCGATAGTATTCGTGTCTCATTCATTGCGGATTTTTATATTTTGAATATATCCCTCCACTGCATACTATAACCCCATTTGCCTAGATCTGGAAGATATCGCGGAGGTATTGCTCCAAAAAAGGTCATTGACGCACCTCTTCCCGTCATGGCAATCTGTGGCGCTGGTCGTGTTTGACCATTTGTTTGACGGGCGTAGCAACAATAACTAGGGGGCGTGGCTTTTGCGAACGGTTTGGAACAAGGGATATTTCTTACTTCAGTGGACAAAATATCATTGAGATCTTGCTATTATCTATGAATTAAAACAAGGGGGGCAATTCATTTTTGTGTTTTTGTTTTCAATTCGTTGTGAGTTAAAAATACCATTGATAATTATGATATTTGTGGGTCAAACTGACCCTAAAATTATGGAGAGTAGTAGATAGTAACAATTGCAAATCGCAATCTGATCAAAACATTATTATAGTGTAACAAAATTATACATTTACATATACACATTACAAAAATAAATAAAAATAAACTATATATATATAGGAGTATATGGTAAATAAAACCGTATTTAACAAATATTTGTAACCATTGTATTTAACAATTGCTTTTAATGCTTCATTTCTCAAACTGTGATTATCCCCTATACAGTAATTACAACTTACAAAAGCACAAAATAAATTAACATTACGTTTTTTTTTTAAGTAGATATTTACTATCCCTAATTAGGCTTATTATTTTGCATTTTTTATTTGATTACAGTATTTAGCATTTTAGCACAAAGTATGTACTTTCTGCAAATGTATGTCAGATGTCTATGATACATTGGCCATAAAATAAAAGTAATTTTTTTAAATTTCATGTTGACTTTAAAACTGACATCAAAGCCAAATGGTCCTTGTATGGAAATATGGTGATTCAAATCACAACAAAAGAGATAATGTATCATCAATATGTACATAAGGAGCAGGTTTTTTTTTAACAATGTCCTTGTTCCATCTTAGGCACACACCACCATGATGGATCAGGGCCTTCCAGAGGACGGTTAGTATATCATCTCACCAGGGGCGTAGCAACCGGGGGGGACGGGGGGGACACGTCCCCCCCACTTTTAGAAACAGGTGATTCTGTCCCCCGCATTTTTTTTTTACTCAGCGCCAATATTTCCGCCCGTGTTCTCTGATTTGTTACTTAGACTTGAGTGAGCTAACATTCAGCCAATCACAGCGCGAAGCATCTATTGGGCGCGTCTGCCATGAGCTTCAAATCTTTTGTTGCTCTTGCGAATTTTCGTGTTTGTTTAGTCGCTTTGCTGTTTGGCCGTCTATGCACCCCAGAAAAAAAAGCAGAGGACTACATCATTTTTTTCAAACACACACTGTTACAGTATGTCGCGATGACATGAATCACACGTAAAGTTTCCTTGTTGATTTAACCTACTGTAACGCTGTAAGACGTGTAAGACAACAGAACCCGTATGGACCTGTCGAGTGTGTGTTAAATGCTCTCCTACTTGTTGCTTTGGATAAAAGCGTCTGTTAAATGAGACATAACAGATTATTCCCAGCAGGCACACAACGTCATAAGACATTGATATTTGGTTAAATTTTGGTTGCGACGTCGGGTGACCAAAATTCAATGTAAATTCAACATGTCAATGTTAAATTGATGTCCAATACCGAATACATTGATTTAGGTTTTATTTATATATTTTTATAAAATGTCTGTTGTATAAAATTACTGTAGGCTAGATGTAATCTGTTCATTGAACACTTTTTTTTTGGTCCAACTGTTAAGAAGTAAGATACAAGTTATTGTTCAAGTGTAGTTTAACTGAAATATTGTAAATATCATAAAATATATTTATTTCATAAAAATAAAGTATATATGTCCACAGTTATCTGAAAGTCCCAAGTCCTGCAATATTTTTTTATTTCGAGTATGATTTCACAAAAATAGGTTGCTGTAAACTATCATGGCATGTTACCAAAATTGGCACTAGGGTGCTGTAAAATGCCAATTGCTATTCCATCTAGAATTTATTATTATGAACATCACCTTTCAGTCCCTCCAGAAAAACGCGATTATGCGATCGCATGATTCAATAATCAGCCAAAGTCCGCATATGCGGGGGCATTTTTTCAAATACGCCGCACTTTTGCCGTATAAATTGCCGATTTCCACGCAAAATATGCGGGGCTTGTATGATTTCATAATCCCCGCATTTTGTTGCAAAAAAAAGTCACAGATATATCTTAGCAGAAAGTTGAAAAATGTTGCGTTTGCATGAACATCATTGAAAAAAAAAAAGGAAAAAAAGCTGTAAAACAGGAAACATTTTTTTCATATTTTATTTATTCATTTTTACAGAAATTGTAGCATATTCCTTTTGTAAAGCTACAGAACTTGTTTGACTCATCAATGTTTTGTAAGTTTGAGCCATGTGTTTATTAAGGTCTGAAATAAAACAAGATTAAATATTCCAGCACTTTCTGTGATGTAGTATGTTTGCTTATCATAGGAAGTAATAAGAAATAGCTCTTTACATTAAGGTAGTAGCCTAGTGAGAACAGGGTGTTGGGGAATCACTTTTTCTCTCTTCCCGCAATTTCATCACATAAAATTGCAAATATCCTGCATATTCCATCGCCGCATAATCAAGGATTTTTGCCCGCAACAATCACAAAAAAACTCTGCATTTTTCTGGAAGGACTGACCTTTGGGTCACATCACCACACCATTTTGTCCCCCCCACTTTTATAATGGCTGCTACGCCCCTGCATCTCACCATGATTTACCAGCTACTTACCTCTACGGCTGTCAGCTATATCTATAAAGATTTGAAACACCTTGTTGGTTTTGCACATTGTGCAGATGGCGAAGGCTACGGCCCCCCCGTAGGATATCAAGGATACAATGATGGCATGCATATGGATGGCATGCCTCTAGATCAAGAAATGCAAGATGAATATGGACATAACATGGGTTACAACTCCATGCTCAGACCCTCCTACCCTGATAACTACTAACCGGTCAGTACTACTCAAATACACCAGTTGTCCTTCAAATACTCAAATAAGATTGGACCTACCTGCTGAAGTCTGTAACTGCATTAAATTGAGTGTTTTCTTTTTATTTCACAGCCTGATGATGAATTGAGCTCCACTGAAAGAGGATTATAAAAAATACACTAGACAGAAACTCCCAGCAGAGTTTTTTTTTTTCATCGCTGGGTGCCTGTGGTCCATTTCTCAGTAAACACTCACTGACACTGCTGTAATATATGCAATTCTCGCTGTGCTGGGAGAGGCAGAATCGAGCAACTTTACCTTGCCTTTATACAAGGATGACAGCATGTTGCATTTTACATGTCTTTTTGTAGAAAATGTTATATTTTAGTGTTTCTTATGGGTGCATTAATACTTTGTTGGTAAGAGGAATGGTTAACTATGCCAAAGAGATTTTATTCAAATATTTTATAATGATAATCACGTTGCTTTTTATAGGTTTAAGATTTTGGAAAATGCAATCAATGATTTAGACTTGCGATCTCACAATAACTGACCTGAGGTCAGCTTTATGGCTTCGTTCACAGTGGTTTTAGTCAGACGGGTGACCGGAGCTGATCGGGAATCAGCGTTAGTGAGCTGAAATGCCTGGAATGTTGATTTTCTACAGCGCTTGGATCTCAGTGCAGTGCATTATATTTCCTCCCTTAACTGAGACTGTCAAATACTGGAGTTCTTTTGAACTTTTCCCACTTGTTTTTTTTTCTTCACTCCATATATTTGTTCTGCTGAAACTGTCTTAATGTATCGACAAGGAAATAGTGATTTTGTTTGTCTTGCAATGCAATGTGTATGGAGATTTTTTTCTTATTGTTTGCGTGAGGAATAAATGCCGTGCTGATTAAAAGGGACTAATGTTTAACTAAACGATTAAACCGTGTTATAAAAAACTAGCTCCACATTTGTTCACATATTAACTGACAAAGGGATTCTTTGTAGCATTTTTACTTCATACTTTGTCCAAAAAAAAAGAAATAAAACCATGTTATCTAATGCTTTGTGACTGGGATGTTGAAATTGTTTAAGTGTGAACACTAGTGAGATCATTTCATAACACTGTAACAAAGTTTTATTGGGATTCAGAGATGATTTTCCAGCTCAATGTCTATTACAGTATACAACATAAATGAAAGAGTGCAGATACCAGATATAGAAAAAATAATTAATTAAAAAATTTCATAGTAGATGAAAATCACTAAAGAAGAAAAGTTTTAATATTAACTCGGTATTCAACACAATACAGTATACTGTTAATTACAGTACAGTAAAAAATAAATGACGCATCTACACCTTTAGCCAAATTTTTATTAGAGTATACAGTACTACAGCAGTTTCTTGGTCTTCTGGCAAAAGACTTTCTCTTCATTTCTCAGTTCTGCAAAAATGCAGAACTACAAAATGGCTATAATTTTGAGTTTATTGTACATAGTATAGTGAAGATACACCTGTGCTCCTATTTATATTATCCTGAGATTCGGATTGGTGTATCATCAGTTTTGCTACTTAATGTTTGTGTTTTTAATTGACCCGAACAGTCAACTAATCCTTGTGGTGTTAAGAAAACGATCCTCATGAACGGGAAATTAAGGAACGCCGTACATATTGCATCTTGGAAGAACTTACTAATAAGATTGCGTCTCCATGGAAAACCTGTCCACTTCCATCCAAAACAATACACTATACTTACACTCCTCTTGGTCATCTCTGATGAAGACGCACAGTACACATTAAAATCTTAAGGTATTAAAAAAAAAAAAACAGGGTAAGTGTGGCATGTGTGTGGTGGCCTGGTGTAGGGGGATGGGATGGATCTTGCTTAATCTCTCCCTAATGTCCCATTGTGGCATGACACGGGCAGGGAACCAACTTATGCCATGACCACAGAGGGATTATTATTGAAATTTCCTTGTTTGCATAAATGTATGCTATTAGTTTACGGTGCAATGCTCAAGTTAATTATATTGTTTTCTGAATGAGAACACGGTTAAATCAGTGTAAAATGAGGGTGTTTGTGTAGTTTTGCAGTAATCATTAAAATGTAATGAGTTGAAATGTGTAAAAACCGGTGTTAAACTTTTTGTGAAATGTCTGTTTTGAGAACTGAATGAATGGTTTGGGAGTTTGTGCCAGCAGAATCAGTTATAGTGTTTGCATTTGAGGAAAAAAAAACCTGTACATTTTCTTTGATTTTATACAAATAATTAATCTTGATGTGCTGACCAATCTTTTGGCTTCTCATCTTTAGTGAAGGCTGGACACTGGAATAAAAAAAAGGAATTGTTTAATATACACAAACTACACAAGCATGCAAAGGCTCCAAGTTTAACTCTACATGGAGGAACATTTGTGTGCCATACTTCAAATGGTTTAGATGAGTAAATAAATGACTCAGGATCAAACTCATGTACATTCTGCTTTATTAAAAGTGTATCCCCCCCCTAAAAAAAATTACAAAGCTGATGTACAAAATAAAATAGAAGGCAATATCTTCTGTTTGGAAGCATCAAAGAAGAATGACACTTCAAAAGGCAGGTAAAACGTTTGACACAAACATAATAAAATGACATTAACCCTTTTTGGATCAAATCATCCCTCTTTAAAACAGCACATCTCATTTTAATGAAGACTTTCACAGCTCATCAATATAAAATATTTAAAAGGAATGAGAAAAAAAAGAAAATAATAAAAAAAAAGTTAAAACTCGTGTGTAGATTATGGCAGACCAGCCGCTAATATGCTACCAAGGAGAGTTCGATCCTTCAAAGCGTTTTCCACATCTCGCTCTTCAATCTTCAGGGAGATCTAGGAAAGAAGAAAAAAGAAATTTTGAACCCTCATTAAATTGTAACGAATTGAAGTATTGATTACTTTATGATTCGAAAGCTCTTACTTTAATCAACCGAGCTTCTTTGGCCTTTTTGAGAATGAGGATTCCTCTGCTCTCCAGCAGACTGCAGAGAGACAGACACTCCGTCTGTCCGACTCCTCCAACCTGCCTCTGCTTACACAGCTTACTGTACACTTCACACAGCTGGAGAAACAGAAACAGGGTTACCAACACTTCAATGTAGTCGGAACATTTACACTTAAAGGGTTATTCACCCAAAAAATACCCTGGCTCTTCCAAGCTTTATAATGGGAGTGAGTTTTTTTTTTTTAAAGCTCCAAAAAATGCATCCATCCATCATAAAAGCAATCCATATGGCTCCGGGGGGTAAATAAAGGCCTTCTGAAGCGTTTTTGTAAGAAAAATATCCTTATTTAAAACTTTATAAACTATAATCACTTAGCCTGGTTAAAACCAGACCATTCTCAGTTGTAACCGAGTTATGGTCTTGCAAAGCGTCATAGACAAATCATTTCCAGAGGGGCGTCACCAACGGACGTCGCGGATAGACCCAAAACCAATCAGAGCGATGAAGGAGATGACGTATGCAGCAGGCCCGGCCTTAACCAATTTGGTGCCCTAGGCAAGATTTTAAGTGGCGCCCCCTTGCATCGCAGTACAGTACTTGCACTGTTAGTGTACATATACTCACAAGAAACTTAATAGCTTTGTTTTAGACATTCTTTTATTTAACTAAAACAATTGCACATTCAAAATACTAATTATAGTAATAATAATTATTGTAAAAAATACAATAAAATGAAATAATATAAATGAGAAACCTCATTTTAAAATACATGATAAATAGACTATAGTGAAAGAAATACATGTAGACTATAGTGTATAATATACAATGTATTTTTTCAGATACAAATTATATTAGTAATTCATATATTAGTAATAATTTAAATTTTATTGTCATTACAATGAAATTCTAATTAGCAGAATGCAAAAGAATCAGTAAACTGCAGTATAATATTGCATGTGGCAATGCTAAGTTATGCTCTAACATTAATGACGTGCACTTTAACACAGCCACAGGTGTAAATTTTAACATGATAAACACACTTTATAGACAATATGAGCTGTAACACAGTTAACAGCTGGCGTTACAACTATGGAATTATTAATGGTATTTTGATTGTTTATTACAAGCTGGGAAAACGTGAGATAATGATGTCAATGAAATTAACATTAATACACCTGCTGATTAGATCTAATATTTACACATGTGTCCGAGGAAGGTACTCATATTACTATTTTCCATAATAATAGCGCTAGGCTTATTTGTTAGAACCATTGACTGTATATATTTTGGTTAGAACTAGCAGATAGCGCTGGTTATTTATAGATTAGCCTACCATGTATGCTAATGACTAATGGCATTATTGATCATCGTTCTGTAACATCAAAATAATATCATTATTTAACATCATCTTTACTGTAACATTGCCTTTGTTGCGTTTTTCCTCCTCTTCTTTTCTTTTTTTCCTCCCCTGGGCACCAGATAATTTGGGACGCTTTGACATATTAACTTTTTTTGATGCAATAAAAACGAAAAACGAATGGCGGGTAAAAGAAGTCTGATTGGTGGAGGTGGTTTCCCATCCTGCTTTGTGGCGCCTCATGTTTTGTTCTGCACCGTGAACTAAGTGTGTGATCCCTTCAGCTCCCCCCTGGTCACGTTAAAGTAAGAATTTATTAGAAAAATGTGATCCCAAAAAAACAACAACAAGAAAGTCAATGCAGTGTAAATCCCATTATTGCTCCACTCGTTGCAGTGTTAATGAAGTACAATAAAAGCGGAAAGTTCCTTACGCGGCTCTGGCGTCCATCTTTGTAATGTTTTCTACAAAATCTGCTTCAAAATCCCAGCGCTGTCGTCATCGTGTAAAGCCCGCCCCAACGTTTCTGATTGTGGCCTTGATTTCGACGGATTGGAAATGGGCTTGAATGAGCTCTTTGCCAGACTAACTTTCAGAGCAAATCTAAATTTGCCGGAAGTTATCTGGGTTTTCCCAGGCTAATAATCACTGGCTTCTGTACGAAAGTCTCGTTCCGGCTGAGGAGTGAACTCTGACCCGACGCATGATGAACGCAAGAAGCGCAGAGGATAGAGCAAAACAAAACACCGGTTACGAATTAGAAATCTAAAATGAGAATTTTAAAAGAGAAATGTCAGAGGAGCTTGAGTTTGGCGTCTACTCTCACCTAAGCTTACGCTGCTACTCCTACATCATACGCCGGAACTCGACTCTCTCGTTAGCACACGGACAGACGTTACCGGAACCTAGCGATTATGGTTTATAAAGTTGTAATTATGGATATTTTTCTTACAAAAACGCATTGCTTCGCTTCAGAAGGCCTTTATTAACCCCCTGGAGCTGTTTGGATTACTTTTACAATGGATGGGTGTACTTTTTTGGGGATTTAAAAAAAAAAAAAAAAAAAAAAAAAAAAAAAAGATACCATTCACTCCCATTATAATGTTTGGAAGAGCCAGGATATTTTTAATATAACTCCAAATTGTGTTTGGCTGAAAGGAGAAAAAAAAATCATATACACCTAGGATGGCTTGGGGGTGAGAATATTATGGAATCATTTTCAGGTGAACTAACCCTTTCAGTTATGGAAACAATTGATCAAACTTTGACTCACCTTCCCCAACTGGACCTCTTTGCACTTGCCGTTACGGATGATCAGAAGCAGACAGCAGACCAGAAGTTTCTGCTGCAAAGGGAAACTCTCACCGTCCCTGCTGCTGGATGCCATGCGGTCGCCATACACCTCAGACAAAACACGTGCCACTTGAGGAACGCTCACCCGCGACACTGCAACAAGAGAGTCCAGACAAATCCCTCATTTCATTTTCTTTCTAAATAATGCTGGAATGATTATCACTAGTGCTGTGAGAAACTAAGCTTGAACCAATCAACTGAACCAATTGCTTCACAAAATGATTCAGTTTCGAAGGGTTCGAAACGAGACACGCTGGTGACGCCTGCTGGTCAGAACGGTGTAAATGCAGCAAAACCTATTGCAAATGTTTCATTGAAAGTGTAATCTATTAACCCTTTAGGCGCCAGAGGTTTTTTCCTAAAACGTTTGATTTTGACATCTTCATTTCAAAAGGCTATATCTTAAAAGTGAGAAAAGATGGAAACTTTCTGTAAATTAGAGAAATATTAAGGATGACCCAAAGTTTATGTAGGGATTACATTTTCCCATCTAATTTGCATATTATGACGTCATATGGTGGCGGCAATCTTGGATTATAGAACTTTCATGAAAAGTCACATGTTTAAATGATAAAATGCAGCACTTCTTTCCCCCCAAAATGTCCATCACCTTCTGTATGCTATATTGCACAATACTGAATGCTCAGGTATGTAGTAAGTCTGGTAGAAACAAACCGAATGCATGTAGTGGTTGGCCTTTTGCTGTAGAGATTTTCCATTTACTAAATACAGTACAGTGATGGAGTACTCGAGTCCTGAATACTCCTTATTCTCTGGACTCGAGTCCGACTCGAGACTCCATGCTCTGGACTCGTGACTCGACTTGGACTCGCGGACTGATGACTACTACTTCGACTCGGACTCGAGAATATATAAAATCGGACTTGAGCATTCATCAAATGAATGACGTTGTTTCTGACTAAATAGGTTATAAAAAATTGATATAAGATGATACACTTTTCCTGTTTGGGGGTCCAAGACCGGCCGTGATCTATTTTTTCCCTCACAGACACTGCTACCGCTCGCTCTCCTTGCTTGACAACACACTCACTGACGTCACTCACTTTACGCTGCATTCTCGTGAGAGAGATAACGTAACACTCATTTAACACTAGATAAGTTCCTCTACATCTAATCAGCAATTTCGATTTTGGCACGCTTTGCAGCAGCTGAGCGGACCACTAAGGAGCGAATGTACAGTGACGTGACATTTAAAAGTACCAGATTTAAACTGTGCTTTCGTGCTATGGCTGGCGCTGAGCCAAAATCGGACGCGCTCAGCGCTTAATCCCGCTTATCATACAATAACACAATTATGTTTATTTTAGCTAACAAACTAGACGGCGACCTTGACTATGTCACACATCGCAACCACTCTTTTCCTGCGGAGTTACAACTGCTTATAGCACTGCATTTTCTGTTGTTTTTTTTGCCGCAGTTACATTGGGATTTAGTTTGCTTTCAAAATTGTTTTTCTTTTACCATATTCGTCAAGAAGAATGCATTTCTCCTCCTCTGTCCAATTAGGCTTTCTTTTTTGTTTTCTTTATCCATTCCAGTTGACTGATCATCCAAAAATGTAATTAAACAATTAAATAAATAATCGCTCTGATCAAATGGCTCACTCGCACACTAGCTCCGCTTTTGATCGCACTGATTCAATGCGCTCCAACTCAAACATTTTGTATAGAAACATGACGTTTTTTTTTATTCAGGGATGAAGTATGACATGTCTGCTATCCAGTGGAGGGGAGGTCGAACGAAATTTGACACCCAATTTGACAAAATCGGCCGTTTTATTCAGAACCGCATCTTGTCGAGTAAACTCGACCGTGGCGCCTAGACGGTTAAAATGCTAAAACAAAAACCTGAAGTGTCTTTACGGGTTAAGAAATTGTGGGGTTCGCTTTATTTGTTTAATAGAGAACTTTGTAGTCAAGTCTCTCATTAGCCTGATTAACCATGGTTATTTTTACATTTTTTATTATATTATTTAATTACATCTTTAAAATGTCTACAAATGTATAAAAAAATAAATAAATAAAAATCAGGCAAAAACCATAGACACTGGTTCACAGATATCATCGTCCTCTAGTTGCGAACCATAGGAATTTTAAAACATTTATGATGTAAAGAATCCTCGTTTACGGGACTCATGTAATTTCGACAGTTTGATACACTCCGAATCAGAGGTTCAAAACAAATAATTCGCAAAGGTTTCGAAGCTCCTTGAAGCAGTGCTTTGAAAACACCCATCACTAATTAATTGTAACAATGTATCTAACTTGCCACAATAGGACATTTTGCCTAATTTGGTAATATTTGAATAGACAATTTACTGTATTTCCCAGAATATAAATCGCTTCTATTATCTGAAAAGTCCCATGACTTATGTTTTGTGTGCTTGACGTTAATTGCATACAATGCTTTGAAATATATGTAAAGTGTGTATACTTGGCTTTTTTTGTATAGAACAGTTCCTACAAAATGTCCTTATTTTTCCCCATTCTGCTCTGAATACAGTTCTGCTGTGAATTTAAGGATTTGTTTTGGAGTGAGGGGAACAAAAACTGTTTAAATGTCTGTAAACATTTAATTTTATCTACCAGTGTTTTATATCATTTCTGAATATAACTACTTGCGACTTAGGGGTGTAACGGTTCACAAAATTCACGGTTCGATACGATACACTTGTGTCACGGATCGGTCTGTTTTCGATACAGCAAAAAGAAAGAAATGCCAGAGAAATTTCCTTGATTTAATTATATTTTTATTAAAACTAACATCATAAAGAATTACATTTTTTTACTTTGAGCAATGGAGCTATACTTGACTTTTCTTAGGGAGCATATAAAACAAAATTAATATTTTAATAAATAAAAATAATATTGTAGTAGTTATAAACAAAGGTTTATTTTAGTTCAGAATAACATTTGAGGGCAGCAATTGTATTTATAATGTCAAAATAAAACCGACGTAATGTTACTTGAAAGCATTATAGCCTACTATTCCTGCCAAACTTCCATGGCTCCAGTTAGTAGTGTTACTACAGTAAATCCATGGTGAATGTTGCTGATCTGTGGACACTGAATAGTTCATGGCACAATGTTTCTTCCTGGTTTCCACGTCAGCGCTGTTTGATCCGCTAATAACGGAGAAATGTGAATGTTTCTCACTAGATCTCACAGCGATATTATTACTTCAGTGGCGAATTCAAATGCTTTCTTTACTGGATTTCGCTGTGTAGTAACAGTGTCGCTTGATTAAGATCGGCTGGCGCTGCATTGGTGCAAACTGATAAACGGTCCATCAACCAGTAGCTCAGTTTCGTTCCTCTTACATTTGCCATTTGATGATGGGCAATGTTGTGGTCACTCCAGCGTCTTACATTATGTGCGCGCTTGCCACTCGCGACGCGCCTAGATTAGAAATAACGAAATTTTGGTCGGCAGGAAAAAATGGTTCGGTTTAAAAATGCGTACCGAAAACCGAACCGAGAGCCTCGTACCGAACGGTTCAATACGAATACGTGTATCGTTACACCCCTATTGCGACTAGATCTAATTAATATAACTAGATGCGACTTGTATTTCTTCCTTTCAACAATGCTTATATTCTGGTGCGACTTATTTTCCACTACATCTTGTACAGTAATTCATACCTTTAGGGCTAGCCGCAGGTTCGGATGTCGTTTTAGACCTGTCATCCGCTTCCACAATCTCCACAGCCCTCCTGAAGGATAGATAGATGTGTGAGACCCTCACAAAACTAACCGTCACACTTGTGCTGGAGATTTAGCAGTAGAGCCCGCTCTCTTACCTGCAGATGTCGAGTGCTTTGCGAGCATCTCCTGACACTGCTGAGACTTTCCTGGCACAGAACTGAACTGCCGCGGCATCCAAAACACCTTCACCTGATACCTAAACGCACAAACAAGCCCATGTATTAATACCTCAGAATGTGAGACTGGATAAGAGCAAGTAACAAAATATGCAAGTAGGCATACTTGTGTGAGCCGGTCTTGGACGATTGCATTGAGCTCCTCACGGCTGTAGGGAGGAAAGTTGAGCAGTTTGGGTCTGCAATGTGGTTTTGCCTGGAGTCTAGGCAGGATACGGTCCGTCAGGTCCAATGCATTAGCAATACCTAAAGGGTCAAAGTTCACGTCAGCAGACATTCAGTACGATCCGCTTTGTAAAGAAGAACATTAGCAGAAATAAAGTCAGTTATTAAAGATGCAGTAAGTGATTTCTGAGAACAGTGGAAAATGGACCAGACCAACGGCTGCAAGTATGACAACAACACTCATGATGATGATGATGAGGGGGGGGGGGGGGATGTACTCTTGTGTACTGCATGTTAATTTTTTGTTCTTCCTTGTCATTCGTTCACCACCTTCTCTTTTTTTGTTAAGTATTATTTTGCCTATGGGAGGGGTGTGTTTGTTTGGGTTGATTTCAAATATCAACACTGTTTCTCAGAAATCACTTATTGCACCTTTAAATTATAACTATCTTACCAATTAGACAAACACGAGATTTGGGCAGGTAAGGCCACTCAAAGATCGTGTAGAGAACCTCCTGAGACTTGCTGTCCAACTGGTCCATCTCATCGAGAACCAAAAGCCTGTTGCATACAAAAAAAACCAACACAATAAGATTTAAATCACTACAAACTAGTCTAAAAACCTGAAACAATTCATGCAAATTAGCATGAGCGAAGCGCTGTCTGAATGCGAGCTGACTTACACAATGGGCCCAGAGCTGGTCAGGTGTTTCTCCAGCCGAGCCTCGCTGTTGCCCTTGGGAACCCCCAGCCTCTCTCCCAGCAATGGAAAGATGGCATGAGAGCTGCGCAAATTCATACAGTTGATAAGCACAGTCTGAACTCCTTTCAACAGAGCCTGGAAACAGAAGAGAGGTCAGATGACTTCAATTGTTTTTTTTTTTAAATAAACAAGCAGTTGTTTCTTGCTATGATTTCATGTTTCACAATTTCACATAACAGACATTTCTCTGCTTTGAAAAATTAAAGCAGATGTACACTACCATTCAAACGTTTTTGTTTTGTTTTTAAAAACTTTAAAATTGTTCTTAAAATGTAAAATTACTGTTTTCTATTTAATTTTTTTTTAATGTAACTTATTCCTGTGATGGCAAAGCTGAATTTTTTTGCATCATTACTACAGTGTCACAGGACAGAAATCAAATCTAATATGCTGCTCAAGAAACATTTCTTTTTATTCAATCAATAAACGTGTTTTTTCCCACAATGCTCTTTAATGAGTAGAAAGTTCAAAAGAACAGCATTTACTAGAAATGTAGGTCTTTTGATCAATTTAATGCATCCTTGCTGAATACAAGTTAATTTCTTCCAAAGCATTCTTACTGACCCCAAACTTTTGAATGGTAGAGTATATTAAAATATATGCTTTTTTTTTGCATACGCCCATATTTTCTCTTGAGCTCACCTTTTGTTCCTGGAGGACACAGTTTAGACAGGCAGTCTTGCCTGTGCCAGGAGCTCCAGAGATATAGAGGCTGGAGGGTTTTTCTGCCACTACATGGTTCTCCAGGAAGGAGACAATGGCAGCTCTCTCTGCCTCACGAGAGAGAAGACGTTCGGGCACTGCAGTGTGAAGAGCCTGCTTGATGCTCTGGTAACCCGATTCTACAGGGATAACGACATAGATCAATTATCAAGTGTCAGAAATATGTGACATCAATTTTAATATAAATATTAAAACTTACTTTTGACAGGAAACAGTCGAGTAACAGGGATCTTTCCCTCTGTACGGGAGATCGGGTTGGTACAGGGGGTCTCATGCAGCCGTTTTGGTGATGGGCGACAAATAGGAGACAGGGGGATTTTCGGTGAGGACGGGGTGGGACGTGGAGGTGAGGAGAAGACCGGCGTGTTCTCATTGAAGGACAGTTTACGAGGGGAGCACAGAGGAGCGCAGCGCTGCTTGGGCGGAGAGCCGAGCATAGAAGGTAAGAGGTTACATCCGTTTTCATCACCTGAAACACCAACAAGAGCTTCATAAATAAAAGATAAAGCACACCACATTACAATAAGTACAGCAACCAAGATGGTCGTTTAAAGGTGATGATTTAAACACCTGTGCGTTTCCGGGGGCTCAGGGGCAGCCGCTCAGACAGAGAGGTGTTTTTCAACACAGAGTTTCTGGGAGACTGACAGGCACCAAGCGAATCCCCCACATTTGCCTTTCTAGGGGACAGAGGGGTGGACTGGACATCCACCGCGTTCTCGGAGGAGCTTTTAGGTCGAGAACCCAACCTGGAAGACTTCCTTCTAGGGAACTGAAGGGTGGGCTGCTTCTGTGAGCGAGTGCTGGGCATTTTTAGTTTAAAACCAGGAAGCAGATCTGTAAAGAAAAGCACAGTGATAAGATAGAAATCAACGATCTGCAATGCACAAAGCTTTAATAGTTTGCTATTTATTCAGTGTCAGCTTTCCCATTTTTGATTTTAGAACATCGGTTGCATTAAAACTGTTACTTTGCGGAGAAAACAGGGAAACCGTGAGGAATTTAGCAAGTACGTGTTGTTTTTCCTGTAGACTCTGGGGTGTGAGTGATTAACAAAGACATCCGAACATAAAACCTGTTGGGGTTGTTTAATAAAATAGCATCATGTCTTACAAATATTTAATTATTTTTTGTTCCGAATCACACTGATCAAAGATCACAATTGTTCCTCCCATTTGGCGGTTTTGACCCTACAGGTTCTTTATTTGCTTACGCACACAACGCTTCCTATCAGCTCTAATTCACTACTATGCAAACATAAGTACAATTCACAAATTATGTGTGTTTGTTGCAGATCTACAAATACTGTAAACTGAATGCGAGTAGTTTCTGTCGTGGGTCATTTGGCGCCAAGCTGTTTGTTCAAGCGCTGAACGACACTGAATAAAAGTAGTTTATTTAAAGAAACTACAACCTAGCAATCTCTTAAGGACTAAAGAATTAACATATTGAATGTCTTACCTGATTAAAGTTGAAATTGTATTGACAATCGCTGTAATAATTTTCACTTGTGAGCCTCAATGCTCCTCACCACACTGACCCGCCGTCAAACTAGCGCCAAATGTGTTGTGAACTCCTCCTCTAAACAGCTGAGGCTCCGGCGTGTGACGTTGATCCGTGACAACGCATTTCATTGGCTGCCCAAGTCCCTCTTGTTTTAAGTAACCAATGGGATTCTTCTAAGTCCCTTCCCCCCCACTGACTTGACTGTAAAGGCGCGTATATTGTATCTTTGTTGGTATTTTTGGCGGAAAGAATTTCCCGGGAAATATTAAGAAGGTTTTAAACTGCAGTTTTGAAATGCTGCATAAAGAAAAGGCAAGTATTCCACCATCATATTTGTACACTCTTATAAATTAGTTTTAACTCATGCTGGTGGTACTTTACCATTTTCTATCGTTTTATCGCATTTACACATCTCAAACAAACTAGTTTTGAATTAGAGTACTAAAGCTGCTGTTCAAAAGTACCATTCTAATATGAGATATATAATATATGTATAATCTAATATGACAAATAAAGTCTGAGTGTCATGAACATTTTGTAAACAACTGTTCACTCTTTAGCATATTTTAGTTTCCAACCAGATAACTGTCCATCCTGTGATAGGCTGGAGAACTGCGGAAGACGCATGCGCTGCATCAAGGCATTATGGGATTGACTGTCTCTTGATGCCACAGGGCAGGCTTGTATTCTTCAGTGACGGATCTGAAACCATAGATATACATCATAAATATAATTTGTATATTAGAAATGTGACGGTTTCAATAGGCCTATGTATTGTATGCGTTTTATAGGGTTTAAATAATTGTTTTTTCTTCACCATAGAACACAGTTTAAATGGTTAATGATTTATTAAGATTGAAATTTAATCTGAAGTTATAGGCTACATTTCCTCATTATTATAGGCATGGTGACTATATCAACCCCTTTCATTAAGAATATGGGCCCGCCTATAGTGTAATTCAGCTGTATTTCTTTGACTGGGATTTTGTTTGATTTGACATTCATTAATAAATGATTCTACTGAACTGTCAAGATATCATTTTGTGTTTTAGCCTACATAAAGGGCAGTTTTAAAAAGGATTATTAAAATAATGTCAAGATGCCCTCTTTTCAAGATTTATAAATGTGTGCAATAAAAAATACAATGTTTTTATTTATTTCCGTGAATAATAGTCAAGTAACTTATATAACGTTTTATAAAAAACATTGTTTCAATGCAGCTTTACAGTGATAACAGGAAACTCTGTTCAGTTTTGATTCAGAATTGAAAGTCAGTTCAGTGTTGATTCAGTTACGTTGTAAAGATCAATTATTAAATTAGTTCATTTTAGTTCCGCAAAAAAATTATGTCATCGTCCAGCTTAGATCAGTTCTCATACATCTCAACAGCGTCAGTACAGTACAATACATCGTAAAATTATCTCTCTCTCTCTCTATATATATATATATATATATTTAATACAATTTTTATTTTATTTTTTTTATTATACGTAGCGTAGCCAGAAAAGAGACTCTGGGTGTGCATCAGAAAAATTGGGTGTGCCACATTTATTGTCAGATTAATGTGCAAAAAAAAAACTATCACTAACATTACAGAATAGACTGGTCTGATGTATGGTTTTATGGTTATGACGCGCCACATAACCATAAAACTATATCAAATATAACTCAGGGTTCAACATTAAGCCTTTTCACATGCTTGTCCTTTGGAGAAGTTAATCGGTCATTCACTTGTCCGAGTAAAAAATGTGCTTGTCCAGAAAAAAATTGGATTACTTTTTTTGGTGTTGTAAATATAATGTATTCTGAAGTAAAAAATATCATCAGTGTTCAGTCAGCTTTGACATATTAAAATCTGCATGTTTATTATATTTTAACCTTTATAAAAGGGCCTTTTCTCTAATCGATTTAAATGCTTCATCTTTCACTTTAAATTCTTAAATTTGATCAATAAATTAAATTAGAATAATAAGACACTATAGGGCTGTTACCAGTCAAATTAAATAATTTACACTGAAAAATTACAACTGCATTAAATAATGTAATGAGATTGTTTTAAATATTTATTGGAATATACAAATAAGAAATGTTGGAAAGAACTTTTAAACACGAAACTAAACCACCAGTAGGTGGCGCCAGGCGACCGTCTCTAAATTAATTAGACGTTGTGCTATGGTTCTGCTGTGATCTTTATTTGGAACTATTTTCGCTGCTGAAATTGAACAAGAACAGTCACTTAATATTAAGTGACTTAATATTAATTACTTGTTTATTGAACATATGAAATATTGATCATATGAACTGCTTCACATTTTCAATCGTGATGGTATTCTGCACTCTTGATCGTGTGATGTTGCTTAACTGTATCATATGCAATTTAAAAACTCCACATTTTTACCGCAGTATGTTAACTGAGTTTCACGCTCATTTGTTTCCATTTCTCCTCCTGAGGCTGCGCGAGGCTCAACAGCACAGCCTTGTTACTGTCAGTAGGCTATTCGCCATAGGGTGACCACCATAGACTGTGGTGACCACCTGGTTATTGCTCTGTTGCAGGTCAGCAGACCTGATTTTGCGGGACAATGCGGGACACGAGGGAGAGCACTTAGCCTACTATTATTAATAAATATTGATTTTATATTAGATGTCTTTTTGCACTAACATGCTTTAAATTGCTAATATTACGACGCTGACCGGCGCTGTGAACGTCACTAATAATATAAAACAAATTTTAACAGCACGGGTGACGGGGTCTATCATTCAATCTAAATAATTAAGTGACAATAATAATCCAATCGCTAAAAACAAAATTTCTAAATACATAAATTCCTTTAGGAAAGAGTAAAGATTAAATGCGTTCTTACCGGATTGAGTGCATCTTGAATTTATATTTTTTGTCTGATCTGGCAGCTTCGGTGGCATACACTGCAATCTCCTTTTTTAGGGCCACCTGTAACTGGTTTTAACCATGTATATTTCCGGATAGATCAATTTTTCTGTTGCCGTCTTTTCCGGGTTTTTTTTTCTCGTTTGTCAAGTCAAGTCAAGTCATCTTCATTTATATAGCGCTTTTAACAATGGAGATTGTTTCAAAGCAGCTTTACAGAGATAAACATACAATTTACGGTAACATAGATTGTTTTGGCTTTATAGCGATTTTTGTTATTTCCAGCTAAAGTTGGTTTTGATTGATTCACTTCCAGCAAAATTATCATTTGTTATAGGGGCCACTAAGACGACGGCGTTCTCTCTAAACAGACTTTAAACGCGAACCTGTGACCTGATGGCGTTCACATGCGCATTAAAAATTGATTCTATATTATATTCGTTTGAATATGTGTGCGCAGGTTTGTAATTTCCCAACAAACCATGCCTAAACAAACTACTTGTCTTGCCTATAAATTTGATACAGAATTTTATTTTATCACTTTGAGGTACGCGAACCGGATTTTCAACAACGCTTTATCTGTAGAGTGGGAAAGGGATCCGAGGGAGTTTGTGTGTGTGTGTGTGTGTGTGTGTGTTTTCTCAGTGTTTGTTTTCCCGCTCTGGTTAGAACCAATAATAAGTCCTGCGCCGCGCATGTTCAGTGTTTTCTTATTAACATTTTTTTATTGTAGAATTTTAATTTAAAGGACGATGAAATAAAATTATGCAGACAAAATTCAAATGTGGGACACTGCTTATGACTTGGGACGCGGGACAAAGCTTCGAATTTCGGGACTGTCCCGAAAAATGCGGGACAGGTGCTCATCACCCTAATTCGCCACTTACACTTAATGAATGCAGAATCATTCTCTTGTTTTGGCGATTCCCTAGTTTTTATTAGTTTGTTTTTATTATTTTTTTTTTTTATATTGACGTTTTAATCAGGCTAACTGACTTCTCGTTCAAACATCAGCAACGAGAGGCTATTGTGTCCGGCTGTCCATTTTTATTATATTTACATAATAATCAAAATATATTCTTCTATATAAAAAATAAATAAATAAAGTGGATTTAATGAATGAATGTGCATAGAAAACCCCTTTTTCGTTTAATGTAAAAGGGATGTATAATGTCTATCAGTATCAGCGAAAAAGTTCAGAACGAGCCTTGCCTCGGTTGCGGATTAACATTGATGACGTCATAATGAAGCCCCGTCATGAGTGTGGAATTATACAACAGTTAGAAAGGCGATTCACTGTGCTCAGTTTTCTTAATGATAATTCTGCTGTTTTTTATCATCTGTTTTTCTGTTTGTGGCAATTATCATGGCTCTTAAAAGAAAAATGAGTTCTGGCAGCGCTCAGGTGTACGAGCCCCAGCAAATTACACCCCCAACACCCAGCACTAAATTTGCGGCGGAGTACTATCAGTCAGTTACTGTTGGTGGGGGAAATGAGATGGCGAAGAGAAAAAGGAGGAATGAGAGTTTTGACGAGGGGTCGGAGAGAAAGAGGAGGAGGAAGGAGAGTTTTGACGAGGGCCCGGAGAGGAGGAGGAAGGAGAGTTTTGACGAGAGGCCGGAGAGAAAGAGGAGGAAGAAGGAGAGTTTTGACGAGGGGCCGGAGAGAAAGAGGAGGAGTAAGGAGAGTTTTGAAGAGGGGCCGGAGAGAAAGAGGAGGAGTAAGGAGAGTTCTGACAAGGGGCTGGAGAGAAAGAGGAGGAAGAAGGAGAGTTTTGAAGAGGGGCCGGAGAGAAAGAGGAGGAGTAAGGAGAGTTTTGACAAGGGGCCGGAGAGAAAGAGGAGGAAGAAGGAGAGTTTTGACGAGGGGCCGGAGAGAAAGAGGAGGAGTAAGGAAAGTTTTGACAAGGGGCCGGAGAGAAAGAGGAGGAAGAAGGAGAGTTTTGACGAGGGGCCGGAGAGAAAGAGGAGGAGTAAGGAGAGTTTTAATGAGGAGCAGGAGAGAAAGAACAGGATGAAAAAGAGATTTGATGAGGGGCAGGAGAGAAAGAGGAGGAGGAAGGAGAGTTTTGAAGAGGGGCCGGAGAGAAAGAGGAGGAGGAAGGAGAGTTTTAATGAAGAGCAGGAGAGAAAGAACAGGAGGAAAAAGAGATTTGATGAGGGGCAGGAGAGAAAGAGGAGGAGGAAGGAGAGTTTTGAAGAGGGGCCGGAGAGAAAGAGGAGGAGGAAGGAGAGTTTTAATGAGGAGCAGGAGAAAAAGAAGAGGAGGAGTGAGAGTTTTGATGAGGGGCAGGAGAGGAAGAGGAGGAGGAAGGAGAGTTTTGAAGAGGGGCCGGAGAGAAAGAGGAGGAGGAAGGAGAGTTTTGACGAGGGGCCGGAGAGAAAGAGGAGGAGAAAGGAGAGTTTTGATGAGGAGCTGGAGAAAAAGAAGAGGAGGAAGAAGGAGAGTTTTGACGAGGGGCCGGAGAGAAAGAGGAGGAGGAGTGAGAGTTTTGATGAGGGGCCGGAGAGGAAGAGGAGGAGGAATGAGAGATTTGATGAGGAGCTGGAGAGGAAGAGGAGGAGGAATGAGAGTTTTGATGAGGAGCAGGAAAGGAAGAGGGAGTATAGTTTTGAGAAGCTGCCATCTCTTAACTTCTTCAGGCCAGGTCAGGGTCAGCAAGTGGAGGACCAGTCTGAAGTCCTTACCTCTAAACATCTGCAAGTTCAAACCCCTCCAGCTCACAGACCCGTCAGTCCAGCATCAGTTGGCAACAAAGTGGACTTGACAGTTGAGGGTGAGTTTACTGCTATAATCTCAAAGATTACATACTTTTCAGTGCTAAAGTTTCATGTTCATTTACAGGGGTGGCACCCTAAATAAAGCATTGCCACCCTATCTGCCACCTCAGAATCATCACAGTATAACACACACACACACATATATATATATATATATATATATATATATATATATACATATATATAAGCAGTGTTTCTTGTGCTGTTTTTAAGCAGTGGCACTTCAATGTGAAAAAATGTCATTTAAACTTGTGATTTATTTGGCCTAGGTAAAATAATAAAACAACTTGTCTTCTCTTTGTTTGTAGTAAAGATAGATAGACATACTTTTACTAGCTCAGAGACATTTTTTTAACCTTTTGATGTGTTTAATGGCCAGTGTAATGATTTGGTGCCCTGGATATTGACATTTAATTTTTTATTATTTTTTAAACAGTATAGATGATTTTTGTGTTAATGCTGCTGTTTTGCACATTCATTTATCCAAATGTGTATGACAGTCAGCCCATGAATCCATAAGAATTATGCATGGATGCTTGCTTTGGTGTTGCCACCGCTCAAAAGTCCTCATGGCACCCTATAAATATTTTTCAAACTATTAATTATGTATCTTTTAATAGAGGACATTTTGAGCCAATATGAAATCAGCAGAATGCTTGGCCAGGGAAGATTGGCCACTGTCTACGAAGGGAGGCGCTTGGAGGACGGCCTTGAGGTGGCGGTGAAAATTTCCAGAAAGCCGAGGAACATGGAATACATCACCATTGTAAGTAGACTACACTTGCTATGTTTTTTTCACATTGTTAAACTTAAAACATGTAAACAATATGGATATGGACTAAAAGCACCTTCATCTAACAATCATAAAAATGATCTTTCTTCTAGCCTGGTCATCCCGCACCCATTCCAATAGAGGTAGGTCTATTAATTCTTGTTAATAAGGGCCCCAACACTCAAGAGATCGTTCAGCTGCTGGACTGGCAGGACCAGCTTGACCGCTACATCATGGTCTTTGAACGCCCCTTACCATGTGAAGATCTGATAAATTTTTTGGATTGTCATGAAGACACCTTTAGTGAGGACATTGCAAAGTTTAAAATGCTGCAGGCACTGTGCGCCGCTTACACATGCTGTGGAGTGCTTCACTGCGACATTAAGATGGAGAACCTGCTGATCAATCCAGAAACATTCCTGGTCAAACTGATTGACATTGGATGCAGGGATCTCCTGAAGGAATCTGTTTATGATCGATTCTGTGGTATGTATTATGACTCAAACCTGTAGTTTAGGACTACAATTCTAGTGACAAGCTAAAGTATATCCTAACCAGACAAGACACGCTAAAGGGACTTGTAGTTTTCCCTTTAAAGAGATTGTTCACCCAAAAATGAAAATTCTGTCATCATTTACTCACCCTTATGTTGTTCCAAACCTTTACAAAAGACACAAAAGAAGATATTTGGAAGAATGTTGGTAACCAGTTGATGTACCCCATTGACTTCCGGGGTATTTTTTTCCCTACTATGGAAGTCAATGGCTAACGTCAACTGTCTGGTTACCAACATTCTTCAAAATATCTTCTTTTGTGTCTTTTGTACAGGTTTGGAACAACAAAAGGGTGAGTAAATGATGACAGAATTTCCATTTTTGGGTGAAATATCCCGTTTGTCAGTGGAAACTTCACGCATCGCACCTGGTTTGGAAATGTCCACATTGATTCCTAAATTGATGCACCAATGTTTTTGAATCGAATAAAACCTATTTTTGTATGCTAATGGGTACATTGAAAACATGCAGTAGTATTTCAAGCTTACTCATCAGACAAAATGTCTTTCCTTCCGGCACAGATGATTATTCCCCGTCTGAGTTCAAAACTGAGGGCAGGGACCATGGGAAACCTGCCACTGTATGGTCACTGGGAATTTTTCTATTCACATTGATGTGTAGACGATTCCCAGAAAGTAATGATCTGGAGATGATTGATGACAACATCTTGCTTGAGCTTGGCGTTTCAGAAGGTGAGATGGTATCAAGAAGACAAATTGTTATTCTGAATCATACTAAACAGAACAAAGAAAAAAGGCGCCAAAAGTAACACCTGAGCCAAATGGCTATAAAGATGGGCTTGTTGATAATGCAGGAATTTTTCCGGATTTTCTGACCTTACAGATTAGCACAGTCAAATCTTATAGCTTATTATTACAAAGACAGCAGGTGTAAAGTTTAAGGTTATAATCTGACTCTCTCTCTCTCTCTCTCTCTCCCTCCCATTGTTCTTAACAGAATGCTGCCATCTGATTCGATCCCTCCTTCAGCAGGACCTAAGCCGGCGGATTAGTTTGGGGAAAATTATTTTCCACAGATGGTTTAAGGTACTGAGCCTAATATCAGCTACAAATGACTTTGAATGTTGAGTCTTTTTTTCTTTCTTTTTTTTTTGCATTTGTTTTCATATGTTTATCTGTTGTGGCATAAGAAAATATCTGAAGTCAAATCTCTTAAGTTTGTTTATGTTGACAATAACCCTGTATTTCGTTCTTCTTTTTTTGTACCCTCAGTATGACAGTGTTAGTGAGGGAAATGACAGTCAGGAGAGAAAGAGTAGTTTTGAGAAGCTGCCATCTTTTCATTCCTCTGACACATTAGCCAGCCCAGGTCAGCTTCAGCAAGTGCAGGACCAGCTCTGTGCTTCTAAAACACTTTAACTTAAATATGGCCATCCATTATTGAAGAATAGGGGGATTTTCTATTCCTAGAATCACGTGTCATTAATTATCATAAGAAAAAAATCCACACCTTCACACGTTATTTCAAAACGCAATTGATTGAAGTTTAATTAAGGACAGGATCAGATTTGTATTCCATGACTTCTGTTCAATCTTTAAACACAGATGAATACACATGGACAACTGTTACCACCAGCAAGAAGAGAAAACGGAGTTCTCACAGCTCTCAAATGTACGACTGCCATCAAAGTACACCACCAACGGACGAGGGGCCTGAGAGAAAGATAAATAGGACGAATAGTGTTGAGATGGTGTCCGCGCTCTCTTTCTGTGACCTGAAAGGCAGCTCAGATCAGGGTCAGGCTCAGCATATGGAGGATGAGGCTACTGTGCCTATATACGAGAGACATGCTGAAGGTAAATCAGATAACCTCGCCATTAGAATCTGTAACTGTTTTTTTGCTCTGTACATCAAAAACTTGACATAATCTTTCAGCTAGATATGAGTATCCATTAATGGAAGCTTAATTAACCTTAAGCATAATCATAAATGCCCCTAACTGAAGAATCATCATAATGTATGAAGGATTTCTTTATTATTTAATTGAATCATGTTTTTGGTTAATATTTCCAGCATTATATCAAAATGTAGTGGAAGGTAGTTTTCAGGAGCCTCATTTCAGTGGCCTTGAAGTCCAGCCGCCTGCAAATCCGCAAAACATTTTGAGCCGGTATCAGTTTGGCAGAATACTTGGTCAGGGAGGATTCGGCACTGTCTATGAAGGGAGACGCCTGGAGGATGGCCTTGAGGTATCATTATTTTACATACAATATTAGTGTATATTATGTTCACTTTTAGTGCACTTGTTTTGACAAATGTTTTCTTTTGTTGATCAGGTGGCAGTAAAAATTGCCAGAAAGCCGTGGAATATGCCGTACATTGTCATTGTAAGTAGACTACTCTTTCCATGTTCTTTCACATTTTTTAATTTAAAACATGTAAACAATTTGTTCAAGACTGGGCTAAATCTTTATTTGGGAAAGCACCCCCATCTAACAATCATAAAAATGATCTTTCTTCTAGCCTGGTCATCCCGCACTCCTTCCATTAGAGGTCGGCCTGTTAATCCTGGTTAATTGGGACCCTAAAGTTCCACAGATCGTTCAGCTGCTGGACTGGCAGGACCAGCCTGACTACTACATCATGGTTTTGGAGCGCCCCTCACCCTGCACAGATCTGTCTAACTACATTAGCCTCTTTAGAGGAACTCTCCATGAATTTGTAGCGCGACTTGTCATGTGGCAGGTAACGCACGCCGCTAACGTGTGCAGTGCCCGTGGTGTTCTCCACCGTGACATTAAGATGGAGAATCTGCTGATCAATCCAGAAACATTAGAGATTAAACTGATTGACTTCGGATGTGGGGATCTCCTGAAGGAATCTGCATATAATCAATTCTGTGGTATGTATTAAGACTTTAGGACTTAAACTGTAGCATATCCTATAAATATATTTCAAGCTTACTCATCAGACACAATGTCTTTCCTTCAGGCACAGAAGATTATTGCCCCCCTGAGTTCAGAACAGAGGGCAGGTACCATGGGAATCCTGCAACTGTGTGGTCACTGGGAGTCCTCTTATTCAGAATGGTGTGTGGACACTTTCCAGAACCCATAGAACTGCTGGCGATTTATACGGGCATTTGGAATCAGTCTGGCTTGTCACACGGTAAGATGGCATTCATCACAAAAAGAGAAAACCTGTGCCAGGAATTCTGGAAGTTCTGAACGTACAGTTTAGAATCTTAAATATTACAGCTTATTACAAAGATAGCAGATGTAATGTTCAAGATTGTAATCTGACTCTCCTGTCTCTCTTTTTCTCTCATTGTTCTGCACAGAATGCTGCCATCTGATTCAGTGTCTCCTGCAGCAGGACCCAAGCCGGCGGATTGGTTTGGAGGAAATCCTGCCCCATTCATGGTTTCAGGTACTGAGCCTAAGATCAGCTACTAATGGTTTAGAAGAAGTATTCACATTTTGACTCCCTATTATTATGCATTTGTTTTTATATGTCGTATCTTTATTGTTTGTGACACAATTCTGAAGTCAAATCTCTTCTAAATGTAACGTATGTAGACAATAACTTTCTGTATTTTGTTTCAGGCCATCCTGTAAGAAAAAAGGGATCAAACTAACTGATTGACTTCGGATGCTGGGATGTCCAAATGGAATCTGCCTAGGTATGTATTATAACTGTCAGAAAACAGACTCACAGAAGTAGTGAGAAACAATAACAAAGGTTTATTCATTCAGGTAGATGGCAAGGTAAGTAAATTGCAGGTAGACAACAACCATGAAGATGATGAGGATGAAGCTTAAGCAGTCCAATAGAGGTACAGTGCACCACACGCACACTTCACACCAATGAGTCGCTGAGTAGCTAAATTAAGAATTTGTTTCTTCTTACTGGGAGAACACTTGGAGAACTATCCCACTATTTTGAATCAAATAAAACCAAATATTTCTTTCGCATGCTAATGGATACAGTGAAAACATGTTTACAATTTTAAATCGTAATCTCTTTCTCTCTCATTGTTCTGCACAGAACGCTGCCATCTGATTCAGTGTCTCCTGCAGCAGGACCCAAGCTGGCGGATTGGTTTGGAGGAAATCCTGCCACATTCATGGTTTCAGGTTCAGGTTTCTTTTCCACTGCATGGTACGGTACGGCTCACTTGTGGCGCTTTTCCACTGCATGGTACGGTACGGTATGGCTCGCTTCGGCTCGCTTTAAATGGTACTACCTCTGTAGAGGTTCCAAGCGTACCGTACCGATACTAAAGTGTGACGTGAAAACACTGCAGATCACTGATTGGTCAGACAGAATCGTCACTACCAGCGTCATTGTATTTGCGAGACATCAAACCCGCTAGATTTAAATAGCCAGTAACAGCCTGTTGCACCTGTTTTAAAACTACTTGCTTGACTTGCTAGAAGAAAAAAAGAATCGTGAATGCTGAATGAATCGTGGTCAGTGAACGAAGTGCAGACGCTCGTTGGCTGCCGTGGAGCGGATAAACCAGAGCCATAGAGAGAAAGAGTTGCGACACGCTTTGATGTCGCCGCAACGGCTGTCACGTGGTTCATGTAAGCCCTAATAGTTCCAAAACATACGCGGGCTGTCATGTTCTTCTATGGACAGACAGCAGCGATTGCATTATTAAATGGTAAATATAAAATAAAACACACACCCAAGTACTTTTTCAGCTGTTATTGCATTTTGTTAATGTCAGTTTTGCATTTGGAGAGGCAGGGTGACAACTTAGATAAGTTTATAGGCTATATTTTTTGGAGAGAAACGCTAGTGTTCATGTTCGCATAGGTAGTACCACTGGCTTTAGCGGGTCTAACTTAACTTTTTCCATGTCATTCATCTGATGATGGACGTCTCATGATATTTATTTTAGCACAACTGGGCTGTATTAGGCTATTGATTCCCGTGATCTTGCTTATAAATTCCACTTCGTGATCACGCAAAGAGGTCTGCGGTCCGTTCAGAATTCCAACCAACATAAAATATAAATAATTACGCTGTGCATGTACAAATTAATGATTTAGGAGGGAAATAGACTGCTCCCATAACGTAGAAAGCAACGACTATATACAGCAATGTTCGGTAAATATTCAACCAAAAAATATTCTTCATAAAATTAAACCGGAGAGATAGTTAATGAGTGAATTAACTATGTTCCTAAATACATGTAAGCACATATATGCATAACCCTAACCCATTTAAATAAATGAATTGTGTGTGTGTATGTATATATAATGTTATATATAGGCTATATATATATAGATACATATAAAATGTTATTAAAAATATTATATATTATATACATCAGTTACCGTAAGTTAGCTAACGTTAGTGAAGTGTTGGTCACGTAAGCTATAGCTGCAATTAACCTATTATCTTCCAATAAACATTTACTAAAACTGGCTACATAAAATATAACTACAGACTAGATTCACGAGAGGTCGGCTAATGTGTGCAAAAGTAAAATAAAATACAGTAATTTCATTAATTTACCAGCGAGCGTACTTCAGAAGCACTGAAAATGAATGAGGTTCAATGGAGAAACTATCAGTGTTTGGAACTATTGGCCGCTCCACGATACGCGTTACTTCCGCATTCCAAAGTTCCTATGGCGGTCTATGGGAGTGTCGCAACTCTCTCTCTCTATGGCTCTGGGATAAACTATAACGATCAGACTGTAATTCCACCCACTTTGAAGCGGTACTAACTGCAGTGGAAAAGCAAACCGAGCTAAAGCGAACCGAGCCGTGCTGTGCTGTGCCATGCCGAGTCGTACTACGCAGTGGAAAAGCGAAGCGAGTCGACCATACCATGCAGTGGAAAAGCGCCATTAGATCAGCTACCAATGGCGTTGAAGAAATATTCAGTATTTGTTGTTTATTTATTTTGACACAATTCTGAAGTCTAATCTCGTATAAGTGTAATGTATGTAGACAATAACCCTCATTTCTGTATTTTGTTTCAGGTCACCCTATAAGAATCAGGAAAAATGTAGTTAGTGCAAATGTAATGGACATTTTATTTGCTCTATTTACCACCACAGTTACTTTAAAAAAGTAATTAGTTATAGTTACTAGTTACTTCTCACAAAAAGTAACTGAGTTACATCATTACAAAAGTAACTAATTACCGGGGAAAGTAACTATTGTGTTACTTTTAAAAAACATTTTTTAAATATGTTAAATAACTTGGATATATGTTAAATATTAAATATGTTAAATGAATGAAATGGACACTAAATAGAACACATTATTATAAAACATTGTAGACTAATCTACACTATTTTAATGTTGCTGTGGGACAATGTGAGAGACACCTTAACTGAAATATTAAAATATTATCATTACTATAGTGGAACAACTAAACACAATATGGTTTAGAACTTTTAATATTTACACAACTGGCTAACAAATAAGTCTAAAAATAAATTATGCTTCTTAAGAAATGTAACAAAAATAAAAAAATTATTAAAAAAATATACATACACATACACTCTTTGTAGTCCAAATTAAAATTATAAAACTCACACACCTGTACAACTGGTAGACATACTGTATAGCCTACTTGAAGTATTTTCTTCCTCACAAAAGTACACAGTTTAACAAAAAGTGCTCTCAATATAATACTGAACAATGTAACAACATACAATAATAATAAAATATAATATTTTGGGTTTTTATTTTTATAACCTACAAAGGACGTCATCATCAGAGGTTATTTAAGCCAAATTCTAGTCGTGTTTGCCGCACATGTTCATAACTGGTCAAACAAATATGTTTTCTGGGAACGTTCCCTGCAGGTTATTTTGGTTATAACAGGTTAGTTTTATTTTATAACCATGTAAACTAATTAAAACGTTGCAGATGATAGCCTACCAATAGGCTACAGAGATATTACTACAAACTATATTTTGCTCGGACACACTCGGTCTCTCTCTGACTTGGTCGCGCACTGTCGAGCGCGTTCTCGGACACAGTCGCACTGTCGAGCACACTGGCGGCGTTCGCTTCGCTTTTGTCCAGTCCAGCGCCTCATAAACACACACACACACACACCAGAGAAAAAACTTTCCAGGTCCTATGGCGGAGAGAGAGCCCGATTGGATGAAAAATACTGAACAATGAAATACTGTGAACATATGCAAAAGACCAATTATTTATAAAGCAGCGTATTAAACTGATCATTTTAAGATAGATATTTATTTTATGTAAAGAAGTACAATCAAATTATAATTCCCTTTCCCAGCTTTTATTTCACAATTATGTTGACATGAATTTTAACACATTCAGAAACAGATAAAATGGCATTTACAAGTCAGATTGATTGGTCACCAAATCCCAATAGTAGCTTCTACTTAACGGCCAGAAGTGCCTGAACATTATTAACACACTTGGTCAGTTTATAACATATTATACAATGCAACACAATTAAAATATGCCAATTTGAAAAACCTGTAGTGTTTTATACAAAATCTACTGAAATTTATTTTAGGTTTCAAACAAAAAGGCAATCTATAAATGACCCAGAAACATTGGTACCAAGCCAGGAAAAGGGTGCAGGTGATCCAGAAGATGGCACTGTTTCAAAAACACAGTCTTCTGCAGATCCGCTGGCACTTAGTGTGTATTTGGTCAGTATAAAGTAGTTTAGATTCAACATAGAGCCAATAAAAAAAATATATATATATTTTTTAAAATCTCTTAAAACTTATATGACAGAATTGGCTCTGATTCTGTAGCGTGACCAGGAAAACACAACTGCAGACCGAACAATAAACGAGGTTGTTTCATAGCCTTTGTAGTGTAAGCAAACACGTTTACAATTTAAACTACCTCATTCCTGATAGATTTGGAAAGCAAAAAAATATAATTAAAGTAAGGATAAAAAGTGAAAAATAAAATGATTGTCCAGAGAAATACAGACTTTGCGTCTGATATGCATAGACATCGATAATCTACAAGTGCTACACATTTTCTCATTGAATAAAAAAACTTTGGTTGCTGTAAGAAACAAGCGGAAAGTACACATCTAGCTTCACGGTAACTGGAGTTGTCTACTCTGCCTTGGTTTGCTTTGCTGTGTCGCTGTCATCAGACACAATAACAGAAGGTGCATTGTCTAGGCAGCACAGGAATATTGCACAGTTCTCAGGTCTAGAGGTACAGCATTCTGGAGTGGTTTGGATCAGAGATCATGTAGCTATTAATAGTGTTTCCCTTAGAAAGATGTCACATTATTAGTGTATTTTTATGTGTAATTAACGTGACAAACACACTTAAATATATACTGTATACAGCATGTACGTTTGTGTGTTTGTGTCATCTTTTTAGGTCCTTCTCTTCCCTGAATGGCGTTCATCTTCCTCCAACAGGAGGCAGTGGAGGAGCACCTCTCCCTAAAGCGGGAGAAAGATAAAGAGGACATGAGGAAATGTGTAGAACAAAATCTGTAAAAGTTTGTCTTTATGGAAAAACTGTGGGTCAAAGACAGCATCATCAGGTCTTTACCCTGGTTGTTTTTGCTAGGATAGGTCTTCTGGAAGTGTCTATATTCTTCAGGTGGAGGCAGGTCCTCTATAGGGTGGAAGTCGTACTTAGACTCAAAATCATCTGAGAAGAGACATCAAACATTTTAAACATATAAAACCGTTAGCGATCAATGAAGCTATTTTGTGCTCCACCTGGGGATCGTTTAACCCTACTCCTCCCCTACCCAGGGGGTCAAAATGACCTGAAGCCTAAAAATTACACTACTTTTTTTTTGGGTCTAGAAATCTTATATTGGTATTTTATGATCAAATATTATCTTCAAATTTATGCTGTTTCTTTTTTTACCTCTAAATTCTTAAATGGTATTATTTTAATTGAAAATAAGCATATTTTTATGGAAGCTTGTTTCCACCACAGAATAAAAAAGGTAATTGCGATTAAATCTCGCAATTCTGACTTTATATCTCACAACAAAATAATATAGAATTCATAGACAATTGGAAAAGTTTTTGGGGCAGACCTGACCTGTTAAAAAGAGATAGTATTCATCCCTCCTGGGATGGTGCTGCTCTTCTGTCTAGTAATATGGCACATAGTCTTAGAGCTCAAACATGACAATCTGGGGCTCAGGTCAGGAAGCAGACAGACTGGCTAAACCGACCGTCTGCCAGCTGTCTCACGTCACTGAGGTCAGATAAATCTCATCACATAGAGACTCTTTCACCTAGATATCATCATATAGAGACTGTGTCTGTTCCCCGAATTAGGAAATACAAAAAACTCCTAAACCCATTTAAGGGTAAAAATTTGATTGATGTTCAACAAATAAAAAACAAATATAATGCAGATGAACAAATGATAAAGCTCGGGTTGCTGAATATTCGATCCCTTTCTTCAAAAGCACTTTTTGCTAATGATATTGCTAATGATATATTTAGACACAATTGCTCCTTTGCGCTTAAAGAAGATTAAAGAAAATAGTCCAACGCCATGGTACAACGAGCACACTCGGGCCCTTAAGAGAGCAGCCAGAAAAATGGAGCGTAGCTGGAAGAAAACAAAATTAGAAGTTTTTCGCATTTCGTGGAGAGAGAGCACGATTGCATACAGAGAGGCCTTAAAAAAACCGCTAGATCTGCTTATTTTTCAACACTCTTAGAAGAAAACGGCGGCAGTGGTTCATGTGGGTTGTCTACAAACCGGAAGGTTGGTGGTTCAATCCTCGGTTCCACCTGACCAAGTGCTGAGGTGTCCATGAGCAAGACACCTAACCCCAGCTGCTCCCGACGAGCTGGATGGCGCCTTGCATGGCTGCCGTCGCCCGTCGGTGTATAAATGAGTGAGTGAATGGGTGAATGTGAGGCAAATTGTAAAGCGCTTTGGTGGCCATTGGGTCTGTGAAAGCGCTATATAAATGCAGTCCATTTACCATTTACCAAAACAAACACAACCCTAGGTATTTATTCGAAACAGTAGCTAAATTAACAAAAAATAAAACTTCAACACCGGACGTTTTCAAACAGCACAGCAGTAATGACTTTATGAACTTCTTTACTTAAAAGATTGATAATATTAGAGAGAAAATTATAACTATGCAACCGCCTACTACAGTATCGCATCAGACAGTGCGTTGTAGTCTCCCTGAGGAAAAATTCCATTCATTCGTTGCGATAAGAGGAAGAATTGTCTAAACTCGTTAAATGATCTAAATCGACAACATGCATGTTAGACCCCATACAGACTACGCTATTGAAAGAGATGCTTCCAGAGGTCATAGATCCTCTTCTTAATATCATTAATTCACCTTTGTCACTAGGATATGTACCGAAAACTTTTAAGCTGGCTGTTATTAAACCTCTTATTAAAAAAACTTAACTTGATCCTAGATCCTCGAATCTGCCTTTTCTGTCAAAGATATTTGAAAAGGCAGCATCCTCACAACTATGTTCCTTTTTAGAAAGAAATGATATCTGCGAGGATTTCCAGTCAGGATTTAGACCATACCGTACTGAGACTGCTCTCATTAGTCACAAATGATTTGCTCTTATCATCCGATCGTGGCTGTATCTCTCTATTAGTGTTACTCGATCTTAGTGCTGCATTTGATACCATTGACCACAATATTCTTTTACATAGACTTGAAAATTATGTTGGCATTAGTGGAATTGCACTAGCATGGTTCAAATCATACTTATCTGACCGTTATCAGTTTGTTGCAGTAAACGAAGAGATGTCTTATCGATCAAAAGTTTAGTATGGCGTACCACAAGGCTCAGTACTAGGACTGTTGCTGGTCACTCTGTACATGCTACCCTTGGAAGATATCATTAGGAAACATGGCATTAGCTTTCACTGTTATGCTGATGGTACTCAGCTCTATATTTCTTCGTGCCCCGACGAAACGCACCAATTCACAAAATTAACGGAATGCATAGCTGATATAAAAATTTGGATGACTAGTAATTTCCTACTACGTAACTCTGAAAAAACAGATTCTAATTATTGGCCAAACAACTTCCTCACTTAATAACCAAGAATACTGTCTAACACTTGATGGCTGCTCTGTCAAGTCTTCGACGTCAGTTAGGAACCTTGGTGTGCTCTCTGATACCAATCTTTCATTTGAAAGTTACTTTTCTAGCATCTGTAAAACCGCATTCTTCCATCTTAAAATATATCTAAATTACGACATATGCTTTCAATGAAAAATGAGGAACAGTTAGTTCATGCATTCATGACATCAAGGCTAGATTATTGTGATGCTCTACTGGGTGGTTGCCCTGCACGCTTAATAAATAAACTACAGCTGGTCCAAAACGCAGCAGCTCGAGTTCTTATCAGAACCAGGAAGTATGACCATGTTAGCCCGGTTCTGTCAACACTGCATTGGCTCCCTATTAAACAGCGTATACATTTTAAAATATTGCTGTCTACCTACAAAGCACTAAATGGTTTAGCTCCCCAGTACTTGTGCGAGCTCTTAACACATTATAGTCCTTCACGTCTATTGCGATCTCAAAATTCTGGCCAGTTGATAATACCTAGAAAATCAAAATCAACTGCTGGCGGTAGATCCTTTATTCCTTTTCCTATTTAGCACCTAAACTTTGGAACAGTCTCCCTAACATTGTCCGGGAAGCAGACACACACAATCTAGACTAAAAACACATCTCTTTTACCTGGCATTCACATAGAACATTATACATTTCTATTATTCAAATCAGTTAAATGATTATTAGGCTGAATAGATTAGGTCAACCGGAACCGGGGACACTTCCTAAAACACCCGATGTACTCGTTACATCATAAGAAGAATGGCATCTACGCTAATGTTAGTCTTTCCATTTATTCCGAGGTTTACTGAAGTCAACCGGATCCGAGCCGTATCCAGATCAGATGGTGAACCTGCGCCTGGACACGACCACAACGCATCCCTGAAGTGCCAGCCTCATCAGCCCTGTGAAGGCCTCACGGACACCTCAACAAACTCGTCTCCATAGCGGCGTGATGACTCCGACCTCCAACCAGATGGAACTGGATAATATTGTGAATGTTCTGATCCAATCTGACTACTGACCAGTAATGTTGCCTGAATCATAATCACACACTGTTCGTTCGTTGGCCAGAGGAGAACTGGTCCCCGACTGAGTCTGGGTTCTCCCAAGGTTTTTTTCTCCATTCTGTCATCTGATGGAGGTTTGGTTCCTTGCCACTGTTTTGGCTTGCTTAGTTGGGGACATTTAATATTCAACAATATTATTGATCTGCCTTACTTAAGGTGGACGATGGTGCAATTTTCTTCTAGAAACAAACTTCTTGTATTATTTTCATGTTATCACTGTGAAGCTGCTTTGATACAATCTGTATTGTAAAAAGCGCTATATAAATAAAGGTGACTTGACAATTGCAACTTTATATCTCACAATTCTGACTTTATACCTCACAATTCTGACTTTAGAACACGCTATTGCGACTTGAGAACACGCAATTGCGCAAGAAAAAGGCGCATTTATCTTTTGAAATGTTTTATTCTGTGGCGGAAACAAGCTTCCATATATTTGTGCACATTATTCCACAAAAAAAGAAAGGAGAAAAAAAAAAAAGACCAGTCCAATTCTAGTGAACACGTCAATAATAATTCATAGCATTCAGTCAATAAGCAAATCTGCATTTTATGATTTTTGCCACTAGAAGGGCCTATAGTTTCTCTAGAGTCTATGGTAATTCTACATAGTGCAAATAAACTGGAATATGGGAACAAAACTCCAATTTGAAATCTAAATTAGCTTTTTATGCATTCAGATATATATTTAGACATAAAAGAAAATATATCTTTTGTAAAAGAAAATGTACAAATTAAATTGATTTTGTTATATGTTTTTATTATGTGTGCGTGTGTCTATGTAGTGAATGGGTTCTGCATTGGGGATATTTTATAGTCTCATCCCTTCATTTGTGCATATGCAGGGTTTCTGCACACTTTTTAAAGTCAAATTTAAGAAATCAAAATTAATAACTTACATTAGGGGTGCACAATATTGACAAAAATATGTCTCGATATTTTCAAAGTTTTGTTGATAATAATTAGATGATATTTTACTGATTGTGTTTGTGTACTGTTAGGCCTGTCACAGCTGACTCACGAAGATATTCATATTTTTCATATTCTATGCAGTGGTCAGTTCACAGCAGTGACAGAAATTAACATTTTGTTATTAACGGGGAATATTTGCAACCTTAAATAAATTTCCAGAGGCATGTTCACCTATATATGGACTTTTTTTTTTTTTTTACTTAGGAGGTATGCATCACCTTTTATGTCAAATTCTAACATTCAAATTAAATAATATTAGAATAATAACACAATACCACTGTTACCAGTTAAATTAAATCAAAATTCATCTTTGCGGTGCAGAGGAGACACAGAAGCGGCATTAGAACTGGCATTAATATATTTACACTGCATTTACAATTAAAATTAAACGGACATTTACCAACTTGCTTCTCCTTCTCTCCTGTTTCGCGTGCAGAGTTGCCGCGAATGTGATGCGAAATGTCACGTGAACAAGCAAATCCACAAAGAAAGAATAATAAATAAAAAAGTACGCTAATTATCGTTTTAATTTGGAAAACATTTAGATATTTCTAAGTCAAATTAAAATTTAAGACCTTTCATAAGTAAAAATAAGACTTAAGACTTTTTATGGCTTTAAATTTTAAAAATCGAATTTAAGACTTTTTAAGGATCCGCGGACACCCTGATATGTGTGTTGGGGATTGTGCCAGATTTTGTTTGTTTGTTTTTTTACCAAAAAAAAAAATCCCTTGTCCCCCATTCATTCCTTATGGGGGCCAAATTAACCCGTGAGGAAAGGTTTAATTACCATTTTTATTACAACCACAAGAATGATAATCATACTAAGCCATATAGTGATTTCAATTCACGAATCCCCAGCAATTTGAAAACCCCCGTTTGCACTGTAGCTCTCTACTGGAAGCCTGTATGAAAAACATTAAAAGCGTGTGTTTTTTTTGTAAATTACTGATGAGACTGTAAGGTAAAACGACGACCTTATTTTTCAGGACGACTTATCTGACATTACATCTCTGTGTTCTGAGAAGGCTTTGCGGATGGGTGTAATGAGGAAATAAGAGGGCTGCATTTGAATTACTGAGAGGACATTTGACTGCAGTTTTTTTTCCCATGTGCTGATGCACAGTAGACTTCAGATACAGTACGGCAGACTAGCTGGAAATCCAAGTTCTGATCTACAGATACTTCCTTACAAATAAACAAATTAGCAACTAGACAATGATATGAACTGATGTTCCAAAAAAAGATTACATCATCTGTTTGATGGAACTCACCAAAAAAGGGCTTGGGGGCAGATGACGTGTGTCCATTCCGGACAGGTGGAGGAGGAGGAGGAAAAGATGTGTGTCCTGAAGACTGACGTCCTGTAGAGGTGAGGGGAGGGGGCTTTCCTCTACTAGGGGGTTCAGAAGACGTTTGTGGCCCGCCACGGTAAGGGGGTGGAGGGGGTGGCGTTTCCCGAGCCCCATTACGAGATGCAGGAGGAGGAACCTGAGGAGCTGCATGAACAAGTCATTTTAAACGATGTCCACATTTCACAGGACTTTAATGTAGTAAATCCTTGATTTAAAGGTATACGTTGTGTCATTTGTAATCATTACCTTTGTATGATTTTTGGTGAAACACAAAAGGAGATATTTGCCAGAATATTTACACTGCTCTTTACCACACAATAAAAGTAAAATGGGATGAAAACAGACGGTAGTGATGCACCGAAATAGATCTTTTACCAAAACCGAAGTTTTCAGTTTCAGTGATTACATTTGGGTAACTGAACTCAATACACTGGTCAGTGTGTCGTTTTCTCAGGTTATGAATTAAACCAGTTGTAGTAAAGTTCAAGAGGCAACAAGCCACCTATCGATATTTCAGCAGAACAAATTTGAAATATTACTTCTTTTGCACCTAGTTGTGTTGCGTTACGTTAGGTTAGGCAAGGCAAGTGCTGGCGCGTTGATCGTAAATGAAGCGGTCTAAAACCCTCTGGTGCACAGGGAAGAAAAGGAGAAAGGAACAAAATAAAAAGAAAGCCCAGTATAGAGGTAAGTCTTCTCATCTCAGCCATTAAGGTGTCAAACGAAATAAATTTACTTAGTATTGTGCAAAGGCATGTACTGGCCATCGGGACTACCGGGAGATTCCCGGTAGGCCGACGTGCTTTTTGGGCCGATACATCTCGAATACTTTTATATATTTATTTATTTTTTGTCTGAACGGCCCATAAAACTCGTACATTGGTGGCCCATTCGTTTTGTTTTGTTTAATTGGTGGCGCCGGGTTATAACTTGCTTTCAAGTATAGAAATGTGTACAAAACTTATTAGGCTATGAAAGTTTCAAAGTCGCAAAACTCAATCTCGCCTAGGGCAACCAAAGGGCTAGAGCCGGCCCTGCATGTGTGAAATTTCACAAAGATAATGTACAGCTTCAGAAGACTACAGCGTACAAGACCAATGTAAAACATGTGTGGTGCTTTAAAGGTGCATTTTTTAAAAATAATTTTTTTGGAGTGTGACAATGTCCGTCCGTCCAAAAAGCATTGTGAACATTGCACCCAAATTCCACATTTGTGTTTATATGATTATGGAACTATATAGATTCTGGAAGTAAAAATCCTATTTATTTTCTCCATAGAGGAATAGGTTTTTAACAGTAACTTATAAACCTTATAAACTGACCTTTATCGAGTTAATCTCCCTTCGCTCTTTAAACTTTAAAATGTATTGTTTACATAATCAACATCTTTAAATCAATAGTTTTATATTTATCTAGTTTTTTTTTCAATTGTGTCGTTGAAAATGCTTCATAGGATTGTAGTTCTTTTCCTCATTAAAGTTGTTAGGGCACATGATAGTCTTATCTTTTTGTCAGATTTTCAAATACTTTGTTGCTTCAAATCTAAGTTGGTTTTGTTGTGATTCATCTCGTAGCAAGTTGGTTTGGTTCATGTCTTACAACCGTTTAGCGATTTGTTTTGTTTTTTAAATCCCTAGGAAGAAATAAGATAAATGGGAAAAATCCTTCAGGAACCGACTGGGAAGGCACTCAATAGTTAGACTATATGTTGAGGTGACCTAAACCGCTTCAAAGTTTTTTTTTACCTGTGCTGCGCACTGGTGGTGGGGGTCGTCTGTTCTGCTGGGCAGGCGGTGGAGGAGCCTGGCTACGGACGTTAGCATTGGCATGGCCTCTCTTGTTCAGCGAGTTTCGCCTCTGAGGCAACTCCGGGGCGGGGTCTCCATTTGCAGACGGCGGCTGACGATAAGGAGGAGGGGGTGGGGGTGCATTTGAAGAAGAGGAGGAGGATGAAGAGGTGCGAGATGAAACGGGGTGCTGTTTAGGGGGCCCATCGCGAGCAGAAGATGGAGGTGGTGGAGGCCCCTTGCTTGCAAGTGGTGGTGGAGGAAGGGGTTTCTCACGACTATGTGCCCCAGAACTCTGTTGGGCTGAGGGTCCGCGGTTGCCACCGCGATTGAATGGCGGGGGTGGAGGTGGAGCTGAGCTGGCGGGTTTTGCGGAGCTGCTGGCAGCAGATTGTTTGGAGACTTCTGGCAGGGTGGGACGTTGGTTTCGTGGTTGTTCAGGAGGTGAGGAGCGACCTCCATCACCACGACTGGAGCCGTCCGCTTCAGAATGACTCTGAACACGAGGTACTGCCGGGCGAGAGCCAGGCGGCCGCAACGCTGACCGTCCTACAGAGCTGTCTGTGCAGACACATTAAAAAATAGTTGGAGATAATAATAATAACCTATAATTGAAGTACTTGGTGTAAAAGGGGAACTTACCTCCGACTGGTCGTAATTTAGGCACTCCTCCACTGAATAACCCTCCCATAGCCTTTGGCCCAGAACCACCTCCAAATCCTCCACTACCTCCACCTCCACCTCCTCCACCACCGCCACCTCGACCTCCAGGCTCTGCCAAAAAAAAGAAAATTGTTAGTCAGGTCATGTCAAACATTAACTGTATTTTCAGCATAAATTCACAAAGCTGATTTACTTTCAATGACCGGTGCACTTCTGTCATTGACCGGACCGGTCTTCTTCAGTTTGGCGCCTTTGCAGATGTCTGACAGAAGAGCTCCTCTTCCTTTCCCTTCATTTTGATTGAGTTTCGGAGTTGCGGTGTTCGCCTGAACGTAAACACATTTGTATGTTGCAAAATAGATTATTAATTTATTAAATGTTATATATTAAAATTGACTTGAATTCATTGACTTAGAGACGATGCTCTATGCTGAAATTTGTTGGTCATTTCTGAATTAAAATTCATTCATTTACAATATTTTTTGTGGGGCATAAAATAAAACAATTTAAGGGTTATAATGAAAAAATACATTATTTTTTATTACATTTATTTTTTGTTTTAAAGTAACAAAACAATTCTTCACTGCTTATTAATAGAAAAAAAACCTTTGTCCACCAAATGAAAGTCATGTGGTTGACCAACATGCAGAAAGTTACATACATACAAATCATAAAAAATCATAAACCTGGAAATAATATAATAGAGAGGACCTCTGCAGACCCAAATGACCGTGAATCAAAGTAAAAATATGACAAATATCACTCTCCAAACACATAATGATAATAATTTTTATTTTATTTTTGTAAAATAATGGCCTTGAAAAATATATAAATATATAAAACATAATGACATTTCTGAATTAAACCTAATGATATTTATGAATTAATAATGTACATTTTTACTCTCACAGGTAGGGCTTGACATTAACTTTTTTGCTCGCCAGCCACTGTGGCTAGTGGTTTTCCAAAGTTACTGGCCACAATTTTGACATCGACTTACCTAAACCTAACCCATCACTTTAAAATCTGCAGAAAAAAATAAAAATAAAAAACTACTGGATTCGTCTCAGCGAGAACTGACACATGTGCTAGCCGCTCTTTGCTTTACACTGACCTGGTTAAAGGAGGGGGGTGGTGGAGGTCCAGGCGGAGGGGGAGGAGGAGGAATCGGCATCCTGGTGAATTTTGGGAGACGTCAAGTCGCCTCAATCTTCTGCACTCGGTATCCTCACAAAAACTCTGCAAGGTGAAAGAATGACAGCCATCAGACTTCAGATATAAATAGAAAAGATGAATAAAAAAAATGGTTTTTGCTAAAATAATCCTTTAAAAGTTAAAAACATGAGCATGACTCATCACAGTGACATTCATTGGTGGTTAACGTCATCAACGTCATCAACCCCCAAACAACTACTAATCTCCCTTCCAGTATGGGACTCCAGAAACTTTCCCAGTTCAGACAGAAGTGCTAGCACACGTCCACAGATGAAGTGGAGTGATACAAAACTGCAGCAGGACTAACCGGAATGTCGCTAAGCAGGATCTGCGGTCACACAACGACTAATGGAAGTGAGAGAGTGTGAAAATGGGTGAAGCATTGGGACTGACTGTGGCAAACACTGAATAAAACCTGTAGTCTTATGACCTGCATGGCTCATCTTATTTACATTCAAACTATTACACACTGTAATAGTCACTGCTCTATTTTCATCATGGCCTTGTCTATAAACATGAATGAATAAAACTACAAAGGTAGCACACAAACCTATAAACTAAAAAACAAATATTGCATATGGGTTGATTCCTGAAATCTACATGTGATCGACAACACATGGATACTACAATAAAGAAATAAACCAGCCTCTACTAAGCAAACCTGGTGACCTGTAGAGGCAAAACAAATACACAGTTTCTACAAAGAGAAGGCGGCAAACTGCCCAAAATGGGGTAAATACAACCTGAGAGTTTCGTCTTAAAAGAAACAACCTATTAAACTTTTAAAAGCATTAAATACACCACAAAACATAGTCAATCTAGAAAAATAAGCTTAGCATTCTTCACATAACAGGCCAAAACAGGCAGGCGAGTTTCTCTCTCTAATTAGCCATTCCAAATCTGTCAGAGGCCTTGTTTATTACACCAAGCTGTTGCAAGAAAATGTTTGTGATTAATGATACGCATAAAAGTAGACGTGAAACGTGTAAGGAGGTAGGAGTTTAATCTTTAAAGTTTCTGCGCTCAAACTGACAGCTGACTAAATTTGATCAGGATCAACATCAATACCACAAAAACAATGCCTGGTGTCAAATAAGGCTGTCGTTTATTCCCACCAGTAGCCTAACATTTTGTGAGAAAAATCACTTTTGTCTCTGACAACCGTGTAAAATACATCCACAACTATTTTTACTAGACTCATAAAAAAGTGCAGACTTGATTCCAATGGTACATTTTTACTTGGCAGCTGGAAATAATCTCATGACCCGAGTCCCGAGGTGTTTAACCTTATAAAACCTACAGTATCACTTTTGCTAAATGAATTTCTAAGGCCTCTAAATTATCAACATGGTCAAAATTGATGAAAAACATAGGCTAATCTACACCTTCTGTCCTCTGATCGATACTTTCTTAGCAAGTAAAAGGCCTTCTCCTTCAGATCGTGGATGTCTTTTTCTTGTGAAATCTTTCAATGATTTTTATAATGTAAACGTAAGAACATATTTCAAAATGAACATTTACTGGACTGAAGCAACTTAGGTTTACTTTCTCAATCGTTATTGTATTGCATTGCATTATAGCCTATGTTTTGCCCCCCAATAATTAAAAACTACAGAGCTTTGATCACAAAGCATTTAAATAGAATCTTAACCATATTTATTGGGAGATATAGAGTGACAACTGATATTTATATGCATTTTATGTAAGTAGTCTGTTATACTGTTATAAAGATTTACATTACAAGTTATAATTATATAACAAGCTATCAACATTTCAAATTACTTTTTGGCCATATAATTAACACCAAATGTTTGGGCCTCTGAATAAAATTGAGGTGTTTTTTTCATTCTCGAGTATGAGCTCTAGCCTATATTCTCACCATATCATTATAGGCCATAAAAACCTGATGTATCAAATATGATACAAAACAAAAAGCATATTCAATTTTATTTTATTTAAATTTGTTTTAGATTTCGTCTAAAGGTTCGTTTAAAAGACTATTATTAGACTGATATTTCATATATTAGGCTTTACATGGTTAATTTAGTTTGGCACTCTAAAAGACGATGTCTCTAAAAGCATGTAGACAGATAAAGACACCATATTTGAAGCATAGCTTACTATTTAAGATCAGTATCATAAACTGCTGTCATGTCAGACCAATGTGTTCATAGATTTAAAATAATTTCAGAGCAAAAAGAAGGAAAAGAATAATGGAGGAGGTCAAACCAGATTGTGAAAATGACATGTTGTATAATGTTGTGATCATCAGAGTCAACAAATATTTAAACTGTACGTGTGCACACAGACCGAAGTGACCATACCTGTCGTCCCATACAGGATCCTTAACACAGTCGTGATACAGGTTTAACTACTTATATGTATAGTATTGGGCAAAACCAAAACATTTGAGCGACTAACGATGTTGTGAACAACACAAATGATGGAGATTTGTAAACAAAAGTTTCTTTTGAAACAAATCATTTCAATGAATCATTTGAACCTGTTCACAAAACCTGTCTGCACGACTCGTTGATTAATAAAAACAACACCGGTAAAACCGTATGCAAAAAATAGCGCTTAATAACTTGTGTACATCTATTAAAACATGTCATAACAATAACAAATAGGTTAACTTATTACGTTCACAGCTCTTCCGGCTATAAAGACGTTGGCAAAGCTTACCTGTCGTTTGCGGTGTGAGATCTTGTCCCAAACAACATTAATGTTTAACAGTAACTGGGTGCTCTTTCGCCGATGATCCGCTGTCTGATCGGCCAACGAATAAAATTATAACAGTTAACTAAGTTACTAGTCGAGAGAGAGTTTACTGTGGTCCGCTGTCATCCTGAAGGCTGGTTAATGCCAACTCTGCAAACTTATTCCAAACAGTTCACAGTGTGAAATGAAAGCCCGAAAGTCAAGGATTCACGAAACCGGGTCGCTTGTTGCTATTAACATTGCTGCCCAATGATCGAGGGCGATAGCAGCTATTGTTCAACGGCGGACCGCTGGACTTCAGCGAACCCAGTTCTACGAAATCCCGGAAATCACGGAGTAAGTCGGTACAAAATGGAGGCAAGAGGCCGAAAAAATCCGATTGCATCCGGAAAGCAAGACCTGTAACTATTTCCCTTGCGTAACCCTGAAATGCCAAGCATCTGTCAAAACGCAAAGGTAGTTTATTATTACTGATTTAAACCCACAATAATTTTGTTTTATTTATTTATGGTAACTAATAATAGGAACTAGATATTGTATGGTATTTCTAATAACTTTAATTTAATGTCAAAATGACTAGAGATTTTAATTTGGAAGTTATAAAAGTCGCTTTTTCATACCCAATGGACGCATTGTTTCATCTGCTAATAAGAAATTGTATATAATATTCTATATTCTATATTTGCTGGCAGAAAAAAACAAAACATAATTGGTTTAACCCTTTAGCTGTCACCCCCCTTTTTGAGCATTGACGTGAAAATGCACTAATTCATGAAGCCTTTGTACTAAAGACTTATGGTTGGTCTCTTTTAAAAGAAGACTCTTGGCAGATTATTGCTGAAGTGGAATAAATTAATAGAATTAAATTAGTTAAAAGTTATTGAAGTTTAAGTTTATTGTTATGAAAATATAATAAAATATATATTTTTCTTTTATTAAAAATATATATAAAATAAGGTTTCCGCCTACAAATGACAGAAAGTCAAAGCCATATATCTAACCAAGTTGTGTTCCAAATTTGAAGTTGATATCCCAAACATTGAAGTTCCCATGAGATTTTGTTTAGGCGTAATACCAAAAATACCCACCGGGTGCCATTGCATTCCATTGAATTTAATTGTATGCATTCTGCCATAGCAAATCAATAAATTTCTATCCAAATATCACTTCTGTCACTAAATATGTAACCTTGAGACTCAGACCTTTCTGGCAATATGTGTTTTGTCAAGATTAGAACATTTTTGATAATAAATTATGAAAGATGATGCTCAAAAGGGGAGGGGCCTAATAAAAAAAACCGTTTCTATGGTAACACAACGTCCAATTTCAAAACGGTTTTCACAGGATGAATTCTGAGTTCGTAAGCTTTCAAATGATACCTAATTTATGATAACTACTAAAATATGTGATATAATAATAATAATAAAAAATATATATATAATATACACTTACCGGCCACTTTATTAGGTACACCTGTCCAACTGCTCGTTAACACTTAATTTCTAAGCAGCCAATCACATGGCGGCAACTCAGTGCATTTAGGCATGTAGACATGGTCAAGACAATCTCCTGCAGTTCAAACCGAGCATCAGTATGGGGAAGAAAGTTGATTTGAGTGACTTTGAACGTGGCATGATTGTTGGTGCCAGAAGGGCTGGTCTGAGTATTTCAGAAACTGCTAATCTACTGGGATTTTCACTCACAACCATCTCTAGGGTTTACAGAGAATGGTCCGAAAAAGAAAAAACATCCAGTGAGCGGCAGTTCTGTGGGCGGAAATGCCTTGTTGATGCCAGAGGTCAGAGGAGAATGGCCAGACTGGTTCGAGCTGATAGAAGGGCAACAGTGACTGAAATAACCACTCGTTACAACCGAGGTATGCAGCAAAGCATTTGTGAAGCCACAACACGCACAACCTTGAGGCGGATGGGCTACAACAACAGAAGACTCCACCGGGTACCACTCATCTCCACTACAAATAGGAAAAAGAGGCTACAATTTGCAAGAGCTCACCAAAATTGAACAGTTGAAGACTGGAAAAATGTTGCCTGGTCTGATGAGTCTCGATTTCTGTTGAGACATTCAGATGTTAGAGTCAGAATTTGGCGTAAACAGAATGAGAACATGGAACCATCATGCCTTGTTACCACTGTGCAGGCTGGTGGTGGTGGTGTAATGGTGTGGGGGATGTTTTCCTGGCACACTTTAGGCCCCTTAGTGCCAATTGGGCATCGTTTAAATGCCACGGCCTACCTGAGCATTGTTTCTGACCATGTCCATCCCTTTATGGCCACCATGTACCCATCCTCTGATGGCTACTTCCACCATGTCACAAAGCTCTAATCATTTCAAATTGGTTTCTTGAACATGACAATGAGTTCACTGTACTAAAATGGCCTCCACAGTCACCAGATCTCAACCCAATAGAGCATCTTTGGGATGTGGTGGAACGGGAGATTCGCATCATGGATGTGCAGCCGACAAATCTGCGGCAACTGTGTGATGCCATCATGTCAATATGGACCAAACTCCCTGAGGAATGCTTCCATCACCTTGTTGAATCTATGCCACGAAGAATTGAGGCAGTTCTGAAGGCAAAAGGGGGTCCAACCCGTTACTAGCATGGGGTACCTAATAAAGTGGCCGGTGAGTGTATATTATACTTTTTAGAGGACTTTTTACTTTACTTTTTAAAATATAATTTTATCTTTTTTTATTGACAAATACTAGATTGTGTTTTATTATGAACTTTTAGCATTAAAAACCAAAGTTTCAATTATTAAAAGTGTGTGCGTCAACTTTTTGTGACAAAGGTCAGAAACTCCTGTAATGACGTCGATTTTTTGAGGCGCAGTCTTGTCATAAATTCATATATTACTGTTCATACATAATTTGTAAGAAAAAAACAGCACTAAAATATCTATTAAGGAGTCTTAGACCTTTCCAACGATATATAGTTTGTCATGACTAGATTAGGATTTAATAGTAATATAGTGAAGTAAATTTAGGTTGCCCGTATACGGGCAGGTGACAGTTGGATCAGTGATAAATCTCAATCTCTTAAAGGTTGGCATAAGGTTATTTTTGAGTTGATTCCCTTGGAGCGTCTTATCTATGTATTACTACATTTAAAAAAAGCAAGTTTTATAAAGACCCCATATCTGGACTATTTGGAAACTCATCTTCGCCATATTAGGCCAATATTACAAGGAATTTTGTAATTGTTTAACTCTCTGGACATTGAACCTTTGTCCTCTTTTGCATCTTTTTGAAATATGTTATTGTTTTGTTTTTATTCTCTAATCTGTTTTATTATGGTGTAGTCCTTTATCTGAGCTATTGGTGTTCCTTTATTTTATTGTATTTTTTTGTGATGTCTTGTTATATTTGTATTATAATGAAAATGCAATAAACATAATTATAAAAAAAATTAAAAAGTCGAAAAAAGTTCGTTCTCTTTCGATTTCGTTCATTTAGACCCAATAACATACATAATATATAGGCTATATGATAGATTTTCGTATTTATTTGCCTCTATAGGTCACCAATAACACATTGCATAATATTAGGCTATGTGATCGTTTTCACCCTTTTAATCAATGAATTTCCTCATTTCCAAATATTTTAACATCGCTTTCTAGAAGTTGCTAGGTAAAAAATATCCATCTCTCGTCAGAGGTGTACAGTGAAAAAAGAGAGAAGAGGACTGGTATATGACCCAGGCTGGATTCGAACCCGTATGCACACAAGCGCAACAGCACCTCTCATTCCAGGAGAAAAGCACACCATAGCTCTGACTTAAGTCGTCATTAAGACAAAACAGCCAGCTGCAGCAACAGTTTGACAGTAAAATGTGTTCAACAAAATTCCAATCACAATTCAGTATGCAAATAAATGACAGATAGAAGACCAGTCACAATTTAGTGTAAATAAGTCCACGATTAAGCTAGCTCTAAAATGTGAATCTTTTGTGATTTGTTTGGGTCAGTTCTTTAATAAATGGGCTAGAGGAATGTTAATAACAGCTTTCCAGGTTTGATATTTTTAATGTAACATTTAAGTAAACTTTTTCAAAATAACCACTTCAGCAAAAGGTATATATTTAATGTTTATTTCAATCACATAACATCTTAAGTATTCTATAATAACAGTTACTTTTGTATATCAACAAAAGAGGTAGCAACAATGTTAGAAGGAATATTTTACAAATTATTTATGTACATCCTTCAACAAAAAAAATTCCCCCAGTCCTTACTGTATCACTGAGCATAACAATGCTAAAAAGGGAGATAACAGATGAGTATCTAAAAAAGATGGCAAGAAACAAGACATTCACCAGGCAGACAAACTTTTCCAGACAAAACCTTTTGACATATACTGTATAACTCATCAACATTGTATTTATACATCACTGTAGCATTTTATATACTTTACAAAATATATGATTTACAATATTTAATCAGGCAAGCTTCACATAATATTGTCATTATAAAAACAAATTAAAAAAAGATTTAGAAACTGTATTTGGAATGTTTTTATAAAGAGGCTAATGATCTATAAGTGCAAGTTTATGTTTTCCAATATAACATCTCCTCTATAAGGTTTTTTCATCAGTGTTAAGTTTGCTCAATCCAATTTACAGTATCTAGCCTACTTGAAGTTTTTTAAACAAACTCTCACATACCTTCCTTTTAATTTTCCTACTATATTAGTTTAAGAGCCCTAAATTTTGAACCTTTCAAAGTGCTTTCTGGAACCTCCAGATCCATTGCATGCATTTGCAGACGTCTCATTGTCTGTCTGCGACTATGTTCAGTTTGCCCATTTCCCCATCCATCTCTTCTAGGCATCCCTTTATAAGTGTAGCATATGTCATCAGTAGTGTAATTACGTCCAGGAACCATATGAGTTTTCCTAGAACCTGCATTACCTCCCAAATGGGGTGATCTTTGCATGGTACTCATTCCCATATTTGAATTTCTCACAGCCAAATTCTCTCTACTTCTTGTAACTTGAAGTCTAGGCACTGATATATTGTTCCAGTTGTCATCAATACCAAAGTTGTTTGCTTTTGTTTTATGATCTCTTGACCTGAGTGCCCCAGACATATCACTGTAGTAAACATCTGATGATGTTGGACGTACACCAGAGATTCTGGTCTTGGAGGTGGGTAAAGCCATTGTAAAATCAGGTGAGCCGGAGAGATGTTTTTGCATTGCAGGCCACTGGGCTTTATCTGAAAATTTCATGTCTCTGTTCAAGTCGAAATAGGGGTCCTGCATGTTCAATTCTGAGGCACCATATTTCTGATGAGACGGTATTCTGATATCAAGATCGTTTGTTCTGGCTGACTCTATTTGACCTCTTGGGACGGCAAAATTGTAAGTGTGTACTTGAGTATAGGCACCAAAATCAACATTAGGCCCCAGGCCTTGAAAGTCAGGGCTATCAGTTCCTCCTTTAATTCGGGGGGTTTTGAGATTCATCTTTGGAGAGCTAAATTGAAGATTCCCAGGAGGAGCGTCAATGTCAAAGTCAGGTGCATTCACATCAAAATCCGGTTTCTTGACATTTGGTCCTTTAATTTTACCTTTAGGGAAATCAACACTCATATCTGGAGCTGTGATATCTGGCTTATGACCTCTGATATTGAAGTTTGGGGAATCAAAATCAGTTTTAATCTTTGGCGCTGAGAGATCCATTTTAGGGGTCTTTAGATCATAGTCAGGTGTCTTTATTTTGGGTCCTGAGAAACCAATATCAGGCATCTTTAAAGTTGGCATCTTCATTTTACCAGATGGCATGTGCATGTTTGGAAGTGTAAGATCTGTTCTTGGACCTTTAAGATCAGCATTGGGTCCATAAATGTCAATATCAGGACGATTAATCGCACCCTTTAGTGTGGGAGCTGATGTGCTCAGATTAAGGTCTGGCTGATCAATGTCAGCATCAACATTCATATGTGGTCCTTTCGAACCTGACAGGCCAAAACTGGGCATCTTTAACTTTGGCATGTTCAATTTACCTGAAGGACCATTAAAATCAATATCAGGTGATTTGACATCTAAGTTCGGGCCTTTAAAATCAGTTTCAGGCAGAGTCAGATCCATGTCTGGTGAATCGATTCCTCCATTAATTTTGGGGCTTTTGAGATTCAGGTCTGGAGATTTGATTTTAAGATCTGGGCCTTTTGGTTTGCCACTTGAGAAGCCAAGTTTGGGAAACTTCAGTTTACCTGAAGGGGAATCTATGTTGAGATCAGGTGCACTCATGTCAAGATTGGGTTTCTTGAAATTTGGTCCTTTAATTTTACCTTTAGGGAAATCAACATTCAGATCAGGTGCTGTGATATCTGGCTTATGACCATCAATGTTGATATCTGGGGAATCAAAGTCTGCCTTAAACTTTGGAGTTGACAAATCAATTTCAGGGGTCTTCAAATCATAGTCAGGTGTCTTTATTTTTGGTCCTGAGACACCAAACTTTGGCATCTTTAAAGTGGGCATTTTCATTTTTCCAGAAGGCTTGTCAATGTCTGGAAGTTTAAGATCTGTATTTGGACCTCTGAGATCTACATTAGGTCCATGTACATCAATATCAGGACCATTTATTCCTGCTTTTAGTTTGGGAGTTGATGCACTCAGATCAAGGTCAGGCTGATCAATGTCAGTATCCACATTCATGTGTGGCCCTTTCAACCCTGACAGGCCAAAACTGGGCATATTTAGGTTTGGCATTTTAAATTTACCTGATGGGCCATTAACATCAAAATCAGGTGATTTGACATCTAAGTTCGGGCCTTTAAAATCAGTTTGAGGCAGAGTCAGATCCATGTCTGGTGTATCGATTCCTCCCTTAATTTTGGGGCTTTTGAGATTCAGGTCTGGAGATTTGATTTTAAGATCTGGGCCTTTTGGTTTGCCACTTGAGAAGCCAAATTTGGGAAACTTCAGTTTACCTGAAGGGGAATTTATGTTGAGATCAGGTGCACTCATGTCAAGATTGGGTTTCTTGAAATTTGGTCCTTTAATTTTACCTTTTGGGAAATCAACATTCAGATCGGGTGTTGTGATATCTGGTTTATGACCACCAATGTTGATGTCTGGGGAATCAAAGTCTGCCTTAAACTTTGGAGTTGACAAATCCATTTCAGGGGTCTTCAAATCATAGTCAGGTGTCTTTATTTTTGGCCCTGAGGCACCAAACTTAGGCATCTTTAAAGTGGGCATTTTCATTTTTCCAGAAGGCTTGTCAATGCGAGGTGCATTCATGTCAAGATTGGGTTTCTCGAAATTTGGTCCTTTAATTTTACCTTTAGGGAAATCAACATTCAGATCAGGTGCTGTGATATCTGGCTTATGACCACCAATGTTGATGTCTGGGGAATCAAAGTCTGCCTTAAACGTTGGAGCTGACAAATCCATTTCAGGGGTCTTCAAATCATAGTCAGGTGTCTTTATTTTTGGCCCTGAGGCACCAAACTTAGGCATCTTTAAAGTGGGCATTTTCATTTTTCCAGAAGGCTTGTCAATGCGAGGTGCATTCATGTCAAGATTGGGTTTCTTGAAATTTGGTCCTTTAATTTTACCTTTAGGGAAATCAACATTCAGATCAGGTGCTGTGATATCTGGCTTATGACCACCAATGTTGATGTCTGGGGAATCAAAGTCTGCCTTAAACTTTGGAGCTGACAAATCCATTTCAGGGGTCTTCAAATCATAGTCAGGTGTCTTTATTTTTGGTCCTGAGGCACCAAACTTTGGCATCTTTAAAGTGGGCATTTTCATTTTTCCAGAGGCCTTGTCAATGTCTGGAAGTGTAAGATCTGTATTTGGACCTCTGAGATCTACATTAGGTCCATGTACATCAATATCAGGACCATTTATTCCTGCTTTTAGTTTGGGAGTTGATGCACTCAGATCAAGGTCAGGCTGATCAAAGTCAGCATCCACATTCATGTGTGGCCCTTTCAAACCTGACTGACCAAAACTGGGCATATTTAAGTTTGGCATTTTAAATTTACCTGATGGGCCATTAACATCAAAATCAGGTGATTTGACATCTAAGTTCGGGCCTTTAAAATCAGTTTGAGGCAGAGTCAGATCCATGTCTGGTGTATCGATTCCTCCCTTAATTTTGGGGCTTTTGAGATTCAGGTCTGGAGATTTGATTTTAAGATCTGGGCCTTTTGGTTTGCCACTTGGGAAGCCAAATTTGGGAAACTTCAGTTTACCTGAAGGGGCATTTATGTCAAGGTCAGGTGCATTCATGTCAAGATTGGGTTTCTTGAAATTTGGTCCTTTAATTTTACCTTTAGGGAAATCAACATTCAGATCAGGTGCTGTGATATCTGGCTTATGACCACCAATGTTGATGTCTGGGGAATCAAAGTCTGCCTTAAACTTTGGAGCTGACAAATCCATTTCAGGGGTCTTCAAATCATAGTCAGGTGTCTTTATTTTTGGTCCTGAGGCACCAAACTTTGGCATCTTTAAAGTGGGCATTTTCATTTTTCCAGAGGCCTTGTCAATGTCTGGAAGTGTAAGATCTGTATTTGGACCTCTGAGATCTACATTAGGTCCATGTACATCAATATCAGGACCATTTATTCCTGCTTTTAGTTTGGGAGTTGATGCACTCAGATCAAGGTCAGGCTGATCAAAGTCAGCATCCACATTCATGTGTGGCCCTTTCAAACCTGACTGACCAAAACTGGGCATATTTAAGTTTGGCATTTTAAATTTACCTGATGGGCCATTAACATCAAAATCAGGTGATTTGACATCTAAGTTCGGGCCTTTAAAATCAGTTTGAGGCAGAGTCAGATCCATGTCTGGTGTATCGATTCCTCCCTTAATTTTGGGGCTTTTGAGATTCAGGTCTGGAGATTTGATTTTAAGATCTGGGCCTTTTGGTTTGCCACTTGGGAAGCCAAATTTGGGAAACTTCAGTTTACCTGAAGGGGCATTTATGTCAAGGTCAGGTGCATTCATGTCAAGATTGGGTTTCTTGAAATTTGGTCCTTTAATTTTACCTTTTGGAAAATCAACATTCAGATCAGGTGCTGTGATATCTGGCTTATGACCACCAATGTTGATATCTGGAGAATCAAAGTCTGCCTTAAACTTTGGAGCTGACAAATCCATTTCAGGGGTCTTCAAATCATAGTCAGGTGTCTTTATTTTTGGTCCTGAGGCACCAAACTTTGGCATCTTTAAAGTGGGCATTTTCATTTTTCCAGAAGGCTTGTCAATGTCTGGAAGTTTAAGATCTGTATTTGGACCTCTGAGATCTACATTAGGTCCATGTACATCAATATCAGGACCATTTATTCCTGCTTTTAGTTTGGGAGTTGATGCACTCAGATTAAGGTCAGGCTGATCAATATCAGCATCCACATTCATGTGTGGCCCTTTCAAACCTGAATGGCCAAAACTGGGCATATTTAGGTTTGGCATTTTAAATTTACCTGATGGGCCATTAACATCAAAATCAGGTGATTTGACATCTAAGTTTGGGCCTTTAAAATCAGTTTGAGGCAGAGTCAGATCCATGTCTGGTGTATCGATTCCTCCCTTAATTTTGGGGCTTTTGAGATTCAGGTCTGGAGATTTGATTTCAAGATCTGGGCCTTTTGGTTTGCCACTTGGGAAGCCAAATTTGGGAAACTTCAGTTTACCTGAAGGGGCATTTATGTCAAGGTCAGGTGTATTCATGTCAAGATTGGGTTTCTTGAAATTTGGTCCTTTGATTTTACCTTTAGGGAAACCAACATTCAGATCAGGTGCTGTGATATCTGGCTTATGACCACCAATGTTGATATCTGGGGAATCAAAGTCTGCCTTAAACTTTGGAGCAGACAAATCCATTTCAGGGGTCTTCAAATCATAGTCAGGTGTCTTTATTTTTGGTCCTGAGGCACCAAATTTTGGCATCTTTAAAGTGGGCATTTTCATTTTTCCAGAAGGCTTGTCAATGTCTGGAAGTGTAAGATCAGTATTTGGACCTCTGAGATCTACATTAGGTCCATGTACATCAATATCAGGACCATTTATTCCTGCTTTTAGTTTGGGAGTTGATGCACTCAGATTAAGGTCAGGCTGATCAATGTCAGCATCCACATTTATGTGTGGCCCTTTCAAACCAGACTGGCCAAAACTGGGCATATTTAGGTTTGGCATTTTAAATTTACCTGATGGGCCATTAACATCAAAATCAAGTGATTTGACATCTAAGTTTGGGCCTTTAAAATCAGTTTGAGGCAGAGTCAGATCCATCTCTGGTGTGTCGATTCCTCCCTTAATTTTGGGGCTTTTGAGATTCAGGTCTGGAGATTTGATTTTAAGATCTGGGCCTTTTGGTTTGCCACTTGAGAAGCCAAATTTGGGAAACTTCAGTTTACCTGAAGGGGAATTTATGTTGAGATCAGGTGCATTCATGTCAAGATTGGGTTTCTTGAAATTTGGTCCTTTAATTTTACCTTTTGGGAAATCAACATTTAGATCGGGTGTTGTGATATCTGGCTTATGACCACCAATGTTGATGTCTGGGGAATCAAAGTCTGCTTTAAACTTTGGAGTTGACAAATCCATTTCAGGGGTCTTCAAATCATAGTTAGGTGTCTTTATTTTCGGTCCTGAGGTACCAAACTTAGGCATCTTTAAAGTGGGCATTTTCATTTTTCCAGAAGGCTTGTCAATGCGAGGTGCATTCATGTCAAGATTGGGTTTCTTGAAATTTGGTCCTTTAATTTTACCTTTAGGGAAATCAACATTCAGATCAGGTGCTGTGATATCTGACTTATGACCACCAATGTTGATGTCTGGGGAATCAAAGTCTGCTTTAAACTTTGGAGCTGACAAATCTATTTCAGGGGTATTTAGATCATAGTCAGGCATCTTCATATTGGGTCCTGAGAGACCAAAATCAGGCATCTCAAAAGTAGGCACTTTAATTTTTCCAGATGGAATGTCAGGAAGTTTAAGGTCTGTTGTTGGACTTTTGAGATCAGCATTAGGTCCATGGATGTCAATGTTAGGACTATTTATCCCTGCATTTAGTTTGGGAGTTGATGCATTCAGATTAAGGTCAGGCTGATCAATGTCAGCATCCACATTCATACGTGGCCCTTTCAAACCTGACATGTTAAAACGGGGCATCTTTAACTTTGGCATATTCATTTTTCCTGAAGGGCCATTAACATCAATATCAGGTGATTTGATATCTAGGTTTGGGCCTTTCAAATCAGATTGAGGCAGATTCAAATCCATGTTTGGGGTATCGATTCCTCCCTTAATTTGGGGGCTTTTGAGATTCAGGTCTGGAGATTTGATTTTAAGATCAGGTCCTACTGTCTTGCTTCCAGAGATGCCAAATTTTGGCAGCTTTAGTTTACCTGAAGGGACATCTATGTCAAGGTCATGTGCATTCATGTCAAGACTGGGTGTCTTTAAATTAGGTCCTTTAATTTTACCTTTAGGGAAATCAACATTCGTGGCAGGTACTGTGATATCTGTCTTATAGCCTTTAATGTTGAAGTCAGGGGAATCAAAGTCTGCCTTAAACTTTGGGGCTGACAAATCTATTTCAGGGGTCTTCAGATCATAGTCAGGCGTCTTTATTTTGGGTCCTGAGAGTCCAAAATCAGGCATCTTGAAAGTAGGCATTTTCATTTTTCCAGATGGCATGTCCATGTCAGGTAGTGTAAGGTCCGTTTTCGGACCTTTGAAATCAGAATTAGGTCCATAAATGTCACTGTCAGGACCATTTATTCCTGCATTTAGTGTAGGAGTTGATGCACTCAGATCAAGGTCAGGCTGATCAATGTCGGCATCCACATTCATACGTGGCCCTTTCAAACCTGAAAGGCCAAAACTGGGCATCTTTAACTTTGGCATATTAAATTTTCCTGAAGGGCCATTAACATCAATATCGGGTGACTTGATATCTAGGTTTGGGCCTTTCAAATCAGATTGAGGCAGATTCAGGTCCATGTCTGGGCTATTGATTCCTCCCTTAATTTGGGGGCTTTTGATTTTAAGATCAGGATTGGTTTTCTTGAAATTTGGTCCTTTAAATGTGCCTTTCGGAATATCAAAATCCATTTCTGGGGCTGTGATATCTGGCTTTTGACCTCTGATGTTGATGTCTCGTGAATCAAAGTCTGCCTTAAACTTTGGAGCTGACAGATCCATTTCAGGGGTCTTCAGATCATAGTCAGGTGTCTTTATTTTTGGTCCTGACAGATCAAAATCTGGCATGCTGAAAGTGGGTGTTTTCAGTTTTCCAGAATGCATGTCTATGTCTGGAAGGTCTGTTTTCAGACCTTTGAAATCAGCCTTTGGTCCATCAATTTGTATATCAGAAGAACCATTAAGACCTGCAGCTACTTCAGGGGATGATAATGCTAATTTTGGCCCCTTCATACTTGCATCATAATTGATGTCTGTTTTCTTGTTTCCAGAGAAGCTAAACTTTGCCATTTTAAATTTTGGCTTCTTGACATTAATTGATGGTACATCCATATCCATATCAGAAGAATTAAGCAATGCATTTGGGCTTTTGAAATGACCTTTTGTGAGGTGCATTACTGGAGATCCTTGGGTATTTGGCAGTGTAAGATTTGAATCTGGCGTACTAATATCAACATTTATGTTTGAATCTGTATATGTTCGACCCCGTAGGTTGATTTCACTTCCAACATCTGGTAAGTTCATTTTGGACTGATGTGATGAAACATCACTTCCAATGTTGCCTTTGATTTTTGCACCTCTCATTAGGTCAGATCCTTGTAGTAACATGTCTGAGTTGTATTCACCTGTAGAATCATTGGTACCATAATGGATCATAGGCCATTCATGATCCAATTTCTCGTCAGGTTCTGTTTCATATTGAGTGAGACACTTCCGATCTGCATTCTCAAGTAAAGCTGCAACGTTTATCCTGCCTTTGCGGTCAAGTGTTTGGGTTGCCACTGGACCATTTTGTGTGCCATGTCTGTATTCCTTAGCAGCTTTGTTTCCTTTCATGAATTTCCTGACTTTAGTATTGTAGAGCTTGTCATATGAATCTTTCCACACCTGTTGAAACATTGTAATCAGAACAAATCATGATGATTTATGATTTAGGGTTGCAAAAAATTGTGAATGCAATGTCCACAGACCTCATTTGGAGCTTTGACATCCAGACTTTCCAAGCTCTTGCTGGATTTCAAACCATGCTTCATCACCTCCTTGTCATTATCAATCAACTTCAAAATGTCCACAACTTCATTTTTCTTTTCTTTATTCCTCTTTAGATCAAACTGACCACTGGAACCCACAATTACATTATCTGAAATGGAAATGTAATCTATTTTATCCTTATATTTTCACCATATTAAGGTTCATGGCAAAAGCAGATTTATTCACAGTACAAGTGTTTTGTAAAAGAATGATGCTTAAAAATTATGCATTGATGTACAAAATTCATAATCAAACAGTGCTGTACCTTCTAGAAAGTTCAGGTCTGAGTACTCCAATCTCTCTCCAGAAACATTATCATCTTCAGACAGCAGGCTGTCCGAAAGGCTTCTTCGATAAAGAGCCTGCAAATTACAATATACTATTATGTTGTATTGTCCCCCTCAAAATTTCATGAAATTAAATGCATGTAAAATAAAAAACAGAATAACAGTTTTTTTTTATGAGAAACATGTAGCACCTAATTAATTCATTACATTTATATAGCGCGTTTCTCGGCACTCAAAGCGCTTTACATAGAAGGGGGAATCTCCTCAACCACCACCAATGTGCAGCATCCACCTGGATGATGCGACGGCAGCCATATTGCGCCAGAACGCCCACCACACACCAGCTTACTGGTGGAGAGGAGACAGAGTGATGAAGCCAATTGGTATATATATATGGGGATTATTAGGAGGCCATGATGGACAGAGGCCACTGGGCAAATTTGGCCAGGATGCTGGGGTTACACCCCTACTACTTTCGAAAGACATCCTGGGATTTATTGTGACCACAGAGAGTCAGGACCTCGGTTTAACGTCTCATCCAAAGGACGGGCCATCTACACCTACCTCTACTAGCATTTTTATTAATAAATCACTCATCATTCATTCTTTTTAACAAATTACATAAGGATTTAAAATATATTTGATATCACACTCTCAAAATGCATAAAATATAGTTTAGATGATGGGATAAAAAATGTGATAACATACCATTTCACTTGTAAACATTTAGTGAAGAAAAGCCTCCAAAACTCAAACCTGTAAATGCAAAAGAAATGATTCAGCAGCAACAAGACAACCAAGTTCCAGTGCTAATTATTATTGGCACATGTAATTGTTAATGGCTGGTCATAATGCAATGACAGAATAGAACATATGAATTATGAACATATGGGTAATCAGTAAATGAAGAGAAGCACCTTCTCAGAATGAAACAAGTCTGAGCAAACCTAATTTAAATTTACATTAGAGTTTGCCAATTGGCACAAGGACATTTATCTTGGTGCACAATTAATCCTGAAACACGTTAATGCTTAATACAATTGTCTGCGTTTTTCCCACTGGCAGATAAACAGATAGACGAAACTGTGAGGTATTCAACAAATTGTTCAGGGATAGTGTAACAAGAGGGCGTTAAGAACAGGTTAGGTCAGATAAAAGAAAAATGTGAACAGACCTCAACTTTTTAACCACACCCTTGGTTTTAAACATGTGTAATCAAAGAGGTAGCAGGTGCTCCCATGATCATCTGTAAGGATACATATTTTGATAACCTGTTCAACTATAAAGATTTCATTGTCTTACTTCAATGAAACCGGCTCCGAAAACAATCCAATTACTAACTACTATCTACAGTATATGATCTAATTAATATACACATTTATAGTAATCACAAATTAAATATACAGGATCTGAAAATGTGCTTCAGAAGCATTATTTTCAATATAAGGTACTAGTCAGTAGCAATTTGTTGATAAAGTGGTCCCCAAAGAAATAAATGTTAATGTACTCTTTCACTCAGTCACAACATAATATAACTGTCTTGTAACCATCCCTGTGCAATGCTTCTCGTTTGAATATGCTAGTTAAAAGCAATTTGCAATATAAATACATCAACCCATTTGTAAATTACAGTAAAAACAAGATTAAATCAGCATAACTTGTGCAAGCGCTGCATAGTCATTCATAACAGAAACAGCTGCATTTGCTATACATTCAAACTTTATTTTCAGTACTATACAGACAGTTTTACAAAAAAAACAGTGAAGTCAAAAGTACTGTTGTAAACTTTAACAGCAAAGAAAAGCCTTACCTTATATCCCATGAGCTTTTAAATCCTTGTTCAATATCAGCAGTGATAATGTGCCACACTGAAGTGTTTCCACAGGACGAGACTGTGTTTACCTCTGTTCTCTTCCTACTGTTTATGGAATCCTCATTGCAGCAAGTAATACACTTCAAGAGTGGACAAACTGGTTTAACCTCGATCTGGCCAAACACATATACCTCATAAAGCTTCAGCATCACTGCATTGGAGGCAGGGTGACATAACAATAACAAACCTCTCCCTCATTCTAGATTGCTGGGAGGAACTCAAAAGAAATGGTTGAAAAAGACTAAACTATGTACACATGTACTCCCATATGACTCATATGTGTTGGGGAAACACACACCTCTACAAGGTGTACTCACTTTCACACAAGTTGTCTGGGTGGAGATGTGGTTAAACGTTCACACCTCTAATGAAACCAATTATGCATTGTCATGTCTCCGTAATACGTTCAAATAAATACACACGTGTTTTATCTGTTCGAAAAATTACTTTGAGTAGATCCTCTTATAAAAAAATACAAACCTGAAACAGACAAACAACTTAAAAAAAAAAAAACCATTTATTTCTAAAACAGACTTACATTTTAATCTTTAAAAATGTGACCTTTTATGAAATAAACATTTTTACCCGAGTTTTACCTTGTTCTACATGGCACAACATGATATAAACTGCAGGTATTTGCACATATGCAATGTCCATTCACCGGACTCCAACAACATTCTGTTCTGAAATAGCTACAGTATTTTAAACTTGCTCTTCCCCTCCACGTAAGAGTTTCTGGAAAAAAGAGTCCTCTCTTTGGCACAGAGCAGCAGGGCTGTCAAACTCCACCACCTTCCCAGCATGCATCACCAGTACTCTGTCGGAGTCCATGATTGTATTCAGTCTGTGGGATAAGAAAGACCAGGTTGGGTTGTATGGCAAGAGAAATGTTCTTGACAGATGTTTTATCTAATACATAAATGTTACATAAACATGATAATTCATAAAGTAGATAGAAAAGGTAGAAGAAAAAGGTTTTGATTCTTTGAGTGCTATCAATCAGACAACAAGACACCCTAAAAACTAAATTAACTTCAATCTGACTTTAACAACTTCTTAAAGCAGTGATGAACTAGTCATTTTCTGTAGTAGCTTCACTTAAACTTAATCATGCGCTAACTAGCATGTTAACATTACCTAAAAATACCTGCTAGTATGTTATAAATGTGGCTGTTCGGTACAAAGGTTAACAGAGATTATTCTGGTAATTTCAGGGTATTAACAATCATAAAAGAGTTGCAAATATACTTTTACAATGTGAACATGACAAATTTGTTGTCAGTTTCATTTAATAAAATGGCTCACAAAACTGTGCGCTTTGGGTGTGACTGCGTTTAGACATTTTCAACTGAAAATCAGTTCCTCATTCCTAAAGAAAAGTTGGATAAAGGAATCTTATCCCTTTGTTTTTTATTAAATAAAACAACAGTATCAAGTTTAATAAAAAAATTTTTTTTTAAACACTCAAGTATAAATCATATGCAAGTATGAAAGCAGTTTGTGACCTGTGGGCGATGGTAAGAACGGTTTTATCCTTGAATTTTTCTCTGATTGTTTTTTGTAGAAGCATGTCAGTCTTTTGGTCGACACTTGCTGTGGCCTCATCAATGCATAAAATCTATTTGGACCATAAATGAACAATAAAGTACATAATTAATATAAGATGGAAAAACGGATATTTGTTTGAAGTTCTTTATACATTAGTTGTATACATTAGCTTCTGTAAGCAGAGCACGAGCAAGACACAGCAGCTGCCTTTGGCCCACAGACAGAGACTTTCCCCTCTCTCCAACCTCCGAATCCAGGCCACCTGTAATGGGATAGACAGACAAAGCCAAAAAATAATAATTCATTAATTAATATAAAAACTAAAAAGCATTTTCTCACGTCCTGGATAAATCCTTTCAGAGAAGATGGATTTGAATTGAACAAGCTGAACACAACAATCAAAGATGATCAACTCTCACCAATCCTCTGTACTACATCTCCCAGGTGGCATTGCTCAAGAGCGTCTAGCAACCGGAAGTCTGGATGATGGCCATGGGGATCAAGGTTCTCTCGCACTGAGCTGGAGAAGAGGAAGGGATCTTGAGGGATGATGGCCAGCTTTGATCTATAGAGCGCGAAACAAAATGAATCCTTACTTGAACACAGACTTAAATTCTGAGACCTCCTTGAAACAACACTGAAGATCTGAGGTTCTAAATCTACTTTTAATCTGGAACTTTTTAGGATTTAGGAAGACTTATGACAAAGATTATGAAGTAAAATGCATAAGAAATATTTACAGTTCTGGGCCATTCTTAGATCATTTGTCAAACACAAACACATTTTTTACATTTCTTCAAAGGGTTGGGGTCGGTGATATTTGTGGTCTGAGTTTTTTAAAAGAAGTATCATATGCTTACCAAGGCTGCATTTATTTGATAAATAATATTCTAAAAAAATATTTCAATTTAAAATAACAGTTTTCTATTTTAATTTACTTTAAAGCTGCAGTCCGTAGTTTTTCCTCTTTGTCGCCATCTCTGTTCGAAATCTGCAATTGCAGTCATTCGCGGAATTATCAACTTTACGTGAGTTGTACTTCGACACGGCACAGCGCGGATGAACACAATGTTTTGAGGAGAGTGTGAGGCTGTCAGTCACCGCGGCGATGTGGATACTGGCATTCAGAATCATAGATTATTCTTTTTGGAAGTATGACCAACATAAGAATTTTCACCGGAAAATGTCATGTGAACAAGTAAGTAACATCCACTTTTGTTCTGGTTCTGACATTGCAGTGAAACGCACAGATTAAATCTAACAATCGCTTATCATATCACGCAAAACCGTGCAAATGATACTTTGTTCTCAAATTGTTAACGTTAACAACGTCAGCATTGCGTGACTACGTGTAATGTCCTTCCGATATGTATCCTTGTTTTCGCATGGGTCCGGTTGCAGTCTCTTTTTTTCACTCCGAAGTCCGAACGAAGTCTTTTGCATTTTACAACGGGTGAATCTCCAGTTGTTGAACCTTTCTGGATCCGCCATCAAATTGATAAGTTTAATTATATCAAGTGCAGTGAGAAAAGGCTATAAATCTCCACCTCCAACATCCTCACACGCAATATAGCCTACTAGCCGAGACTCCTTCTTTATGCGTACAGATGTGACGTAATGACGCAAAGACATGCTCGAATCTCCCGTGGAAATCCACCAGTACCACTGGAATTAAAAACATTATTACAAGCTTACCGCTTTGAATCGAGCTAAGGCAAGCAGATAGTTTTGAACACTGGCTGGTTATGTAATTTTTAACCCAAAAAAAGCTACTATTTTTATATTTTAAAAGCAGCTTTAAAATACAATTTATTTCTGTGGTGGCAAAACTGAATTTTCAGCAGCCATTACCATTTTTGAGTTCTTTGATGAATAGAAAGTTCAAAAGAACAGAATTATTTCAAATAAAATCTTTTGTAACATTATAAATGTCTTCACTGTCACTTTTAATCAATTGAATACGTTGCTGAATAAAAATAAAATAAAAATCTTACCCCAAATTTTTTAATATAAGTTTTGCTGGCTAACAAAATAAAAATGTGTCAAACAAACAGAGACTACTTACCGCAAGTTACCAAGCCTGACCGAGCTGATATCAATTCCATCCAGCAGTATTTGACCCTGGTTCAGCTCCACCATACGGAATAGGGCAAGGAACAACGAGGATTTCCCCGAACCTGTGCGCCCCACTATGCCGACCCTCTCCCCTGGTAAAACCTCCAAGCTGACCCCATCAAGAGCATTGGGCAAACCTGGCCTGTACGCCAACACAGCACCCACAAACTCAACACTGCCCTTTTCAGGCCACGAGTCTAGAGCCTGCAGATGGTAGAGTTTTAGGCTAAGTTTGTGCTATACACTTTAAATTTTAAATAAACACATTTTTTATGTTTTATATAGGCTCTACAGGCTTGAGATTAACTTTTTTGCTTAATACAACCACAATTTTGACATCGATACCATGGGTAAAAACTGCCATATATATATATATATATATATATATATATATATATTTTTTTTTTATATTATCTCATTATTTGGCAGGAGGTATATTAGGCTGCTGTCACTTTAAGACCTGATATATGGATCTATTATACTGTAACACGTGCATTTTCTTTCTCAACTGTTTACATTCACTTAAAACATAATTGACTGTTTCTATGTCGTGAATACTCGCCAAGACCGACATTTTCATTATTTTGTGTGTATTTGACTGTTTAAGCGCAAGAAGCAGCGAAAAAGAACTCAATTTAGTCCTGAGAGGTGCCTTTATGTGCGTGCACTTTGGGTGTGAGCATAAAATATATGGGAATGAGTAAAATTATGCGTAGTACGTGCAATATCATGGGTCGGACTGGTTTTCGGATCTAATTGGACCCGTGAAGACCTCTAGTATATATTAAATATAAAATTCAACCCGCCAAAGTGGCTAGTTTATATATACACACACACAACTATGTGTATATTTATATTTATATATATATACACAACTATGTGTATATTTATATATATATATATATATATATATACACACAAAGTTGTAATTGTAAATATTGCCAATAAACCTGATTTGCAATGGGGTTTGAATAATTTCAGACTTTCAGCTGTTTGCAATGAACAAATCAAACAAAAGTAATTGAAATAGCTCAACACAACAAAAGTTTCAAGTGGTTTCCCCAAATACAACTGAAAATGCAACTTTTATTGACTTCCGTAGTCTCAAAATTATTCAACCCCCTGAAAAGAATCCCTTCAAACAGCACAAATCTGCAAAACAGGTGTTGTCTCAAGCACACCTGATACAACTAATCAAAGTCAAAAGAATGGTCAAAAAAGTTAAAAGAAGATAACTTTCACAAACAAGGAACAGGATACAAAAATATAGTGAAGGCACTAAATGTTCCCAGAGACACTGTTGCAAGCATAGTTCACAAGTTCAAAGCTAAAGGAACAGTGGTTACACTACCTGGACGGGGCAGAAAAGGAAGCTATCAACGGCTGCAACCAGATTCCTGTGAAGGCAGGTTCAGAAAAACCCTTGAGTGGCTGCAAAAGACCTGCAGCAAGACTTGGTGGCCACAGGCACTGAGGTTTCAGTTTGCACAGTAAGGCACGTACTAAACGCATGCCAGAACTCCAAGACGTACACACTACTGACCCAAAAGCACTAGAAAAGTCAGCTCCAATTTGCTCAAAATCATATAAATAAGCCCCAGAAGTTTTGGGATTCTGTTCTGTGGAGCGACGAAACAAAACCAGAAACTTTATCGTCCCTATATGGATCAAAGTTCGGCGTCTCATCCTGAAGCACACAGTCATCTTCATTAAAAGTAACAAATTATTTTGCCTCTCTCTCTCTCTCTCTCCAATTGTGGTCTTTGATCTTGATCTTGCTTTCTTTGACGGGAACGCCGTTAAATTTGCATAAAGCGCAGGAATTGAAGATTAGATATTCGTTTTGCGGAGACGGTTACGTTGCCCATTGTAAATGGAACGGTTTTAACAAAACGGATAGCTATCTGATAATTTAAAAACGCATGAATGACCAGGTGTAAACAGGCCCATTGGAAATCTGTTATTCTAAGTCTAATTTAAAACTAAAAACAAACAAGCTGAAGGATTTTGACAAAAGTAACAACTCATTTTATGAAAAAATGCTTAAAAAATAGGCCTACAGTATTTAAGGTTCTGCACTATTTCTATGTTAGCCATTATAAATATTTAAAATATGTGTATGTGCATTTATACATGATTAGGGTGGGGTTATGGCACAGTGATAAACTCAGAAACTTAAAAATGGCACTTCATGACAAAAAGGTTGCCGACCCCTGCCATAGAAAATCTCTGGTGGGATTTGAAAAAGGCAGTTGCAGCACGCAAACCCAAGAATATTACTCAACTGGAGGCCATTGCTCATGAGGAATGGGATAAGATTCCTTAGAAATGCTGCCAGAAGCTGCTGTCTGGCTATACATCTCGTTTGCAGCAGGTCATAACAGCTAAAGATGCTTGCCATGAAGGGGTTGAATAATTTTGAGATGGCAGAAGTCATAAAAAATTGCATTTTTAGTTGACTTTGGGGGAACCACATTTGTTGTGCTGAGCTATTTCAATTAATTTTGTTTGACTTGTTCATTGCAAACAGCTGAAAGTCTCTACATTTAGCCAATAAACCTAATTTTGATTACAACTGTATATATATATATTTTTTAATTAAATATATTTATTCATTGAAAGGTTAGACTATTACAGCTTTTAGGCTAACGATCACTCCTCTTACCTCAATGCTGGCTTGTTGAGGCTCCTGAGGAATGTTAGTGGAATACTCCTCGGTACGCTCAATGCTCACCAACTGCATCTCTGTTTGCGCAAAGCTGAAAATCAGCCCTGACAGCAGGTTGGTGATGGATAGTGCATAGGACAGTGACAGACCTACCAGACCTGACAGAACAGAGTACAGCAAAAGAGAAGAGAAGATTTAAGTACTTCAAATTTCAATATCTTAAAACAATTTTAAATGCGTTATGGTTGAACTGGACAGTGATCTTATGAAATTGGATAATAGTGCAGTTGAGCGAAGTTTCCTAAATGTACCATAAGAGACCAATGAGGTACATGTGAATCTGTCTGTGTCTGCACAAAACACAGACTGTGTCTGATTTCAGATTTGATGTTTGAAAAAATAATTAAAATACAGAAAAATAAAAATCTTTTTTGTTTGTTTGTAAAGGTAGCACTTGTTTCCCAGTAGAGAATGCTCTGTTGTCATGAAACTAAAGCCATTTTTATTCACTCTGCCAAAAATGTCAATTTATACTCTTATCTCATAAAGAGGTTAACCTGGATCGATGGATTTGAGCTGATGCTGGATCACAGCGATCACGCTGATGCCGGTTACTACGGTAACACCAATCATCTGCAGCCGAATGTCCAGCCACTGCATGGCAGCATTACTGTTGAAGAGACATCGCTGATTCTGTTCTACACGCCTCTCATTCTCCTCCTCAAATCTGCTCTCAAACACATACAAATAAAGTTTTATTCAGGATTACAATCATTATTAGTCAATTGTCAACATTCATCTCAGTGTAATATTATCAAGTAGATCATTTAATTAGTTAGTAATTAGTATTGAGAGAACACATAACCATGTTTGTTTATTTCATTATTAGTATAAAAAAAAAAAAAAAAAAAAAAAAAAAAAAAAATAACTGAAAAATATTTGTATTCATTGTAAGGGGTGAATCTCCCTGTCAGTAAAATGTCCAGGTCATATTTCACCTCAAAGCCAAATGAGAAAAATTACAGATTCAGAAATGCTGTAATCCACGAGTGAAAATCACTTTTTAAAAGTAAAATCAGCATGAATTATGCAACATAAAATATTAACAAAATTACACATTATTTAAATGTAAAATTGTAGCATTTGCTGTACTGATTTTAATTTATGCTGATGAAAAAATAAATTACTTCATTATTGTATTGTGAGAAGGAGATTTCTTGCATCAATTAATGTCACAATGCAAAAAAATAAAATAAAATAATTAATGGTCCAAAAAAATAGCTATTTTCTTTAACTAACTATTTTCTTGACAGTGTATTATATATATATATATATATATATATATATATATATATATATATATATATATATATATATATATATATATATATATATAACATTTTATATTAAGTTACCCAGACATTTCTTTAAAACCAAACCCTGATTCAAGGTAATTTAAATGATTTTCTGGTGAAAAAGCACAGCTAGTTTTCATACCTGGCAGTGTGTCCACTGGCCCGCACTGTGGACAGGCCGCTGAGGGTTTCAGAGAAGTGTGAATAAACTGGAGAGAGAGTGAGGCTACACAGGCGTTTCAGCTCACGGGACGAGTGACGATAAAAACATTGAGTTTGATAGTAAAGAACCCCCAGAGGAACCAAAGGAAGTAGCACCCAAGGCAGCCCGTAGGTCATGACGACAAGCATCCCAAGCAGCCCAAACACATTGGCCAGGAGGATGTTTAAGACAAAGGGGAGAGAGTCATCCACACAGTAAATATCTGAGGAAAATCGATTCAGGATACGACCCAATGGTGTAGTGTCAAAAAACGTCATAGTGGCCTAGAATGGGAGAAGCATATGTATAATGTAAATACACACGTTTAAAAAACATTATACATTATTATATATTATAATAATTGCGAAGACTTAGATATAACAATATTACATTTAGATTATATATTTAAATTGTATTTAGATACAAAATATTAAACCAAGTAGTGACATCTGCAAACAAAAATTACATTTTTTTGACACATTTTAGCAATTGCTTTCATTCAACTGGGCTTAGTAATAACTCCCAATCAGAGATGAGACAACAATCATTACCTTCAGTACACTAGACAGAAGTCTCTTATGAATGGCAGTAGCAGCACGGATTGCTCCATACGCGAAGAGAAACGCACGGGCAGCTGTAAATACAGTGTTCGCTGCCGCCAGAGATCCATATACAGTCATGTAAAACTTCAGCTCAGAGCTCATACTTCCTGAAGTCTCTGAACCTCTGTCAGGTGCATGAAATCTGATAAACCAATCAAGTCAAGTTAAATGAGTTCCAACTGTGGCACAAGACAGAAACAAAACTTCTGTACATTATCTAAATTATCAAAAACAGAACATTATAAGACATAAAATAAGATTTTGACATTCGTTTAAATGAGATATCCAGACTCCAAGTAAACATTCCAATGTTTTACATGTTATTTCCATTTCAGATGCAAAAAACATGACATTTTAGTTTTAGAATGCAAGTCTTATTGCATTGGAAAATATGTAATTATAGAATGTTATGCCGTTATGAAGGTGAAGTAATTATTTTACTTAGTTTATTTCCATTTTAAATAAATGTTGTTCTTCTGAACTTTCTATTCATCAAAGAATATATCAGTGTCCACAGTTTAAATATTGATAATTATAAGAAATGTTTTTTGAGCACCAAATCAGCATATCAGAATGATAAATGATGCTGAAAGTTGTATAATATTAATTAATATGTTAAGTAAAATCTTTCACATTAGAATTTTTTCAATTTTACTATTTTTATTGATGTCTTATATTCATTTCTTTTATGTTTTGTTATGAATCTTATTAATCGTTTCTTTATGAATTCCAGATCCTTTTTATGCCTTATGTTACACGATTTTTTCCTGTACATGTTATTGATTTCTTTGAGTGTATTCATTTCCTTCAGACTTGACTGCATGATGTGCGTCTGTTTTCATTTCTGCAGACATGAGATAATGCAAGATCTGCTATATTCACTTAAAGGTGTTAAAACCACAATTGCGTACAAGGACATGGTGACCTAATAAGACCTGATAGGATGCATTTTGTCTTTAGTGCAGCCTTAAATGGTAGCAAGAGAGGAACAAAGAATTTTAAACATTTAAGACCTAAAGGCATATTTTGAGTTATTATTTCGGAGTGACATACACAAAAGTAAAGACTCACAACTCCAAAACAATGGCAAGGAGAGTACAAAGGCAGGTATTGTTCGATAGAAAATGTTTTAAATTTTGAGAAAAAAAAAATACATTTGGACATTCTCATGCTGAGAAACTGCTGATAAAAGACAAAAAAAGTGTGCTCAAGGGACATTTTTCAAATCTTTCTTATTTGACATGCAATACCTCAACAAAAACTAGTTTGGGCTCTTTTTTAATCAGGAGAATCTGCTGCAAATAATGCTTTGCCACGATCTGAGCATGTTTTACGAAGTTACAAGCAAAATTGACATAAATGCAATATCTGTAAATTATTTACATATGGGTCTGGGGGGGGGGGGGGGGGGGTGCTTCACCTACAAAAAATTGCTCAAGTTTAGGTAAAGGCCAAAACAATAATGCTTGTTGTATTCTCCTTCGTGAGACCTTTCAAATGACATGTGACACATGACTAACTAAGCTGTATAATGTTTTTTACAAAAAAAATATTTCAGAAATTATGAACAGATTTTTTTATTAATCAGTTAATCAGACTCTAAGCTTTCAAATGATACCTATTTGTGTTTATCAAGGCAGTAGATTTTAAAAATATGATTATTAAGAGTTTATATAAGAGTTTTTCAAAATGGTTAAATTCACATGGTTATTAATACACTTCAGGTTTAAAGGGTTAAAAGTACTTTCCATAGTCTCTTTCTATTACATAAGCACAGCATATAAAATGTTTTGTTTCAGAAGACTCTGAGCTTCTTCTCGTGACAACTTATTTTAAGGTGATGTAGTTACATTGTAATTACTCAAATAAGTACCGAGTAATATTAATTAATTACATGTACTTATTATAATGTTACGGTTTGGGTTTGGTTTAGGATTAGTTACTTGTAATTATGCAATTTAATAATAATAATAATAATAATTCATCACATTTATATAGCGCTTTTCTCAGCACTCAAAGCGCTTTACATAGAAGGGGGGGGATCTCCTCAACCACCACCAATGTGCAGCATCCACCTGGATGATGCGACGGCAGCCATATTGCGCCAGAACGCCCACCACACACCAGCTTATTGGTGGAGAGGAGACAGAGTGATGAAGCCAATCAGTATATATAAGGGGATATATATATAAATATAATTTACTGTTATTACTATAGTAAGTAGTGTAGTAACGTGTAACTAAGTCACCTTAAAATAAAGTGTAACCCTCTTCTCTTTTTCCTTACATTCTGCAAATATCTCACTTCTTTTGGGCTTTTCTTCCTCAATACTCTCTGATCTTCACAAAATTCATCTATTAGATACACTACTTTGGATTTTATTATAATCTATTGACTAAAATAGATATTTTTTTCTATCTTATCTTGAAACTTTTATCCTATTACAAATTTAATATTTACTCAATTCATTTGTTGCCTTTTATATTTAATAAAATGTCTTATTCCTTATTCAAAATTTGATCTCTGACATAATCATTGCTCGTCTGCCTGCATCAATAATATTTCACAATAGTTTTACTGTATTTTCGATTAAATAAATGCAGCCTTGGTGAGCAGAAGAGGCTTCTTTCAATATTACTGACACCAAACTTTTGAATGGTAGTGTAAATAATATCAAAGAATATTTAACGAAATGTGTAACTCACATAAGTCTCTCAGGAGACAGGAAAGTCAGAGTCAAGAGGGGATCAGCTGACAGTAACACCAGCTCAGTCGTATTGTCCTTCATATGTGAAATCCAGTGAGAGAGCCACCAGTCGGACACATTTTTGGTGGCTGTATAAAGCAAATCAAAGCATTGACTGTACAGTAGTGCAGTGACTATCTTACGGCGATGCTTTAATAATACATAAAAGCTCATATTGATACAGTTGTTAGTACCTTGCATTAGGAAAAGGGAGAGCAGAACAGCTACAGCCAAGCATCCACCCACTGCTCTCCAAAAGGAGCAGTACACAGCCCAGGACAGCTTTCCCATTTGCTTCTGCTCCTCCCCAAACATCTTTAGCTCTGATTCTAGCTCCGGCTCATTGGCCTCCACCTCCTCTCTGACTATAGCATCTGAGAAAGATTTATTTGCATAATCACAGTTGAAGTGCACCAAGAAAAAAAAATGGAAATGGGTCGCTCACTCATTTGAAAAGCATCAGTACCTTTCTCCTTAGCATTGCTGTTGTTCTTGCTGTCTTTAGGGGGTTTTACCAAAGAAAGGACTTCATTTGGTGTCCCTTAACCACAAAAACAGACAAAGCAGAGAGTTTTATTAGTAAATTCAAGTCAATTCATTAATAATTCCTGTTTTTGACAGTAAATAGCAAAGAGGGTACCTTTTTTTACAATCATCCCATTGTCCATCAGCACCACCACGTCTGCCTTATCCACAAACTCTATCCGATGAGTACAAAGAATTCTGGTCTTGTTTTTGAGAATTCCCAAGATGCATTTCTCCATTAAATGGTGGGCAACATCAGCATCCACAGCTGCTAAAGGATCATCCAGCAAATAGATTTCTTTATCCTGAAATATGAAATGCACTATAAATACACACATCATATTTCTGCCCACATCTGTTAGAACTTTCTGTTTGGGCCTTTTAGAGCATCAATCAAACATCTTATATGACGTAAAAAAAAAAAAAGCACCATATAAACAGCCCGGGCCAAAGCGAGGCGGCTTTTCTGTCCTCCGCTCAGAGTCACACCGTTCTCTCCCACTTCTGTCTGATCACCACCGGGCAAGATCTGAACAAAATAGCACAGCTCAGTGTCAGTTAGAACTTTCCATAGATGTCAAACAAGCAATTCATGAGAAAAACTGCATGCAAAATAAAGATAGCACGATATTCACCCACATTTAGGTCATCAGCAAGGGCACAGGCCTCAATCACAGCTTGGTAGAAAATGCTGTCAAGGTCTCTGCCAAAAAGAATGTTGTCCTTCACTGTTGCATGCTGGATCCATGACTCCTGGGCGGCCAATCCAAATCCCTGTTCTCTTCCCTGAACAGATACTTCGCCTCCACACCTACAGGAGACAAAACCACAAAATAATGAAGAATGTTAAGTGTGTAATATCTGTACCACTTAAAGCAACAAATGTAAATGCAAAAATAATGAGGGCTTTAAAGATCAAGATTTATAAATATTTTAAAATTGGAAACAAATGCAAGGATGTGATAAAAATGACAGTAAAGACATTATTACAAAAGTTAAAAAAAAAATCTTTTGAACTTAATCCTGAAAAAAGTATCATGATTTCCACAAAAATATTAAGCATAAGCAGCACAACTGTTTTCAACATTGTTAATAATAATAAGTGTTTATTGAGCAACAAATCGCTATATTAGAATAATTTCTGAAGGATCATGTGACTGAAGACTGGAGTAAAAATTTGGAAAATTCAGCTTTGCATCACAGGAATAAATAACATTTTAAAATATATTCAAATAGAAAACAGTTATTTTAAATTGTAATCATATTTCACAATATTACAGTTTTTACTGTAATTTTGATCAAATAAATGCTGCCTTGGTGAGCATTAGATACTCTAAAAATTATTATTTTGTTAATATAAATTATTAACAAAAATATTACAGACTCTAAATTTGTAAACGGAAGTGAATATACTTTACATTTAAATTGCCTTGAAGAGTTACTTCATAAATATATTGTTCTGGTATTTTATTTTGCACATTGCTAGACTGCCCTACAAAGGCAAAATACCTTAACTTGCTAGAGTGTGGAACTGAGAAAAATGCCTTAAAGGGGTCATATAATGGTACATGCACTTTTACAAGTTGATTGTACTGAAATGTGTGTTGGCAGTGCCTGTACACAAACATCATAAAATGATAAAAAATCCATCCAGTGTTTTTGTTTTAATCTCCTTATATGTTTTCCCCTGCCTCAAATCGAGCCGTTCGAGCCTGTGACGTCACAAGCTCGTACGCCCCTCCCACGATTGTTGAATGACAGCCGCGTTTCAACACAGACCCGCCCTCGCTCGTGAGCGAGCTGTCAATCATAGTGCGCGCGGACCGGCGCGGTCATTGTTGATATGCTGGAGCACTGTCTACGAGCAGAATGGTGTCTAAGCGATTGTGGTGTTCTGTTCTTGGGTGCAATAAGGAACACAGCAGTCATTTTAATGTTCCTAAATCCGAACCGCTGAAGACGCAGTGGCTGAGTTTGTTTTCAAAGGGAATATTCCCCACGAGCAACGTCAATGCTTTCATATTTGCGCGAATCATTTCACACACCAGACTGCTTTATAAACGAGGAGGGTCAGTATAAAGCTGGTTTTGCTAAGAAGCTGCTGGACCGGTACCAACTATTCGTGTTCCTGCTGAACCTCCAAAATAACTGAAGTGAGTGTAACGTTTTATTAACCTTTAATATTTATATTAATCTTTGCAAATCGCTAGCTGCACGCTTCACAATGAATGCGTCTAAGGTTTACACTCAGGGTTCATTACGGCATGTTTTCTATGTACGACGTTCTCAATATAATTCATAATCCCACGTCTATAATGAACAACGTGTTATGGTTATTGTGTTACAAACGGTGTACACAGAACAGAGAGGCGGGGTGAGCAAAGCTCATTATCATTTAAAGGCATATGCACTGAAACGGCGTGCTGAAAACAGAGCTGTTTTTGACCAGGTAAAATAAGTGTTCTTACAATACTAATGAGAATTTTTAATTAAAGTATATTACAAAGTTTTAATTTAGACTCTAAAGAATCATATTAGCTTCTACAAAAATGGCATTATATGACCCCTTTAAAGATTTTTAGTTGTCCAGCCAAATTAATGATAGGTATGACGCTGGAAATCTGGCAATTAGATGTTTTAGTAATGAAAATATGAAATGGAAAAAATCTTTAGCTCAAACTTTGTACTCTGCCTTTGCAAAAACCGAGAAGTCACACCAAGGCAAATGGCAATAACTTCCACATTATAAATATTTGGTTGCTAATCACCATTTACAAAATCATAATAGTAACACCTGTATAAAATCTAGTGATCATGGCATTTATTTTGGATGATTTACAATTGCTTTGTTATATGGAGCAGTTTGTAGCCTATTTATTGGATAGCTGAATAGCCTATTTTTGCTATAGGCTGCTAGCTAGCTAAATAAAGTAGATTGTGATCTATCTGATTTGTTTGTCTAATGCATCTGTTGTGTTACTTGACCTTGATGTCTACGTTTCAAAGCCATCTCAACAGGCCTATTTTGCCAATTTTAATGGCCAGTAAAACAAAGGGAGAATACTGTAACTCCAGGCCGGCACAGTAACTTCTAAACAACAGCTAAACAATAGCAGAGTACCCCCTTACTCAATTTGAGCGTTCCAAAACAAAGGCAAAGAAAGGTAACTGGAGTTACGGTGTTCTGCCTTGGTTTCTCCTGTGCTTTTGGAAGTTACTGTTAAGATAACCCATTATTTTCTTGAAAATACAAAGGAATTGACTCAAGATATTTATCCACGTGATAAAGGAGGACTTGAATGTCCCAAAAATATCAATACGGTAACTCATTTTTGACCAAAAATGATGTCACTGCCTGTTGCCTTTGTAGGGCAGTAGAGATTTTATGAATTAGTACCTGGTAAGCTCTCCTGTTATGGCAGCCAACAAAGAACTTTTCCCACAACCAACTTTTCCCACCACAGCCACCAGAGAGCCCTGGAGCCAGAGAGCAAAGACATTTACAAACTAACATACTTTTGCATTATTCAAACCTGCAACAAAATATTTGAAGAAACAACCAAAACAAAACTTTTTTTAAGGGAGATTCCTCATTTGAGCTACTAATGGTCCAACTAAAGCACAATGCCTAGCTACTCAGTACTCCTCCTTCAGCACATACCCTTTTAACGCTGAGATTGAGTGCATCCAGATAAAAGCTGTGTGGTGGTGGTGACCCATCCTCTGTCTTGTCATCAGGCACACTGACAGAATCTGAATCCACTGGCTGCTTCCAGGAGAAACTCGCCTGGTCCATCTGAACAGCAGACAGAGGGTCCTCAGGACACACTGCAGAAAAATGAATGACAGATATGAAATATCCTAATTAAATCTATTCATCAATGTTGTTATTAATTATATGAATTTGCCTACATAAAGAGTTTAATTTAGGTGACCATGTTTAAATGACAAGTAATAAGAAAACAAAACAAAAACACTGATGAATCAGAGTAGTGATTCCCAAACTTTTTTGCCATTGAAACCCTTTACTTGTAATTACTTGAAGTATTTACATTTCAGGTTATTTAATTTCAGGTATTTAATTTCAGTTATTTTTTCTTTATTTCAGTCATTTAAAAACACATTTGCATGTTTATGGTTCTCCAACATCAGATAATGTTCACATGACAAGTAGACAAATATTTTTTGTGTTTTTTTTATTATTTCTTTTACAATTATTTCTTTAAAATTTTAATGAATGATTTCAAATAATTATCAGCTTTTTATCAACAGAAACCCTGCATCAGAATAAAGTATTCCAGAGAGCCATGTTATAACAGTACAATCAATGAGAAAAACATAAAATAACACCAGACTTTTGGGTTGTGCTATGGACTATTTTAACCTTTAAGAAACAGGTCAGGTACCTTGCGTGTAATAGGCGGTGAGGTCCTGATCCTGTAGCGTGAGGAAGCGCTGAATACGGTCTAAAGACACTTTAGCTTCCAGGGTTCCATTCAGCACCCAGGGAAAGGCATTGAGAGGAAGAATGAGCATCCCCACAAGAGCCAGAGTACTAAACACCTGCCAAGCAAAATATAAAATGCAGCCATTCAAAAATATTTAAACGCAGAGCAGACTCTGTTCCCCTTTAAAAAAAGCCATTCCAAGCTGTGGTATATTACACTTAAAAAAGACGACGGCTGTTGTATTTAAGCCAGCGTAATCCTTTAAAGTGTGACCTACACACCTTTGCAGCAGTGAGATTGTTTCCCAGCAGGACGTATGTGATGAATGTGAGGATCGAGACGACCACGGGCAGAGCAGCCCAGGTGTACACACATACAGCATCCAAGTACTTCAGAACTTTCAGGTGATGGAGCTCTTTTTTACGGGCCTCCGCAATCTTTTGAGTGAAGTGCTCCTCCCAATTATAGTACTTCAGGACCCGAATTCCAAAGAGTATCTCTGTCATTAGCTTTAGACAAAAGACATCAGATATTTGATTATCCACTGGAAGCTACTACACCAGCGATAGAAAACCTTTTTAAATTCATGGCTCCTGTCGTCAACAACAATATTTTAAAGTCCCCATGACTTCTCCAGATGATTTACTGGATACGGAATAAGGACAATGTGTTTTTTTTTAAATAATTTATATTTAATTTTTACCCAATACAATGTTTAAAGCTTTACTTTTTTATTATATAAAAATGCCCAATGGAATTTTAATTTTTTATTCATTTACATTTTACCTGGTCTAGACAGCTCTAGAAGGTCTGATTTTTAGTCGTTTTGGCTAATTTTAATGCTTCTTTTGTCTTGCATTTGTGTAAATCATCCAAGTCATATTGAGGCCCCTTGGAAGTTTGCTGAGGGTCCCTAGTGGGCCCAGGCCCCCTGGTTGAGAACCACTGTATTACACTCCTGTTAAAAGATGTTTAAATGTTTTTGGAATATCTTATGCTCACCAAGGCTGCTGAGGCTTATTTAATTAAAAATACAATTTAAATACAATTTAAAATAACTGCTTTCTATTTTCATATATTTTTAAATCTACTGCATTCCTGTGATGGCAAAGCTGAATAGTATTTAGTGTCACATTATCCTTCAGTTCATTCTAATATGCTGATTTCATGCTCAAAAAACATTTCTTATTATCATCATCAATGTTGCTTAATTGTGTAAACCCTAATACTTTTTTCCAGGATTTTGTGATGAATAGAAAGTTCAAAAGAACAGCATTTATTTTAAATAGAAATAGTTTGTAACATTATAAAAGTCTTTACTGTCACTTTTGATTAATTTAATGCATCCTTGCTGAATAAAAGTATTAATATCTCTCTCTCTCAGAAGAAAAAAAAAATCTTACTGACCCCAAACTTTTGAATGGTAGTGCATTTACTTAAAGGGATAGTTCACTTTGAAATAAATTTTTGATATGTTTTAGCTTACCTCAAGGGCATCCAAGATGTAGGTGTCTTTGTTTCCGCAGTAGTTTCAATTTTGATATTTTTAGGTCAAACCGTTCTTGTCTGTCAGTCATATAATGCAGGTCTATGGTCACCACCTCAAAGAGCATGCACAGAGAAGTCCAAATTAAACATGATTTAATGACTCGTAAATGTAAGTACACATTGATGGCCTAAGACACGAAACGAGCGGTTTGTGTGAGAAAACGAACAGTATTTATATCGTTTTTACCTCTTGTAAACACAGCCACGTCCAAGTGATCTGAGGGCGTGGGCGCTTCAGTCTGTGCGTTACAAGAGGTAAAAACGATATAAATACTGTTCGTTTTCTCACACAAACCGCTCGTTTCGTGTCTTAGGCCATCAATGTGTACTTACATTTACGAGTCATTAAATCATGTTTAATTTGGACTTCTCTGTGCATGCTCTTTGAGGTGGTGACCATAGACCTGCATTATATGACTGACAGACAAGAACGGTTTGACCTAAAAATATCAAAATTGAAACTACTGCGGAAACAAAGACACCTACATCTTGGATGCCCTTGAGGTAAGCTAAAACATATCAAAAATTTATTTCAAAGTGAACTATCCCTTTAAAGCCAAATTCAAAAGACATACTGGCCCGGTTTCACAGACAGAGCTTAGATTAAGCCAGGATTAGGCCTTAGTTCAATTAGGGCATTTAGGTGGCTTTTATAAACGTGCCATATGTAAAACATTACGGTGTGCATCTTGAGACGAAACGATGTAAAAGGCATATTTTAAGATATGTCAGTGCAAGTTGCTTTCCGCTAAAACAGCTCAAACATGCATTTTAGTCTGGGTTTAGGCTTAAAGGGATAGTTCACCCAAAAATGAAAATTAGCCCATGATTTACTCACCCTGAAGCCATCTCAGGTGTATATGACATTCTTCTTTCAGACGAATACAATCGGAGTTGTCCGAATGTCCTGGCTCTTCCAAGCTTGATAATGGCAGATAATGGCAGTGAATGGCTGTATTAGACTTGTAGTCAAGACCGCCTAAACCGAGACCAAGACACTACCAAGACCAGAGGGTATCGAGACCAAGACAAAACCAAGACCAAGACCAAGACCAAGACCAAAAAACAGACTAGTGTTGTTGAAGCTATTCAATAACTTGTAAGATTTTGTTTTGCATTGCCTGCCTATCTCTGCCGATTTCGTAGTCTCCAAATGAATCCATTCTGCAACTTTTAAATAAATAATTATATTTTTAAAAACGAAATTATTAGCTTAAGTGCAGGATCAGAAAGTTGGTTGTTTTGTCGCTCTGGTTACACACACACACACACATACACACACACACCGTTGGCGGTGCGCTCAAAGTCATCTATCAGTTGTGCAGTTACCCAAAATCTCCTGAATGAAGTTAAAACCCATCATGTCACTGATATGTGTTTTACTAAATATTAATACATCAAAAACTGTACATGATGTGTTTTTTAAATCAAGTGATCAAAGTGCTCGTTGCCGCTGCGATCAGTGGCGCGGAAACGGTGTTTCTCATGTGGCTCGCGCACACACCGCACTGTCTTCACTCAGACCTCGGACGCACGCTTCAATCAGTTGCGGATATTGTAGTATTGTATAACTAAATCCCCTGACCACTATGTCGGTCTGAGACAACGAGACCTAGACAAGACCGAGAGGTCCGAGACCAAGACAAGACCAAGACCAAAGACCGTCAAGGCCGTGACAAGACCGAGACCACGTAAAAGTGGTCTCGAGACATACATCACTAGGCTGTATGTCTTTGGAAGTCCATCAAAGCGCATCTATCCATCATAAAAGTGCTCCACGCATCTTCGGGGGTTAATAAAGGCCTTCTGAAGTGAAGCGATGCGTTCGTGTAAGAAAAATATCCACAACGTAATGACGGCAATTGACGCCTCGCGGTTCAAATAAACAGGGCTTGACAACCGCATTCGTCATTACGTTGTGCGTCAAGTTCAAGTGTTACTCTTTTGGCGTAAATCGATGCGTACAGCCGTCCGCCAGAAGCTAGTTATTTTAGTCGATAAAGTTTTAAATATGGATATTTTTCTTACACAAACCCATCGCTTCACTTCAGAAGGCCTTTTTTTACCCCCGAAGACGTGTGGAGCACCGTTAATCATGAATAGATGCACTTTGTGGACTTCCAAAGACATACAGCCATTCACTGCCATTTTCAAGCTTGGAAGAGCCAGGACATTTTTTTTAATATAACTCCGATTGTATTCGTCTGAAAGAAGAATGTCATATACACCTAGGATGGCTTGAGGGTGAGTAAATCATGGGCTAATTTTCATTTTTAGGTGAACTATTCCTTTAAGCCTCGTCTGTGAAACCGGGGGATTAAATAAAAAAATATTCCAGATCATTAGATATACATATACAAAACAGTCCCACCTTCACTCTCCCATCCTTGTGTAGCAGCATATGTTTATTGTTTTCCAGAATTCGGGAAGCCAAGACTTTATTCAAAGGCACGAGCAGCACGGCCACGGCCACTCCTCCCAAGAAGGCCACGCCCACCTGTAGGTAAAGCAGGTAAAGTGCAAGGACAAACTGGAAGGGAAGACTCCAAACTTCATGGAAGCTGTTGAAGAAATTCACCACACGGTCTGTGTCTGTGCTCATGAAGTTGACAACCTCGCCCATGTTGAAGCGAGCCAGAGCAGGCGCACTGACTTTTAGAGCTTTGCTGTATATGGTGGAAATCACAGCAGCCCGAGCCTCTAACGCAATCTTTGATACTTCATAAACAAAGACATTCCTCAGCAGGGCAGCAAGAAAGGTACTAGCAAACAGTCCCACGGTACACCACACACCCTTGCTCAGTGGTGCCCCCTCAGTCTCCATGAAACCCACCAACTGACCGAGAAGCAGGGGTCCTGCAAAAGCTAGCATACTAGCTACTAACTTCAACACACCCAGCAGGTAGTAGCGTAGACCAAAGGCCTTGTGCAACACTTGCAGAAGTTTGACATCATGTTGCGTTCCTTCACATATCCTCTCCGGCTCTGCCTCACTCCAAGAGTTGTCCTGCAGGTTTCCTCTTGAAAGTCTATCCAGTGTCACAGGCTTTTCTTGACCTCTTGGATGGAGACATTTCTGCCAACACTGGTAGAACCGGAGATTGACTGCTTTGGTGCGTAGGTGAAGTGGCAGCTGGAAGACGTCACATGGCCTCTCCAGCTCTCCACGTTTACCTCGCTTCAGCAAAGGGTTCAGCCACAGGTACAGCAGCCTGGACAGCCAATTGCAGCCATCCTCGGCTACAGTCACCCCTTCATTGGGTTCAAAGGAGACAATCAATGGAGCTTCATCTTCTGCATTACAAGACAGAAGGTCCCTTTGATTTCTGTAACAGGGAAAGATATAACCAAAGAGGTAGACCAGCACCAGAGCAGCCCTGGTTCCTGTTAGAGCAAGACGGACAACCAGCAGAGGCTCTGAGACTCCAAGGCGATTGATTTCTTGGATGTAGGCAGTGAGGATAAAAGCTAGATTAGGGATGGAGAGAATAAGCAGCAAAGGAAGCACAGCAGGACCTCGAGTCCTTCTGTACATTGTCCTTTGTAAGGCCAAAACGGCCCCAAAATGAACCATCCAGGCCAGTATACCACATCCATCGGCTAAGACATCCAGATAAATGTCTGGAGCCTGGAGTTCAAAAACCAGGACCAAGTCTCCAAAAAACAAGAGAGCCAACAGCACGGTCGATGCGGTCCTGAAGCCCCAGCCAATGGGAAGGGAGGATACAATATCGGTAAGTCTGTAGGTAATAAAACAATAATTATATAAAGTATATATAAAAAGTATTTTGACATCAACATAATTAACATAATGAAAGTCAATATCAAATGCAACCTACTTTAAATCCATAATGTATTTCTGAGAGGGATATTAAACAAAATTTGGTCGAGACTTGATTTTAACAATCAGAATTGATTGGATCATGACTAAAGTCGCGGTCACATTGTTGGCACATTTTAGGCTAAAAAGGCCAATTGTCTATTGCCAATAGGCAGCTCACTTTCAAAACAATCATTTTTCTGTTGGTCAGCACAGCAATTCTGAATGACCATCTTGAACCTGTAGCGAAACCGGTTGACCCTTTAGAATAAGATTTTGTTTTATGCAAGTAAACGGTCCATTCGGATTTCATGACATGTTGACTTTCACTTTGAGATTTTTACATATACACTACCATTCAAAAGTTTGGGGTTGGTAAGGTTTTTTTTTATGTTTTGAAGTGAAAAAAGTATCTTGGCCCACAAAGGCCACATTTATTTGATCAAAAATACAGAAAACAGTAATATTGTGAAGTTACTACTATTTAAAATAACTGTTTTCTATTTGAATAAATTTATTTCTGTGATGGCAACAAATTTTCAGCATCATTCAGAATGATTTAAGAAATCATTCTCTCATTCAACCATTCAGAAATATGCTGATTTGATGCTCAAGAAACATTTAATTCAATGTTGAAACTGGAAACTTTTTGAATGGTAGTGTATTTCAGCATAAGCCTTATAAATAGCTTTAACTCACCTGGGCACACTAATGTAACAGGCACTGATGATGGCAATAATAGCATGTGCTAGTGATCCCAACAAAAGCTGGTTAACACAGGGACTGATGGTGCCATTCTGCCACACAGGAAATGGTCTGTCTACATTAGTGTGACAGAGCTCTGATATGAACTCAGCTGCTCCAAACACACGTGTATTCCCCACCATGGCCTCTGAAGACCCCTGAGGGCTGAAATAAGGTCCTAGGGCGAAAAGGGGTTTGGATGTGATGGACAGGCAAAGTGCATTCACAATACTTTACCTAACAAACAATGTTTACCCAGTGAGCAGGTACCAATGTACCCAGTGAGCAGCCTACCTAGACCGCACTTTTGGGCAACATAGGTGCTGCCCAGGTAGGCAGCTCCCTAGGTTTTAAGACAGCCAATGTCACGTATAAATAATATCATAATTACTGTGTCAGACATATCAGGAGAAAAGTTGCATTTAAATGTCTTTGTTGATAACCAACTATGTGACCTTATACATACTAGGGCGCGCTTTAGTTTCTGCTCTTTCTGAAGAAAAGTATTATGAATTTTGCTTCCTACCTGTGAGCAACCAATGTTTTTATCCTCCAGGCATTTCGCAGTCGCACGTCAGCTAGAAGCGTGAAGCAAAACACTGCGAAGGCGTTTCAAAAGGCTGCGGGTGCGTGATTCGCCTTCAAAATAAAGGTCCCGAAGCAACATAAGAATAACATCCAAAAAAAATTGTTTACTTATTCATGTAATTCCAAACCCGACTTTCTTTAGTAATTGTAGAAGTAAATGTTAGGCAGAAATTTTGCTCTTTTCAATACAATAAAAGTAAATGAAAACTGGGGCTGCAAGATGTCAAAAATAGTATGTAAAAGACTTGAGTACAAAAAAAGGAGAAGAAATGTAAAGGTTGTGTAAAGGTTGAGTTGCACAAATCAAATGACTAAGAAATGAATTAAGAAACTGTGGAAATTGATCTTATTCACGGCTGTTCATTTAATTTGTATCTTTGTTCTATATTGTATTAGTGCTATGTGATTGTTTATTTGTTCTTATTTGATTACCGACTGTTTAGTTGTCTATAAAAATGTCTGAACTTTTTTTATTAGTTAGGCTATTATAAATCTGCAGTGGTCTACAGCGGCCACATGGTCGTAGCTCTCAGAAAGTTTACACGATGAAATTACAAGTTATACAAGCACATGAAGGCTTTTTACAGTTCAGAATCATTAGGCCTACAGTAAATACTAGGCTGGGTACTATACTAGGCTAAATACTTTATGAACTGAGATCGATTCTTAGGCTAAATCCCAAGAAATAATCTTTAAGGCCCATTCACACCAAGGACGATAACTACAAAGGTAAAGATATTGTTCTAAAAATCATTCTCAAAGAATAGCAGAATTCACACCACAGCTATAAGTTACGATAACGGCCCAGAGAAACGATATTGTTGGAATCACTTAAGAACGATTTTATCCAGCTGCATGATGACCGATAACAACATTGACAGGCAACCAGAATCCATCCTGCTGTAATGAGCTTGAGCATTTAAAGCTGCAGACAAGCCGACGCTTAGAATAAACAGACCACTGGTGTGGACGATAATATATCTTATTGATGGCCATGTTCAATGTCCCACTTGCCTTATTATCAATGTTCCCTACTCATTGGAATGTGATTGAGGGTACAAGGGCATGCGTGTTGGCCTCTCCTTTGCCCAGGTGTGAGCTGGCTTCCAGTTTTTCCAAAGAGGAACCCTTGTCTCTTGTGGCTTCTGACTAATTAGATAAGGATTAGATAAGGACAATTATACACCCTTGTAGAGATCTGCCAGGACTGTTTTTTTCGTCAAAGGATGTCGGAAGCGGCCGGCTATTGTCAGACTGCCTGCTCCAGTCAAACAAGAGATACCGACTGCTACCATCTTTGAAATTGAATGAATCCACTCCCTGTTGTCGCTAATGATCCAGGGTATGTGACGGGTCACTTTTCAACCTCTCAACTACAGCTTTGGAGAGGGATTACGAACAACAAGTGGCTCACTGGCACACTGGAGACAGGCTACAGTCTTCAGTTCCATCACAGACTCCTATTATGCACACATACTTGACCCACAGTGGTTTGGGACCTTCATCAAGCTTTCTCTCTATTTTTGGAGGTCTTGAAGCTACTGGAGAGGGTGCAATAGTTAAAGTAAATCCCTGAAAGAAACCATCCTGGGGGATTTCATTCAAAATATTTCCTTGTTTGCAAGAAGGATGGAAGTTTCAGGCCCATCCTGGACCTCAGATGCCTAAACAGGAGTCTCAAACACCTTCGTTTCTGCATGCTGCATGTCATAGATGTCCTGCAAGCCATCGTACCATGCATGTGGTTTACTTCTGTGTATCTGAAGGATGCATACTTCCACATTCCCCTTGCACCTCATCACAGAAAGTTTCTTCGGTTAACGTTCCAGGGCAGGACATACCAATATCAAGACCTGCCATATTATGGCCTCTCCCTCTCTCCCTGTGTTTTCACACGGCGTATCCAAGTGGCACTTGGACCTCTGCAGCGGGAGGGCATGATGATTCTCCTGTACCTGGAAGACTGGTTGCTCTGTGCCAGGACACCTCAACAGGCTGCCAGCAACAGCGCTTACTGGAGCATGCGTTAGGACTGAAGGTAAACCTACAGAAAAGCAACCTACAGAGCTGCCTCTCTTTGTGATAGTCAATACTCTTCCTGGGATTGCAAGTCGATGAGGGCCGATGAGGGCCACCCTCACAGCGTGCAGGAGGCAGGTTATACGGGGAGGCATAGCGAAGTTCCAGGTTTGATGTAAGCTACCTTATCTCAGCGTCTTACAGCTAGCTAGCCTTCTCACGGCAGCCTCATCAGCCATTCAATTAGGCCTTTTACACCTTCGCTCATTTCAACGGTGGCTGATAGCCAGACAGTTGTTGGCAGTCCACAATTGGAATACCCTTTTTCAGATCACAACCAGTTGTTCTGTTCATCTGAGGCCTTGGAGACAAGAACGATTTCTGTGAAGGGGTGTACCAATGGGACCACCTCTGGCACGCAGGTAAGTAATGACAATGGATACTTCCCTTACCGGATGGGGAGGACTGTGGCAACATCAGGTTTTTGCAAATGAATGGGGGATATAGATTGGTATGAATAGATTAATGGCGGCTTTTCCTAAGGAAGCAGGCTTTTCCTTTCTCTTAGCTATAACATCGAGATGGTCTCCCTCACTGCAGAACACGAAATCCAGTGGGAGGAGTTGGATCCAGATCCAACTCCTCCCACCGTACATATGCCTAAACCTACCCATCTCCGGCCCCTGATCCCTAACCCCACCCCTAATCCTACCCATCTCCGCCCCCTGATCCCTAAATCCACCCCTAATCCTACCCATCTCCACCCCTTAGATCTGGATCCAACTCCGCCCCCCTGGATCTCGTGTACTGCAATGAGGTGCTACTGATAACATCAACCAAAAGGGTAGGGGAGCTATGTCCTCTCAGTGAGCCCACAATGTCCCAGATGGGGACCTCAGAATAATCAGGTTATACTTTGCCCAAATCCAGCTTTCCAACCTGGGGTATTGTCTGATCGGTTTGTGAACCAACCTATTCAAGCTTGCGGCGCTCAATCATGAAGTGGCATTTATATCCATGTCCATAACATTAGAAGATTTTTTTCCTTATATTTTAATATTCCCTATTTATCAATTTTGTTTGTATACATGACTCAAAGCCCTCTAGTGAATGAAATCAGTACATTCCATGTGCTTTCTTTTGTTTGCTCCCAATAGGTTATCGCAGCAGCAAAAAAAAAAACATTTTATACTTGTGTTGACTAATTAGAGACCCATTATATGAATTAGGAGTTTCTCTGCACTTGTAAAATGTACAAGCAATTTGTTGACAAATTTAAAACATGCGACCCCCATAGTTTAATTGGGGCAACTTGATCAGGTCACATTTATCTCTCAAGTCTAAAATGTACCACAAGCTTTGCCCCTGATGTTTGCACAGTCATGACAAAAAGGCCTATGTGGGTTACACATGAGAATGATGTAAGTGATGAAAAATGTTATTTTTGGCTGAACTATTGCATTCAAAAACAGAGAAACACTGGATGTTTTGTGTTATGCTTTATTAGGTGAGTGGGAGAGGTGGTCTGACTGTAGAAAAAGATAGCAAGTTCTCTGGTCTAAGCTCCTCAATACAAGTTATACAAACACAAGTTTACCTACCGATATTCAAAGCCAGGGCTCTTAAATGTGGGGTTTATCAAGGATAGATAAAGAACTTTTTATTCTTTCAAATCAAACGTAGGTACATAAACCAAATAATTAAATTATCCACTCAGTGAAAACCCTGAATTTGGTCAGTGCACATAAATTGGCATTTCGTAACACTTTATAAGTTAGACAAAAAATAAGAATAAAGCAGGTCTACAAATGCAGTTCCCTGGAAAAAGACAAATCTCTTTAAATATGGGGTGCTGCAGACTAAGGCAACTTTTAGTCAATAAAAGGGTAATCTATTAGTCTTACATATTATAGGAATGAAACTATACAATGTTGTTTTTTTTCCTTCTCATTTACACTGTACACAGTCCACATCTTTCATGTTTGGCAACAACAGCCAATACACATTTATGTAACAATTATCCTACATTTTACACCCAAATAGAGCAGTATGAACTCAGACACTATACAAACATACATGAGCACAGATTTTGTTTCCCCTCTTAAGGCCTCCTTTAGAGAGCTTGGACAAAAACTTAGATTAACTTAAATGGAATGACTGAATTTAACGAACCATTAAATCCAGTAGCCGCTTTACTCGTACCTTGACTGAAATAAAAACATTTAAATTGGTATAACCACAATCACATTTTCATCACATTTGTGAGAAATTTCTTCTTGCTTTACAACAGAACATAAACATGACTTCTTATCTACATTTTTTTGAATGGACACATTAGCAATCTTTTAACAGACACAATCTGCATACATTCAATTCCATTTACGTTTTCTTTTAAATAAATTATTCCTTATTTCATATGATGATCAACCTTTAAACGTGTAGCAAATCCCAAGATATTTACTCTCCTATGTATCTCCTTTATACACGACATGATTGTCTAACATTGGACAAGTATGTAAAAGCCAAAATATTTTTTTTCCAAACCTTCACTAATGTTAAAACCAATCAACTAAAGTTATACAAAGTTTCAAGCGTCCGTTTAAAATTCTAAAGCAGACATTAAAAAAATCATTTAATAACTGAAAATAATTTAACTGGGTCAAAGAGTTTGTATTCAACCGCTTATGTATTCAAATTTGCCATAGTATGTACAAATGTATGTTTGTATGTATGAAAACAAACATTTACACAATAAAAGCCAGAAAACACTGTCCATTAGCTGCTACACTTCATTGTGAGGGGCATGATATAGCTAAAACAACCAACACATACATGTGAAAAATTGGTGGTGGTGGTGGGGGATAACTTATTTTCTTCTTTTCTTGGCTGGAGTGTCTGTTGGTGCTGAGACAGACGTCCTTTCCGCACCAAGACACAATTGGCACCCATGTTCTTCGTGAATCTCAGGTGAGGGCCGCACTTTACGGCCTGCCAGCCTTCCTCTGACAATAAGAGCGAGTAAAAAAGTGGACAGCGGGAGTGTAGTCTACCCTGAAACAGCTGGTATAAACAGGTAACTTTGTCGTACACGTGAAGGGGGGTTGACCTCTCTGTTTCCTCCCATCCTTCAAGCCCCGGGAAGAGCGTTTTTCTTATTTATCCCCCCAAAGTTCCTGAAACCCTGTGAAAGATGATGTTCACAGGCTCTTTGTGTTGATGTGTGTTTTGTAATGCTTTGTGAGGTGGTCGCTCCGCATGAAACGTTTCTGACACTTATTGCACTCAAAACGTTTGTCTCCTGAAAACAGACAAAAAAATAATAATAATGAAGAGAATTTACACAGTGAAGCAACACATTTGTGCATGTGTACATTTGGAGGTTGCATACCCGTGTGTGTCCTGGCGTGTCGCTGGAGCTCGTCACTGCGTGTGAATCGTTTTCCACAGAAGACCCAGCTGCACACAAAGGGTCTCTCTCCCGTGTGCAGTCGGACATGCGCCCGCAGCAGGGACGTCTTTCGAAAGGTCTTTTCACAGCCTGCTATGTGGCAGATGTGTTTTCTTTTCCCCACCTCTCCTGGCCTGTTGCAAATAAAAACCAAATATAAGCTGCCACAATGAGTGTTTCCTTTCATAAAAGCAGCCATTCATTATAACATGGTAATCAGAAGTGCGCCATTGAGATATTCGATCGTCGTGAAATCTGATCTGAAATCCTACATGGAACGGAACCAAAAACAGTTTCCAGCTGAACCAGCTTCATTGTTTGAATTTAAGCAGATTTACTATCTGGGCTCAGATTTCATTAGGAAAGCAATCTAGGTTTGGGCGATAAATCAATATGGATGTTTATCTGAAAAAATAAATCCATGATATTAATAATAAACATTAATTTTCAATATTTAGCTTACATCTAGATTATCAGGTGTGCGTCCCTATAAAGTCTGCATGCAAGTCTGAATATTCTGCTTGTCTTTGTGTGAATGAATGCCGCAGTTCTGTCTAATACAGTGTTTCTCAAACTTTTTCTGCCATTCCCCACTTTGAAGGTAGGGAAGGGTTCGTGCCCCACCTGTCCTCATGCAATCGCCCCAACAAAATGTTAATAAACTAGGCTTTAAGTTAAAATGTATTTTATTAACATGAAATTTTAAAAACATGAACATGACAGTAGATAAAAATAATAATGCAATTGTGTTTGTATTTTGCCTCTGATAATATCAAATTCCGAAACGGAAAAAATAAAAGTGTGGACTAGTTGTGCTTTGCTTTACTATTTTGTCCCTTCGCAAACTGCATGCAAAAAGAACAAACAAAATTGAAAAAAATAAAATAATAATATCTCAGAGTTTTTCCTGGTTCAAAACGAGGCAGAGGTGGTAAAATCCTAATGTACGTATTTTAGGTATATTTTATAATAATAATTGTATTTTTCGAAGACTATCATATAGGCTACTGTGTTTCCCACAGTATTTTGCGTGTGGTGTGGACCTCTGCAGCCCTAGGGGGGTCCGGGGGCATGCTCTCCCGGAAGAAAAGTTAGTACGTTTTAAAGATAAATTCATAAATCTGGTGCACTTTGAAAGTTCAACATTAAGTGATTAACTAATTTAGTGTCTGCAATGAGCCTGTCTTGTAGTAGGCTACACATATTTTCTGAGCCAGAGACGGAGAGCACTCACCGCTTGACATCACAACTATTCAGTGTTTTCAACCACATAATGTTTATTTTAGGTTTCAGACATTTAAATTCACATAAGTACTAAAAAAGCAATACATTTAGAGTTTGTCAAATACACACTTTCTATGGAAGCGGCAATAATAATTATTTACATTATAATTAGACGACACGTATTATTCATATCAAATACGCATCGTGTAAGTAACTTTCAAGTTTACTCTATGCTTCTCCCAGTTCACCGGCCACTTACTTTCATGTATTTCGGGAGAAGTGGATAAATTGACGTGTTAAATCCAACAGATCCGATTCTCTAAAATCTGGCATAAACTAACGCCCATCGCGTATAGCTCAACTAAGGTGTTTAAACAACAAAACGCATGCTCATATTTGACAATCGGAATATCAGATATTTCCTGCTATAGCCAACAAATTTGTGAAATAAAAGCAGATAATCAGTCATTGATTCAGCGCTATTGTGGCTGCAGTGTGACAAGCAATGACGCGTCACCATGGAAACCATAAAGGGATACGATCTAAATAACGGGCGCCTCTAAAAACTTTTAAACTTACGTGTGAAAAGGTTAAGTAAGGCTTACATTGAAATGTGTCGTTGTTTTGTTTTGAGTTTATGCTCAATAAATAGAGGAATTAATAGAGATGGGCACAAAAATTACCACATTTTCTCCCGTTTGTCGTGCCCCACTTGTCATGTTTCCATTCCCCACCAGTGGGGCGCGCCCCACACTTTGAGAAACGCTGGTCTAATACAAACACTTACGCAACAATAATTATTTGTTACCATTTTAAGCAAGAGTTCTGTTGTGTAGTGCCTTATTTGACTAAAAATGCTTGTAAATTAATTGTTATATTTTAATTTGATTACATTTTAAGATAGATTATGAATTCATTCCATATTTGATGATAATTATGTAAGTCATAAAATAATGAATCCAGAAAACAAGAGAAAAATTTATTTCAAATAAATTATAAGGAAGCTTACTCTGTGGAGGTTATGTTTACTAGGACTGGATATTGATACAAATTTCACCAATCGATTTTGATTAACAAGATTCAATTTGATATCGATTAATTTTGGATATATATCAGGTACAGTACAAGGCAAATTTTCTCATGGAAAAAAATTCTAAAAACTCATGCTGTAAACTATACAGGAGTCAGTTGGTACTACATTACTACAATATTGAAGGTTAAAATGAACTGATTTGTATACAAACAATTCATATACACACAAGGAAGTTTTTATAATAATAAAGTTATGATAATTACATAATTATGTTTCCACTCCAATTCGTTCCTTGAAATATAAACATTTAAATGGTGGCTGTCATAAAAACTTGACGGATTTATTCAACGAAAAAAAAAAATGAATATGCAATAGTGCATATATTTAGGAAAACATTTTTTGTTATTTATTATTTGAATTTGTAATAAAATGGACAGAATTTGAAATCCAAAACTTTGTTTCAAATCAAAAGTAACAAAGCTTATTGCGATTGATTGGATTGCGGAATTTCACACGGATTTTTAAATGCCTTTGTAAATAAAAGGTTTGCTACCTCTTTTCTGCGTCTTTGCAGTTTGGACAGGTGCAGGCCATACGCCGTTTTTTCTCTCCTGGCTGACTCTGCAGTTCCAGTGCGAGTGTCTGCGTTTGCTCCATCTGCATGGTCTGTGTTTGTGTCTGCACACCGCTCAACTGCAGACCTGCGCCTGGAACCGTCTGCACTGTGAGATGCTGCTGGCCTGAAAGACACAAACGCATCAATCAAAATGCAGCTCATATTAACATCACTCACAATGTCTTTGCGAGAGTCAAGTAACACAAATCAATAATAATTAAACACAGCCTTTTGCATCTGTTTGTCAAAACGCAGCACTCACTCACCCCCAGCGTTGGTGATTGTTACAGGAACACCCTGCACCTGGACACCATTAATATTGATGGTCTGAACAGCCTGAGCAGCAGAAGCTAACTGGGCTGCATTCAGGGTTATCAGACCCCCCCCAGCCGGGGCAATTTTATGCAGAGTCCTTTCTTTCCTTGACCCTGTTTGAGCCTTTTTAGTGACCATCGCAGATGTGAGGGTGCTGGTGGGTGTTGTTGGCGTGGACACAGTGGTCTCCTGTAGCTGTACAGCCTGCCATTCACCTGAGGCTGTTTTAATCAGCACCTGGCACAGCAGAGCACATGCATTAGATAATTCATTATTTATTTAGATTTTTTGCAAATGGACATGTAATGAACATATTAGATTCACTGCCCTTGTCAATTGTGTTGATTATTAACTCTAAAGAGATTTGAGGTCGACCGATTGATCGGTTTTGCCGATTAATTGGCACCGATAACCAATTATCGGAAAATATGCTACAAATAGTTTTTCCGGGTTGCGTCCATTGCTGAAGCGGCTGAGAAGGGTGCGTTTTCATTAAACAGTACGAGAGCGGCCTCTAGAGTTGAAATAAAAAACATCATGATGCCTTGAGGTATTTGTTTTGACACGTAAAACAGCGCTGCACAGAGCAGTACACTTCAGATGCGGATTAAAAACAGACTACACTACACTCCATGTTTTCATATCATTATAAAGTAATTCATTTGTTGACTAGATGCTGCATTAGTGGAGAACAGCAGTATGTCGAGGCTGAGAGGACGCCAACATTACTAGTACCTAAAGCGGTTAAAACAATGCAAACCCCCCCCCCCAACACACACAAAAAACACGCAAACCTGACCAAAATGTTTAATGTCATGATTATTACCATCTATTTGCATTAGTTTATATTCAGCTGGTTGCTTTTATGCCTTCTTTGTGCAGCGAAGTTGCATATTTAGAGCTAGAGTCATGAAAAACGACACAAACATGTAAACAAAATAGAAACGTTTTCGATTTCAGTTTTTTTTTTTCAGCATCACTGTAATACATGTTTAGTTATTTTTATTAGATAATCATTCTAAAATAGAAGCAAATAAAATGGGCTTTCGCACCAAAGGAACCTTTTCATAGTTCCTAGAACTATTGGTGAAAGTACCCGGATGTCGCGTGTTCGCACCGCAGGAACTAAGAGTGATTTTAGTTCTAGGAACTCTTTTAGAGGAACTAATTTAGCTCCTACTTCAGAGTAGGGTCTAAACCAGCGCTATAGGAACTATCAGTGACGTTAGTGATCGCGGATTGGCTGAACGCACGCAAAACAACAGCACCCGCCATTTAAAAAATGCTATGTAAACACAGATTATAGCCTCTATACTCCAGAAACTAACTCTATGAACATGGAAAACAGTGATAGATGGGCATCTTAACCTTTAAGCTAAGGAGAAAATCCAACACAACTTTGAGGAGACCAAGCCAAACATGACTATGTGTTTCTGCTCAGCTAGCAACACTGGACATCAACCACACGGCATACGCTAATAACTTTTCATTTACTGTCTACTTTCTATGTATAACAGTTCTATCTAATAAAGTATTAGACATGACTATTAGACAGATCGTAAACTAATGAACAAGGAGAATGTGAGCACTGTTTGTTTGCTCAGGCAAACTAAAGGTCAAAATAAATGTCCGCTGCGCCATCAAAATAAAAGTCACAACAACGAGCGTGGCTTACGTCACTTCAGAGTTCCTACTGGCGGTGCAAAAGCAACAGGAAAACGTTCCTAGGGGAACCATTAGTTCTCGGGGAACCACCCTGGTGGGTAGTTCCTATAACTAAGTTCCTAGAACTATCCGGTGCGAAAGCCCCTAAAGTGTGCGAGTAAATATATACGTCTAATTTCAATGCTATGGTGTTTGTGTAGATATTTAAAGATGGCCATCTTTAAGCATGACTGCTTAGATTTATATGAAATGGTAACACTTTACAATAAGAGTCCATTTGTAATATTAATTAAGGTTAGTAAAAGAATTGTTCATTGGTAATTTCAACATTTACTAAAACATTTACAACATTTTACTGACTAAAACATTATTTTTATATTTAAAAAGTACAGTACATTTTTATGGTTCGGTACTGTTGTAATAAGGTTCAGCACTATTTTATGTGTTATGTTTGTTTTCATTCAATATCCAATGAAGAAAAAACAATCAGTTGATTAGTCGGTTATCGGCCAGCTTGAGATAATAAAACAAGGTGTTTTGACGTACCTGTGTGGATTCTGGGGGGGACACCTGCACAGTGGGCGTGACTGTCTGTCTCTGTGGTACAGGAGGAAGTGTGGCAGAGGCGGCCTGTACCACTTTTAGAGCCTGCGAAGGGATCTGGACGACCTGCTGATCGGATTTCTGCTGAACCAACTGCACCTGCTGCACCATAGCAGGCTGACTCCCCCCTGGACTCTGCACGATCAGGAGATTATTTCCTGCCTGTTACAGGAAGACATTATTAGAAAAAACAGACGCAATCAACAAAAACAGTTGTATAAAACAGCCTAATTAAAGGTCATATTTCACTCAACGTTTCTTGCATTGTGACATTATTGACGAATATTTTCTGCCAAATTCTGGACTTTTTTAATGACCATTTTAATACCATTATTCTCATTACATTTTCATGATTGTAATAAGGGTTATTAAACTATTAACAATATTTGTCATAAAGCTGAAATAAAATAAAATATAAATATTGGAGGAAAAAGAAAATCTAAATTAAAAAGAGAAATACTGCCTTGGCATCTACCTGAAACAATTTTAAGTTGAAGCACTAAAATTATTAGCTTAAAAGAAATACAAACTAAAACTGAAATAACAATTAATTATCTCTACATAGTAATATTTTTAAAAAATGGCAAAACATCAAAATTACTAACATAAATGACCCCCCCCCCCCCCCCCCAAAAAAAAAATAGTAAAAATTTTGTAGTAGATAAATAACACAAAATATCAGCTTTTTAAATGTAATTATTGTTAAAAATTAATGATTAATAATTATCCGAGATTAATACAAACAATTTTATTTAAAATCAGTATAAAAACATTAACAACAAATATGGTGTAAATATACTTTATAACTTCAAATATTCTTTTTTGCATTTACTGTAATGTAAAGAATAAAATCTTTGCATTATGATAGTGATAATTACATGGGTCCAAGTACAATGTCAAAATCTTAAAAATAGCATATTTATTTTAACATAATTTCTCAATAGGTTTTAATTGTGAAATAGGACAGCTTATGCAACAACAAAACAACTGGTTTTTGATAAGAATGACTGAAAAGGACAGATAATGATTTTCCCTTAACACACATGCCAGCAGAGAACAGCGTAAACAAACAAGGTCATTTTAATGTATGAATCTGTCAAACGACATCCAGGAAACCAGCAATTCACAAATTTACACTATTATGAGCTAAAAGCACTCAAGGATTTTTAAAAGCCAAAGCAGAATGATAGAAACGCGCATACTTGTATAATGTTGTCGGCTGTGGTCTCTATTAGCAGCGCTTCAACCTGCTCGGCTACAGGTGGAGGTGAGGCCGGTTGATGGGCAGGGGGGGGCGGGGCTATAGCCACCTGTCTCTTCCTTCCCCTCTTGCCCTTCACTGGAGCAGCAGCAGTCTCTGTTACAATATGCGCTCCTCCCACATCACCAGTAGTAACGTTAAGAGGGAGCGTGAGTCCACTAGGGAGTCGTACAACGTTAGAATTTACATTGGCATTATTCTGCCGCCGCTTTTGGGAGGACGGCTTGATCGCCACCGTCTTATGATGGGATACCGGTGCTGGGGCCAGAGGAGGCGGGGCCGGTGTGGCAGCCTGAACTGTGACAGGTGAGGTGAAAATGGCCTGGTTGGTTCCGGGGATGATCTGGATCTGTCCTCCCTGAGGCATCATTTGAATGGTCTGAGACCCCTGGAACTGAGGGATCACTTGGTACTGGATGTTGGCATTGGATGTGCCTGCTGGACGTGAAGGGCTCTGAATAGTGAAGACAATGGGACTGGCCCCTGACGAACCAAGTCCCGCAGGCAGCTGGATGACATTTCCTTTCGCTGAGAGGAAGCCAAGGTTTTTGGGTGGAGCCGGAGCAATAGGGGCGGGCTTGATGGGGTGCAGACGGCGCGTGGTTGGCTGAGATTGTGGTGTGCTAACTGGTGCCTGGGCGGCAGGAGGCCCGATCTTACTGCAGGTAGCCGCCAGAAGTGCCAGTGGGGAAGGCTGTGAATCCTGCACGTGAGCGTGTCAATACACAATCAATACAAAATACCAGAAGCAAATTATTAGTATACAAGCATGGAAAAAAAAAGAAGAACAATATTTCATTATGTGTGGAGAAAGAGACAAAAAGACATTAAACTGCCACAGCTATGTAAGAAAACTGTCAATACAAATACAAAATGAATACAGTTTAGCAGTAATTATACCAAAAAACTTGACTGTGGAATGCAGCACCGACCAATCAGAATGAAGTATTCCGAGTAATAATAATAATAATAGAGTCGGGTTTAAAAATAGATTTTTAAAGATAACTTATAAACCTTTAAAGACAGCCCTACTGTGAGCTACGAGGTTGTTTATTTCAACTTATTCTTAAAATAATCATGTTTAACAGCGGAATTCGTGGCGAAAAACTACATTACCCAAGACGCTTGACAGAAAATTACACCTATCAGAGTCACCACAATGAAAACATGCCAAACAATCTCTTTATACAAAAGAGCGGAGCCCCACTCTCATTATACAATCGAGTCGGCCTCCCTACACTCTGAAAATACTTAAATATTTGTAATAACTTTAAATATATTTAAAACAGAAATCTATTTTTCATTTGGTACATTTCAAATGTTATTATGCTAACATGCACTTATAACTTTCCTAAAGCAGATAAAAAATTGCCGACACCATTTGCACCTTTCTTAGGACCAGGACCAATAAACAATCATAACTTCAAAAACTAAAGCTGCATTTTATCTAATGAATAACCTCTAATTCATGAGTGAATACACACACATTTAAAAGATTTGCCTGTCATACTGAAGATGCCTTGAGAGCCGAAACATTCGTGTCTCCCATGAGATCAATAAAAATTGTAAATTCTTTTGTTTTGGTTTTATGGAGTGTGAATCAATATTCAGGTTTTGATGAAAGCGTTGACTATTACCATGTTATTGCTACATTTACCCCGTTTTTATTCATTAATATAATAGAATTATTTAAAGTTAAACATTAACTGCCGCAAAAACCAATATGATGCCTGAAAAAAAAAAACTCAATATTTATGAGATTTTATTTGAATATGTCATAATGTGAAATATATAAAACTTATAATATGAGAATTACCAGTATTGGTAATTTAATTTAAGTATTTCAAATGATTGATTTAGATTTAATTGAAAACATGAAGATAATAAGTCTTCTCCATTTTAAAAAAAAATTAATAAAAATGAACATCAGTGCATCTCTAAAAAAAAGGTGTAAAAATATCACTTCAAGGGACCTTACTTGAGAAGCGGTGGTGGAGGGCTGAAGATATTCACTGGGGCTGACTGCGACAGTGGTGGCCATACTGTCCTTTTGATCTGGAAGGAGGAGGTGAATATTTATGCAAGGGAAAAAAAACAACTCTCCAAATGTGACTTTCATTTGAGAATGAAATAAGGTAGCAGGACTTATTTGTGTATTCTGTGCTTAGACTTTGCATGTACTTATTTTTTAAGCACCACAGTTTGTGATCACTGTTTGCATAGAGAACAGGAAATACTGAAATCGAATAAACGGATTGTTCAAAATAAACAAAACATGGATGGCATGCACTTTCAGTTATGAATTATGACTGTACCAAAGGAGGCGTTACCTGCTGTAATCTAAACCCTGGAGAGGAGCGATTCAGAGGGTTAGGGTTTAAAACCCAATCCACTTATAGCACTCAGTGGCACTTTACACCATACAATGTTCTCAATCCTGGTCCTGAAGTGCTGGGCTGCTCCAGAACCAGAACTGAGATCCACTGCTCTGCTATATATACATATTTGGTAAACAACCAGCACTGTCTCGTCATTGACGACGCATGTACAAATAACTCATATCGCAACCCAAATAAACACTTGATGTTATGATGCTTTCTAACTGGCTGTCAGAGCTAGCAAAATGAACTAGTTATACACTTTATTTGAAGTCGTTACATTTCATAGTAAGTCGAAAGGAATTACACCACAGTGATCTTTCTGCCATCAAATTCAACATTTTTGCAACTTTACTACATGAAAAACTTGCTCTCACAACAAGCTAATCAGGCTGAAAATCATGACAGACACGCTGATAACCAAAGAGAGCGTATTAACAGTAAAATTCGTGGTTGGAGGTAAGAAATTTTAGTTTTTTTAAGCCTATATGAATGTAAAATAGTTTGATTAAAGCTTCAGGATGAAGCCAGCGGCTAACGCTAACAGGCTAGCTGCTAAACGTCTGATGTCTGCAAGTGCTTGAGCTATTATGATTGAGTGCTTTAAAGTATTTCGTTATATCATGTTTTAATCAGCCGTCCACACGTTTACGTCTTTCTACGACCATGCAGTGCGCTATGAAAGAGTTATTCTGTCTGCGGGCAGACAGACTCAAGAGTGCGCTGATGGAGGAGGAAACTGCTTGCTTAGCATGCTAATGTGCTAACTAGCCAGATAAACTCTTCGCTGCGGAAAAGAACCGTGTTTCCGGAAGTGTCCATTTGGCAGAATCGCCGTGCTACGTGTGATTTTTAAAACTCGTGTGTGCAAGCTACGACATAAAATATATATCGGTTCATTCGCTCAATAGAATGTTTATGAAAGTAACATAGTAATATAAACACCAACGTTATAATTCCTACCCACCGCTCATGACGACATTCACTCTCCGTGAAGCCTTGAAGAGCCCACACGAGATACCGCCCCACCAGCGCCCTCTGGCCAATCTGGTTACTTGTCAATCAGCGAGAGCTAGCGGTTCTGACCACTCAGAGTACAGTATTTGTCTGATTGACGTTTGTTCCGGCCAATGGTATATGGTAGTATTTCTATGACAGTTGAAGGATATATATCTGGCCAATAGGTTGTCGAGTTTTCAGGAGGAGGGCGGGAGTTGTGAAGACGTCAAAATAATAAGCCGAACCAATAATACACCGGGCTGAGTTTCACTGACGTTTAGCTCGCCCAGTTAGAAATGGAAACAGCATATCAATCAAAAGTAATTGACAACAATTTCGATCGATCAACCTGCGTGGACTGTGGGTGCTCCATCAGAATATGGTTGTTGTCTTCTGAAACGAGTTACGCAACCTACAGGTGATGGACGGTGCATCTCAATAATGCAACCCAGCTGCTTTGTCAACAACAAATTGCTTTCATTCTCCAACATGACATTTTGCTTTTTGTAAAAGCTATTTGTTTTGTTACCCCAATATTAGTTAAATTTAGATTTTATGCATTCCTCGCTGAGTATAAAACTGAACTATGGGAATACTATGGGAATAAATCTGACAAAGCTCCTTTTGGGGGAAGTCCTCATTTATAAAAACGGTATGTTATAGTATTTATAACCACCATTATCATTTAGATAGCTAAGAAAACATGTGTGTGTGGGCTGGTAAACCCTACATTATGTGGACAAAATGTCCCCACAAAGTTGGCAAAATCCATTTGTTGGTCCCCATGAGGAAACCAGCTTAGAAACCATACTAAGTGATGTGTTTTTTGAAAATTAAAAAATGCAAAAAGTTTTTCTGTGATGGGTAGGTTTAGGGATAGGGTTGATGTGGGGATATAATATAAAGTTTGTACAGTATGAATATCATTATGTCTATGGAAAGTCCTCATAAAACATGAAAATACAACATGTGTATATCCCCAGCCAAAAGTTTAGGATAACATCCCTCAGAGAAAAAAAAAGAACTGTGGTGTTACCATTATATAATGATGGTAGCAAATTGGTAATACCATGGTACTGAACGATTACCATAGTCATATACAATGCTATTAATACAGAACACCATGCTAATTCACATGGAATTAATTGAAATTGGTACTATGGTACTATCATGGTAGTAACATGGTACTATCACCATGATAGTACGTGCCCAAATCAATCAAACAAACAAACAAGCACATGGTAACTCATAGAGATCTGCAAGGAAAAACAGATGCATCCAATGGAGGGACCAACTTAAATTCAAGCAATTATAATCCTTAATCATGAATAATGTGAAAAAGTCAACCACCTTATTTTCAAGTTTACTTTGTCTTTACTCAAAATACAGTTCAGGTGGCCTGACCAGACTGAAGGAGTTACAATCAGGGAAAGGACAAATAAAGGGGTCACACACTCCACCCAGGGGCAGGGGCCTGATGAGGAAAGCAAGAAGAACCAAACAGAGACGGATTCACAAACAGGCCAGTTTAAAAACTCCAGTGTAATATAACCTACAGATGAAGGCTTTTGCTAGTACCCCAAGTCAAATGTCCTTGTTCGGTTTTTTGTTTAACTTATTATTTTTTTAAGTCCACTGTTTGCTGTCCAGTGTCCTTTCAAGTCTTTTGTCTATCATGTCAGTCTCTGGATTTATTTGCCTGCTCAACATAGACAGTATTCCAGCACTCCTCTGTACTCCCTCTGTCCGCGTATTGGTCAAGAGGAGGGGCCAGTCGGCTGATGTTCATTGGCTTCTGCTGGAAGACTGGCAGGGAGTTGGAGCAGAGCTGTGCACCAGGAAGTGTCCATGTGCTGTTCCATCTATTACCCACACACAGAAATCCTAAAAAAGAACCCATTTATGTTTCGTTAATTTAATACGTTGGCTACAGGGCATTGAGTGCAACATACTATATGTAGAACAATCAGTGCTGCAAGTACTTACAGTGAAAAGGAGCGTTCTGGCTATGTTTCAGACTCGGCTTCCTGTTCCACACCTGCTGCCTGGCGCATGCCTTTGATTGACAGGTACATTTCTTCCTCTGGATCATAGTAATAGAACTTCCTCAAGTAGACAATGAGAGGTCTAAGATAGGAAAAATAGGGAAAGTTAGTATTTATAGACACTTTGTATGCACATTTTTTTGCCTTTTAATTGCTAAGCAATTTTATTTCAATAATACATAATAACAGTCGGTAGACCTATGTGATACACCCATAACCTTTGAACATAACCATTCTAGCTCAAATAAATGCTGTCCTTTTAAACTTTCTATTCATCAAAGAGTCCTGAAAAAAATGTGTTATGGTTTCCACAAAATATTAAACCGTTTTTAACATCAGTGATTTGGAATGATTCTGAAGGATCATGTGACACTGAAGACTGGAGTAATGATGCTGAAAATAAATTCAGCTTTGACATCACAGGTATACATATTTTTTTAAAATAAATTAAAATAGAAAAACAGTTATTTTAAACTGTAATCATATTTCACAATATTACAGTCTTTACTGTATTTTAATTATAAAAAATGTGCAGCCTTGGTGAGCACACAAGACTTCTTTCAAAAATATGTTACAGACCTAAAATTTTAGAATTATAGTGTATCAGAAATCTAAATGGGCAAAATAATGTAAAGTGTGAGTGAGTCATACTTGGGGAGGGGCAGCTCCTGGATGTGGTCTATGCGGACGAGTTGTCGGATACAGAAACGGCACAGATGCTGGAGTGATTTCACATTGCTGAAGCGTGAGACTGGGTAGAGCAGCTGCACGGGGGTCGGGGGCAACCCTGAGACAGACACCAGACGTTTCGTTACACTGACCTTTCATCTCTCACACCCTCAAACCAGTTTTTGGTCTTTACGAACAAAATAAACCCTGCCTCACTTCTGTGCACATTGTTACCACAAACACTTTAGACAAAAACATGGTTGTTAACTAAAACTATTCAAAATAGTTTTTTGCCCCTATTATGCTATTTTAAACTATTTTTGGTAATGTTCTACAATAGATTTACATGCATCCAAGGTAAAAAAAACACTTTAATTTTCTCATAATATACATTGCAGAATCACCTCTTTTCTCACAGTGTCTGAAACTGTTCAATAAAGGATCCGTTCTCTTTTTTCCGAGAGCCTACTCTGCTCTGATTGGTCAGATGGCCAAGTCTGTAGTGATTGGTCTACTGCTTACAGCGCGCGTCGTTAACAAAACGCCCAATTTCAGCTCTGGAGGCTTTCTTAGCACTTGTACACACAGTGATGCGAACAGTAACAATGGCGTTGGTTTTACCATTTTAATTCACCCTTCGCCAGAAGTTTGATTGACAGGCTATCTGACCAATCATAATGCCAAATCTGCCATTTTGTCCGACAAACAAACCAGACAGGAGGAGTTAGGGCCATATTTACTAAACAGGGCAAATTAGCATGAGAGCCCAATTGCACAAAAGCGGTTTTGAAACAACATACCTTCTGATGTTCATTCATGTTTATTTTGTGCTATAACTAGTATACGTGCTGCTTGAACTGAGGTGCTACAACGATCTTTCATGACACATTAACGTAGCAAAAGTAACTAAGGGGGGCGGGTCTTTGCAAAGGGTCGATTCCATCGCGAGTCCTCATGCTTTGGGAAGTGCATGCAAAGTGGATTTGCACTTTTGCAGCGCAGGAAACTGCATCCTCTTGACAACAAGACATAATGCTACAACATGTTGTTTCTCAGCTACAACTACAGTGTTTGAGGGTGGCTAAAAGTACTATGTAGACATTGTTCGCAGGCAGCCAATAAAGACAAACCTACATAGATATGTTACAGAAGTGAGACTGGGAATGGTGACAACTCGTTTCAGTAATTCAGAATCGATTATTTATTTTAGGAGACAATAACTTTATTTGTTGTGCACTTTGATCTTTAAAACTTTGCAGACCTCTTATATTCACACACTGCTATTTTACACACTACGTTAAAGATAACAGTATAATAGGGCACTTTAATTTAAACAAAGCTGTACATATAGGATAAAATGAAAATAAACACTTTATGTTGAAGTACTAAAAGTACTATTACTAAAACTGAAATAAATATAATTTAAAGCTAAATAGCCTCAAGCACTTTTTTTGTCCCTAATTGTCCCTATTTCATGAATGTCTTGTCATATAAGCAGGATATTTGTAGCCTTACCAGGTACACGGGAACGTAGGAAGTAGAGGAATTTTCCATTTTTAGAGTGCATGATGGCTCGCTCAATGAATTCAACCACAGAATGGCAGCGGTCCTCAAATTTAGGGTGGCACCATAAACTGAAGGTTCCTGAAGAGTTAAAGGCAAATTTTAAGGAAAAGAAATACACTGGGAAAAAAAGAAACTTTGTCACAGCAAAATGTATTAGTATTTCTCAAATTATATTTATAACTCTTTGATTTACTATTAATTAAAAATATTTTCTTTCAAAGACAAAAACATTCATTACAAAGTAAAACGATTATTTATTACAAAGACTATATCAAATCATTTTTTATTAGAAATAAGCCACACACATATATATATATATATATATTGCTTTTTACAAAGGGAACTTGGCCTTTGTGTTTCCTCATATTTAAACTCCTGTGAAACAAGAAGTCATGGCTGGACAATTTCATGTTCTTAGTCCTCCTGGTGTGCTAAAAAAGGTAAACATTAATGGGAATATACTTCAGATACTTTATTTGTAAAAAATTCTAGGGGTGCCAATAATTGTGGCCAACGTGTTTTGGAGAAAAACATTTATTTCATAATGTGATTCCCCCCCCACTTTCAATTCTTTTACTTCAATGAAAGGTTAGATTTTTGGCAATTTTTTGAATGAAAGATCAAAAGGATAAACGATGCAGATTTATTTTTTACAGCCAGTTTTGATTATATTTACCAGGGGTACCATTCATTCTGAGCACGACTGTATATATATATATATATATATATATATACATACACATATACTGTATTATAGAAACACAAACTTTTATTTTAGAATCGATTAATCGCATTTAATTGATTTGACAGCACTAAAAATGCACTTTAATAGATGATACTCATTTTAAAAAAAATTTACGAATGCAGGAAATAATGGGGGTGTGAAAACATTTAATGACTATCGATTTGATTTTTACTGTTCGCATTGTCATTCTGCAAGTGATGAAATGTAATCTTTTTATAAGTCTGTAAGTTTATTCAGACGGTGTAGTCAACAATTACCTTTTAATCGGACTCTGAGGATGTGGTTTAGATTGGAAAAAAGGAAGGAAAAGTTGGCTACCACAGCTCCAAAAGAAAAATATCACCACAGGTGACGTTTCGAGCCCAGTGGCTCTTCATCAGATTGGGTTTGTAAACATAGGATTTGTGTTTTTTGGCAACACATACGAGAATGATATGCCAAAAAGGAGTATGTGTGTGTTTATGGATATGTGTTATATAAGGGGTGTAATACAGTAATACGGTTCGGTGCATACAGTCAGACAACGAACACAGTCAGTCACAGACCATCCACACTCCAATCCAGAAGGGGGCGCGCGCAGTAATGCAACACTGTTTGCTAACCACCACAACATGAAAAAGAGCTGAAGAAGAAGAGACCGTCTACCAAGAGGGTAATCCATCGACCGGAAGTTGAAGCCGGCCGGGTGCCGCCATCTTGTAGCAGAACTTCACTTGCGTTAGCATTTCCATTGACTCCCATTCATTTTGGCGTCACTTTGACAGCGAATAACTTTACATCTGAGGCGTTTAAAGACTCCATTTGTCCATTATTTATTTCTAAAGAAACACGACAATGTATAAAAGGCTCCATTACTTTGTACCTTACGTTATGGCCCCGTAGAAGCCGTTTTTGTAAAAATAGGCTAACGATTGCGTCATAACACGCGACTCTCTGGCGCACACAAGAGAAAATTACCGTATAGACAGAAGTAGAAACTCGCGCGCACTCGGGGGGGACGTGGAGGCATAAAGTCAAGGGAGAAGCCCATAGAGAGTTGTAAAGTTGCTCCTGCTGCGAGCTCATGGACAGCTAATACTCACGATCTCCGGCTCTGCAAGTTTCGGAATGGAATGATTAGATTCCTCTTGGCACCGCTACTAGAAGAGTAACGTCTGTCAGACAGGTTGCTCACGTCATCAAGCTTAGTTTGAGTGGGTTTAAGTCTGCGCGTCAGGAACGGAAGTGCTCAAAAATCGCAAAAAATGGGCTTCAACTGTCTCAACTGAGTTCCAATGAGATGGCTCTGTCCACTTCTTATACTGTCTATGCCGTCTACACACCAACCCAAAACAAGAGTTCAGATGGCAATCAAGAGCTTGCTAGTAGCTTATACGCTGAGTTTCGATACATTTTTGGAGGCACTCCACAAACTTCACTAAAAGTAAACCGGGATGGCAGAAAGTTCGTTTTCTTTATTTTACAAAAGCACAATGTTTTGTTTTTATTGTGAGTGTACACAAATAAAAATAGACAGTTTTGAATGATGTACTACTCTTATCTGTATGACCCTAAATGACTGGGTATTTTAAGTTGTTTCCGACAAGATCATTTGCCATTGTGCTGATGTGTCGTTGAATCTCACTTACTGTCCAGTGATGAAATATGCATGTCCTGGAAATGAAAAGCCTCAGGTGGAGCTTAACTCGCTGTCTCCTCGTAGAAAGGTGAAGTAGGCTCTTTTTTTCTTAGTGATTTCTTGAAAAAGCGTAATATTGAACTTTTTGCATCTGCCATTGTCACAGCATGTTATTGAACTATCGTACACAAAGAAATCTAATCTTTTAGTTGCTAAACTAAAAAACGTTATTTTTCATTATTCTATTCATTTTGTACTTTTATAACACAAGAGATGCTTTACAGTTTTGTAGCTAACCCAATACCTTTTGTTTTTTTATCAGCCCTACAAAAAAATATGACCTATGTAAGAGTGCATTCTGTTTACTACTTAGTGCTTAATAATACATTAAAAGAGGCTGTACTGTACCAACTAGGGGACTAAATGCCGCTAGGTGGAACAAACTGAAATTTGCACTACTGTCAGTTCAAAATAAATCAAAAGAAACCTAGCATTGGGGATTTGTTGCTTTTTCCTGTTGTACCGAACTCGTATTGAACCGTGACCCAAAAAAACGAGGTACGCACCGAACCGTGACTTCTGTGTACCGTGACACCCCTAGTATATGTGTGTGTTTACCTCTGTAGTGCTCCATACGCGTGTGGTGTGTGACTCCCTGTGAGCGAAAACTGAGGCTGAGGATGTATCGTGGGTCTGAACTGTCCCGCACCAAAAACGAGCCATCTGGCTTCCCTCTTAGCTTCATTTCAGCATCCTCCCAGTTCATCGGCCCCCAATACCAGCCACACTGCAGACACACAAACACACACTGACCATCCAACAGTGCTAAACAAAAGCTGCTTATAGAGAAAACATGCAAAACCTACTAAATTATATGGACAACCACAGGAAGCCACAGATATGTTTCATAGTTAAAAAGGTCTGCCGATAAACATGCCCAATGATATTACAATCATGTGACTGGAAATTTTCAGTTGTTTCTTGACTTCACATCAACTGCTTTTGTCTCTCACCCGCTCCAGCTCTCTCAGGCTGGCAGTGAAGCTGCTGGAATCGGCTCCTCTCAATGGACACATGATCGGAGCCGGGGCCACTCTGGCAGGGGCCGCCGTGTCCATCGGTGACGCGGCCGAATGAGGAAGTGCTCGGAAGAAAGCATCTGAGACACAAATGGAGCATTTTTTGAATACACCAGCAAATTTTAAGTTCTGATCATCCTAGTTCTGAACTAGACTAGTATCCCATTCAACTAAATGAATACTTCTACTTTTTCTTTGGTGTAGATTGTCTCTTGACAAATAACAAATATACACTACTAAAGACAAAAGTTTGTGTCACATGATCTAATATGCTGATCTCCTGCTCAAGAAACATTTTGTATTATTTTCAATGTTGAAAAACAGCTTAATATTTTTGTGTAAACCTTGATACTTTTTTTCTAAATTCTTTGATGAATAGAAAGTTCAAAAGAACAGCATTTATTTATTTAAAATAGAAATATTTTGTAACATTATGAATGTCTTTACTGTAACTTTTTATCAATGTCATGGATTTCATGAATAAAAGTGTTTTAAACTGACCATAAACTTTTGAACAGTAGTATAAGTTGACAAATAACAGTTTCAATCATTTTACTTTAAAATGTAGTCTAAAATTTGGTCCATTTTGTCAAGTTTTTTACATATAGTCCTGCAGTATGACAGGCCTATCAGTGTTATAATTGCAAATTGTTAAAAGTACAATCATCCCAAGTTAATAATATGAGGTTATTAAAATGGTTGTATATAACAATCAGACAAGAATTAAAGAAAATATGTCATTTAAAATATGTCTAAATGAATTCGGATGAGACATGGGCTAGTTGTCACATTTTTTTTATGCCAGCGACTATTTATCAGTGCAGGTTTATTTCTGTATCAACACAAACTTTTGTATTTGATGATACAAAAATTAAATATTTTCACCATTATTGTCAATGAAAAAGATACAATTCACTGAACACACATTGACCTTTTGTGACAACATTCCCAAGTAGTGCTCTCCTGACAGCTAGAGCAATACAAAATTGTTTTGAAAAAGAATTTAGAAAAATTATTCTAATAGGGTTATATCACACTGCAGGACACATCTTTCACTAGCTATGTTTCAAAAAAAAAAAAAACGCTGGACAGAAACGCCAATATGTGCATACATTCTAAAAATGCACATAAAAAACGTATGTGGTCAATTGAGGCAGATACATTTTTTATCAGATAAGAAGACATGCGCATAAACTACGATGGAAACATTTACCGAATGAATCCCTCGATGCGCAACAAAAAACTCTTGTGACTTCTTCTCAACAGTGGATGCGATTGATAACTGGACTAACCAGTGGACCAATTTCAGTGCACAGCATCTCAAATGTTGGTTTGATCATTCTGAAATGTCTGAGCCAAAGTCTGTCATCAGAATGATTTGGTATAATGACCTCCCAGAAGCGTCTCACATGATTGTGTTCCCAAACACCATACATCTGAACGCAAGATAACATGACAGCATTTATGGTTAAGGTTTTTTTTTATGATGTAGAAAAATATCTAGTGTCTTCCTGAATTGCAGCAACTTCCATTTTTACTATAGAAATGTTGCGCTAATTTCCCAGGAAGTGATCATTTTGTTCTCTTGAACACATGGGAGGGAAACGAAATTCCAATTTTGCACATAAGTTAAATTCGCAACTTTGGATGGAAACATAGCTAGTGATGAAATGTCATATCAATGTGTGTACATGCTGTTATAGATAATAAAGTTACCAAATCTTTAATATTACCATCAACCTTCAAAGTTATATATGAGTTCTTCAGCAAATTCACTACAAAACTTAAGTTTGAAGTATGGCACCATCACGTTCACACTTCCTCTCTTTATAAACGCACATTAGTCACACTGCCTTCTTCCTCCAAACTGCGAAAGGAACTGAGAAACGAAACCACGCGGTCAACCAAAGCCTTTGTTTGACAAAACGATACATGCGGCAGATGGCATGTATTGTCTTTACCTTTGCTTTTCACAAGAAACATCACAGTTACATTCACACTTTATTCCATTTCCCTTTTTGTTTGATGGAATAAAGTTGCTACTGAGGGCGGAGAATGAGCCGGTTCGCAGAAAGGGAAGGGGATGTTGGAGTCTGCTCGTAGAACCAGAAAGGTGCCCTAAAACACCCTTAAACACACACCGCCCCCTCCACTGCACCCAAGTCTTACCATTGAGGCTGAGACTATGCTGGATGGTGGCGTGGAGAGGGGGAGGAGGAGGAAGAGGCAGAGGGAGAGACTGCAGGGACGCCCCCATTACACTCACTAGGAAAGGCCCAGGCTGCGGCCCACCTATATCGTCTGGAAGAGAGCAGGAGGGAGGGTTCAGAGCCAGGAGAATAAGGAGATGTCATAGAAAAAGCAATGGAAGCGTAGAGAAGGTTAAAGTCTATTAGAATGAGACAGGAGCCTGGGGCGATGAAGAGGAATCAGAACATGACTAAAATCAGCCCTAACACCATTCAGCTTTAGAGCAAAAGGAACAGCAACAATATTCTTGCACATGTTACCAAAAATAGATCAAAATGCAGCCAGATTTCAGAAGATTTTGATTAGACTAACATGAATATTACATTCAATGACCTCTGATTTGTGTATGAATAACGCAGTTTTGCCTGTATGAACTTTAAAGGAGCAAGACAAATCCTCCAATTATGTTACAATATCTGATCCTCTTATAGCACTTGAAGACTAAGACACCGTGACAGGAAGCATATGACATGGGGAACTGCAGCATGGGAAAACAACATGGGTAAATCCACACGCTGGTATGTGCATTCAATCACATACTCACGACACTGGAAAATTTCGTGTTTTTTTTTACTTTAAAGGAACATTGCGGGTTTAATAAAGTGTTTCATTGAGATACTATTCTAGTTTTTACTATATTTTGAATTAGATTTTCAGTTTTCATTTTGTTAACTTTGTTAAACCAGATGAAAATGAGTAATGTTGTAAATAAAATAGTCTTTTAATATTTTATTTTATTTCAACAAAAGTGATATTTCTTATGGCTTTAGTTTTAGTTAACTCTATGATAACACTGGTTCAATACAATCTTATTAAACAGCATTTGTGACAATGTCGATTATCACAAAAATGTATTTATTCCCTTACTTAAAAAAAAAAGATGGGTTACAGTGAAGCTTTTACTAAGGAATTGAATGTGGACAATCCGTACAAGTTACAAAATACTCATTGTTTCAATAGTAAATAATAATAATATTTGAAAACAATAAGAGTGTTAACATGATTGTAGTGGAAAAATCACTTACTTACAGTGTAAAGTTATATCCAATTTTTAGTAACTCTAAAACATCTGTATTTAAACAGCATCACAGCTCAAAAATACATAGGTTTTAACAAAATAATTCATGTAAGTGATTGTTATAAAGTTATAAGCTTCAAATTTCTACTTTTAAATACTCCAAAAATGGTCTCTATTCACTTTCATAAGTATTTCACTGTAACCTCCATGTTTCTTTCTTTTTTTCATGTCATGTTAGATTTGTATGCTTATCAACATCATGCCACAAATGCTATACATTGAGCTTAAAGGAATAGTTTACTTAAAAATGGAAATTCTGTCAGCATTTACTCACCCTGAAGTTGTTTCAAACCTGTATGAATTTCTTTCTTCGAAAGAATGTCGGTAACCAAACAATTGATGAACCCCATTGACTTCCATAGTATTTTTTTTCCAACTATGGAAGTCAATGGGGTCCATCAACTGTCTGATTACCGACATTCTTTAAAATATCTTCCTTTGTGTTCAGCAGAAGAAAGAAATTCATACAGGTTTGAAACTTGAGGGTGAGTAAATGATGACAGAATTTTAACTTTTAAGTGAACTATTCCTTTAACTATTGAACCCAGAATATTCCTATATACCTCTACTCTCAACCTAAACACACTTGAAAAAAAAAATCAACTTCAAACATGATGACTGAATAATCATACATACCTAATCATCTTTGTTCCCTCATGACAAAGACCGCTTCAGATCTAAAATCTATCTCTCTAGTATTGAGATTATTTCAAACTTCAATCTCAAAGACCACACTGAGCTGATGAACAGGAAGAAACTGTGCAGTGGTCTCACTTTATTAGAAAAGGAACTGCTCATCTGTGTGCCAAATACTAGTTAAGTTTAACCACATGTAGGCTTGCACAATAACTAATTTTAGGTGGCGCTTCTCTGAATTTTATGCTTTCAGAATGCAATCAGAGACTCCGGTAACCATGAAATGAAAAGAATGAAGGTCGAATAAAAAAGGGGAAATGAAAGGACAAAGTGAAAGAATAAGCAAGTACGTTGACGTCCTACACGGCATCTTTAACATCTGCCTTGGGTTCACTCACAGAGGTGAGGTGAAACAGATCATCTTTTAAAACTGCAGTAACAAAATCTCAGCATTCTTTTTTTGAAAACTTGTGTTTAGATTTTGAGGGGAGGTACTTTGATATTTTACTTTAAAAGTTAAAAAAAAGTAATAAAAAAAACGTCAAGCTCCTATATTATCAGATCAGTATTTTCTTTTCAACTCAAATTTTAGGAATATTTGATTGACAGGTGAGTAGGCAGTCCTTTGATGTTGACTGAGACCAACAATGAAGCTGTGAGTATAGGGTCTTTCTCACCGGGTAGTTCTAGGAACTGGTGGTTTCCCGAGAACTAATGGTTCCCGTAGGAACATTTTCCTGGTTGCATCCACACCGCCAGTAGGAACTCTGAGTGACGTAAGCCGCTTGGTTCTTGTGACTTTTATTTTGACGGCGAGGTGGACCTTTATTTTGACGGCGCTGAGAATGCCAGCCCGAGCACTCTCCGTGTTCATTAGTTTACAATCTGTCTAACAGTCCTGTCTAATACATTATTAGATAGAACTGTTATACATAGAAAGACAGTATATGAAAAGTTATAAGCGTATGCCGTGTGGTTGATTTCCAGTGTTGCTATCTGAGCAGAAACACATAATCATGTTTCGCTTGGTCTCCTCAAAGTTGCGTTGGATTTTCTCCTTAGCTTAAAGGTTAAGAGTTCCATCTATCACTGTTTTCAATGTTTGTAGAACAATGGCTTACAGCTTATGAAAACCCCAAATTCAAAATAGAATACTGTGAAAAGGTTTTCAGAGCTGTAAGCCATAATCATCAAAATTATAACAAATAAAGGCTTGAAATATCTCACTTTGCATGTAATGAGTCTATATAATATATTAGTTTCACCTTTTAAGTTGAAGTACTGAAATATATTAACTTTTGCACGATCTTCAAATTTTTTGAGTTTCACCTGTATATGAATGTTTTTACTGTGTTTTTGATCAAATAAATGCAGCCTTGGTGAGCATAAGAGACTTCTTTCAAAAATGTCCAACAATCTTACTGACCCCAAACTTTTGAATTTAACCGTAGATAGAGGTGAAAGGATGAAGGGAAGATACCCGGGAGGCGGGGAGGGGCGGGGATGGGGGAGGTTACTGGAGAATTATTTAAAAAGTATGAAACAGATGGAGATGTGAAAGCAGAAACGAAGGAGATCAAGGAGGTGTGTGAACATCTGTAGTGAGGCTCACCTAGCAGACTGAGGCTCCGCCGAGGGGGAGGTGGAGGAGTGGGAGGGTGAGGGGAGTTCCTCCCTCTCTGAGAGATGTCCACATCCACCAACGACACCGTCTCTCCTGCAACCAGAGCAATAGTACTTAATGACAAGAGCCATAAGAACGACATTAACAACATTTGTTACAATAATGTAGCATAATTCCAAAGATTGGCCTAAAATGAGACTAATCTCATCCAAATCGTGTGCCTGTGTCATTATATTTCCCATGCACTGTGTAAGCTTATTAGTGGCTTGCAAATGTGCCTTCATTTAATGTATTCCAAGGATTCCTTTAGCTTCTAACCCAATATGTTCCCCTGAATCTTCGTTTACCTGTGAAAACGGGAGTAAAAGAGGCCGCAGAGAAGGCACTTTGTGCCCTTGTTAGTCCAGGTTGGCTGCAGAAAGACAATCATCATTTTAATTGTTAAAATAAAAAAAGACAACACATTAATTTACATTAATTCTGTATCTCAAAGTTTATTATATCATTATTTATTTATCTACAGTTTATAATGAATTAGAAGTATAGATAATCACACTTGACTCACCTGAGGTCAATTATGACTTTGCGACTATCATATAAAAACAAATCAAAAGTACAACAGGTTTAATGAAATGTGTTTTATGATGGACATTTTATGAGAGATTTAAAAGAAAAACATTTATGGAGAAAAAAGTGTCCAATTTCTTGGTTAATTTCGAATGAATTGGCTAAATCATCGATTGAAATATTAAATATTCTTGGGATAAAGACCATAGTTGGTCCCATAATGCTGTCTATTTGTAGGTAAACAAAGAATACTTCAATACACCATAGCCAACCATTTCCAATTGGTTTTTAGAAAGAGGTTTATTATTTAATAGTAGGCTACATCAATGTCTGTTTTCCTACACTCCTAAGAAAATGTGTAATTTTAAATAAATTTTACCTTTAGGGATACAACAGCTTGTTAAAATGGTAGTGCCCTTAAAGGGACAACTATTCTATTTATCTAATCTAATCTAATCTACTTTATTTACCCCATCCAGATATCCTCTATAGATGTTTCCTTTAAAGGGATAGTTCACCCAAAAATGAAAATTGTCCATCAATTGAGTCCATCAACTGTTTGGTTACCAACATTCTTCAAAATATCTTATTTTGTGTTCAGCAGAAGAAAGAAATTCCTACAGGTTTGTGTAACACCTTGAGGCTGAGTAAACGATGACAGAATTTGAGGGTGACCTATCCCTTTAAGTGCTACCCCAGTGACAAACTGTTGTACCCCTAAAGATAAAATTCTTGTACATTTTTTCTGACAGTGTAGGCTCCTCCATAAAAATGTTGAAGGAACCATACTTATATAACCAGGACTACAACGGTTGCACAAAAACTTGTTCTTGTGAAAGTTGTAGTCATTAAACTATGTGGCAAGTTGTTATCAACTTTTTAAAGCAATATTGGTAACACTTCATAATAAGGTTTATTAGTACATTAGATAATGTATTAATTAACTAACATGAACTAACAATGAGCAATTAATTTGTTACAGTATTAGTGTCAGTATCACTAACTTTGTTAGTGTTAGTTAATAAAAATACAGCTTTTCATTGTTTGTTCATGTTAGTTCACAGTGCATTAACTAATATTAACAAAATACAACCTTTGATTTTATTAACATATTAGTAAATGTTGAAATTAATATTAACTAAGATTAATAAATGCTGAAGTATTGTTCATTCTTAGTTCATGTTAGGTAGTTAATAAGGTTAACTAATGAACCTTATTGTAAAGTGTTATTTAATAATATATTACAAAAATATCTATATTTTTTATTATATTAAAAAAAGCAATATTTAAAAAAACACAACTGCTTAAAAATCTACTTTTGAGGTATGACTGTGTAGTTTATATTGTATGAAAACAACCATGAAATTGTCTTCAAATTATGTTAACCTCAGAGCTTTTTAATACAATTCTTAACTAATTAAGTACTAATTAACTAATACTAATTAACTAATCATAAGGTGCCAATCTAAAGAAAGAAAGAAAGAAAGAAAGAAAGAAACTAAGAAAGAAAGAAAGAAAGAAAGAAAGAAAGAAAGAAAGAAAGAAAGAAAGAAAGAAAGAAAGAAAGAGAAAATTCCTGAGGGAGTAAATCTTATAAATAAGATGTTTAATATTTAATTTCAAGGTTGTTTGGGCAGAAGAACTCACCTGGCTGTGTCTTGTTCCCCACCGCTCGCTCCGGACATGTCCACTAAACTGCCCGCTGATGATATGGAGAACGTGACTGAAGGTCTCTTGTCCAAAAGGTTGTTAGAGCCACTACAGCTTTTAGTTCTAAAAAGTTTACTCAGGCGTATTTTAAGAGAGCCCTTCCTGGATTTCCCTGGTACTTTCAAAGTCTTCTCTCCTCCGCTGGCCGCGGAAAGATGCGCCCGGGTCGTGCTCCTGTCCGACCGGGCCTTCGGTGTGGACGCCTGGCTGGAGCACGGGGTGTCCTGGTTGGATGCGGCTTGCGATAGAACCTCGGGAGTCAGTTTATCTGTGGTGGGAGCCTGAGGCCTGGTGTTTACAGAGTCTCGCAACAAACAACACGCCGGTGAGCAAAGTCCCCCGGACACTGCCATAGCTTGTCCGGACAGCACCGACGGGAAACATTTGAGCGCAAACGCACCCGGCTCATTGTTTTGGGAATCGGTCTTCTGACAGGCATTGATGCCCAGGCCGTTCACTTCTTCTGACCCGAGGCCCTCCAGAACCAGCAGAGCATCGCTGGTCTCGGTCGGGTCATCTCCCTGCCTGATTCCAGCCGAGCCGAGCATGCTTTGACACGAGCAGTGCTGCAGCTCGCCGTCCTTCAGTAGAAATTCGGGTACCGGAGCGACTCCCAGCTCGCCGAATTTCCTCGCCAGCTCCAGGACAGGACCCTCAGGCAGAGCCGTCGTGCAGCTCCAGCCCGGCTCTGTCATCGAGCCCGTTTTGTGATCCACCACCGGCGGCCAGTCTTGTTTGTCTGTGATCAAGCGATGCCGGTGACACAGTTCGGCTCCCTCCGTATCCGTAGCAACCGCTGGCAGTTTGAGCTGTGGATGCAGCGTCCATGTAGGCGGATGCTGAGCGTCCACAGCGCCAGACTCCGAAGCGAGTACCGCTTGCTCCTCAAAAGCCCTTCGCTGATCCTCCGACTTGTTCTCGGCAAATCCTTCAGAGTCTCTCGATATGTTTCTGAATACCAACAGCTGAGGCCCCATTCCACCTCGGTGGGTGAGATCGTACCCGTGGGCCTCGGCTGAATGAAGAGGAGGCGGCGGCACAGACAGCGCAGGTCTAGTCGCCATCACTCCCGCGTCAGGTGCCTCCGTTCCGCTGGCCTGCGGAGCTTTGTTCACCGCCGAGATGTGGCCGTGATTCTGCGTGCATTCAAAGTTCCCCTTGATAGCCACCGTCAGTCCAGTGCCCGATGACAGATTCCCATTCTCCTCGTCCAAGCGGTCATCCTCGGCCGCGGAGACCAGGCGCATCAAGACAAAATCGGGAGACATATCTTGCGCGTTGTTCATTATTATTCCTCAATATACTGAAGGAATGAGCGATATCAGCGTTTCACATTGCTCCAGTCATGAGATCTCGTTTGTGTGATGATGGTAATCCACTTGGTGTTAGTTAGCCCTCTCACTCAGCGCCAGACAATTAGTGCATTTAAACTCTATTTCAGTCGCTCCTTCAACATTGCGCACGTCCTCGTCTCATTTCGCGTCCGGCCTTAAAAATCTCCACGGGTCTTTGTAGGGTCATACATAACGCTTCGTTTCACGCAATCCTAACGGCGTCTGTGGTCACATTACTGTCGAGGCCCCACCCGCCCGCTCACTTCCGCAAATTCGATGCGTTTCGTGTTTGGTCTTATCGGTGCCATTGCTGTCCACTTGGCTGCAGGCTATGTGCTGTCCCCCTTAGTGACGTGCACCGTGCTGTAATGTTGCTTTCATGTCATTTACCGCGCTGTTGTCTGGAAGATGGCCTTACCAACTGATGTTTATGATGCATCAATTATAGTGGCATCGCCTTACCGCACGAATTCAACACAAATTAAACTCTCCTTGCAAATCGGTTGCATTATGAGTCAACGTTAACTGACTTGCACGCTTTAATCATTTGAATAATGACTCTCATCCTGATATAGCCTACAAAAAAATGAAAATAAAAATACAGCATGGTGTCAAATAGAAATAGAACCAAAATAATATCATGATACTGGACATGCCAGTTATTCATTATGTAGCATGTAAAAATGATAACTTATTTAAACTAATAATTGATCATAACATAGGCTGTTTTTATCAACAGGGTTTTTACGAATGTACATGGAAATGTTTTTACCATTTTAATCTTAAATGGTGCAACAAATACATTTTTTAAAGTACAAACATTTCAATGCATTTGAATTAATATGCTATAATAAAAGCGGCAGCAATAATAATTTGAAAAGAAGTAGCATAATTCTGTTAGTTCTAGATGGAATGTAGCATGTAATTTTCCAAAAGTATTATATTATCATCTATGCCTGTACATATTGCAAAATCACTGCGCATGATGTGTATGCCAATTAAAGGCCTATTGAGACAAAATACAGTTATTGTTTACATCCACCCATTGTTCTGTGGTCAAGACTTTAAATTCGAGCTGTATTTGTGAAATGCAATTTCTTTGACCGACCGAATGATGTCGCTATACACAAACAATTTACACATGCCCATAGAGCCCTTTAAAACCTGCTGTTCACAAGGAGTTTATGGGTTTTAATACAGTTATGGGTTTACACAAATATCCAGAAGAAATGTGTTTTCACAGTACTTCATCTGAGAAATATTGCATACATTGACATCATCCTCTCCAATTAAATGCACACAGTACTGTGACACATAGCCTAACACACACAAACACACATGTATCCATAAAAAAAAAAAAACATTTACACAGTTCAGGTTTTGAGAAGGGAGTGCATGTACATAGACACACACACATATGTTTAGGGGCACACTCACACACACACACACACACACACACACACACACACACACACAGTCACAGCCTCTGCAGTCCTGAGTGGGGGTGGGGCCCCACAGGAATGAGTGTTGAATCTCAGAACCCTGTTGCCATGGCACCAAAACAAGGATTTGCCTGCATTACCCAGTATGACTGGATTTGTCTGAATCATCTCTCTCTATCTCACTCACATACACATCTTTGACAGACATTCATTCATTTATACACATGTGCAACATGCTTTCTTCTTTCTTTCTTTTTTTAATTTCCCTGATTGATGCACAACATATTTGCAGTTACAAAACGCAATTTGCTTATCAGAGATTAGCATTTCAGTGCACTTCATCTGCCAAACAGATGCAGACTTGTAAACCGCTGCATGCACATATTCACAATGTCACAGTCCATAAAAGACCACTCATGACTGACCCAGCCGGGGAGTGTTGGGTTAATCCACAAAGCGGTGAGATTCTGATGCATACCCAACCGAGAGGATTACCCTCCCATCCTCTCATCCATCAGCCCATCCTCATGCACATACACTCATCATAACAATCCAACATTAACAGATGTGCCTCTCTCAGCACTCACCACAACTGGGAGATTGGGAGAGGGAGCGAAAGAGATGGGAGAGTGGGAGAGATTTACAGGAGGACTGCAGAGCAAGTGAAGAGGTAAGCAGAGAGAGAGAAACAGGGGTGTTCCACATGTTCTCGGTTTCTTGTTGATCTTTGTTACTCACTCCAGTTTCTTGCAGGCCTGTTAACTCCAGCATCACATCCAGAAAGGACCTGACCAACTTATTGTAGGACGCACGGAGCATAAATGTTGTTGAGCTTCATCTTCATCTTCGAAAATGAGTAGTGCATGTCAGTCCGTGTGTGAACGCACACTTATTTGACACAGTTGTTTGCAACAAAGTGCGGTTGCACTCAAACTGACACCTGTGTCAATCGGTTAACAAGAATAGGAGAGAAGAAGAAAAGCCAGGGAAAGAGAAGAAATGGAGGGCTGCACTTTGAAAGCATCTTTCAGGATGTGAGAAAAAGCAAAAGCTGATCTTTTCCTTGACAAAAAGCATTGGAGGAGAAGTTTCTACAAGGATGGGCCTGTGTGCTTGTGTGCTACCTCTTCTGCTTCTACTGCCTAGCCTGCTTTCTGCTCAGCTCAGCACTGTGTCTGAAGTTGAGGACACGTCCAGCTTGGAGTTCACCCCAACACCTTGTCTTACTGACCCAAATACCCTAGCAGGGAACAGCTTGTCACCCAGCCCCCCACCCACCAGTCCGGCTCCTGTAAAAGTGAGCACGGAGGAGGACCGGTCTTCCGTGGAGAACTACCTCTACTTTGGCGATTCGTCCTCCTTGTCCTCCTCCACCTGCACACAGACATTCCAGCTGCTTGTTCAGCGGAGATCTCCACCTAGAGAGCTTCTCCCTCTCTTGCACCAAGCCATAGCGTCTCTGACCAATGCGGCCAACTTCCTCAACCTGATATTTCAAGCTAGTGAGCTGAGAGAAACAAGTGTACGAGAGGATATCGAGTGGTACCACGCACTGGTCCGGGCCATGCTCGAAGGGGACAGGCCAGGCCTGGTCAGACGAGCTTTTCTAACATTCGACGCAGACCCCACAATCCAACAGCCCCAATTGGTGCTCCATGCCTCCAAAGGCACAACCCAGGACATTCTCCTGCAGGACCTGACGTCTGTCTGGAGCAGCTTCCGTCCTCCTAGCCCTGACCAAAGCTGGTTTGATTCATTCAAGTCTAGCTCACCACCCCTCCATATCTTGTCTAAACGGGTTCTTCTAAATGACCTAAGTACCCTAGATACTCCCAAGTGGGCACGTGGGGATAGTTATGTGATAAATAGCAGCGGGGTTCTGTGGGGCGAAGTCCCTTTCCTTGAGTGTGTTGATGGCCGCTTTTTGCCAGGGTGGTTACTCAGCCTCTCAATGCCATTTTACGGATTGAAGCCAGACCTCAGCCCAGAGTTTAGGTCAGTGCACTTTCTTCAACTTCTTGTTTAAATAGTTTCTCGTTTTTGTATGCTCAAATTTGTATGTCTTTCAATAATCTCTGGCCATGCACTTGAATGGATAGTCCCCTTAAAATTTGATATTCTGTCATCTTTTACTCATTATGTATCTTGATAACTGACTTTCTTCTGTGGGATACAAAATAAGATATTTTGAAGAATGTTTCTGTTTCTTTTTGTCCATACAATGAAACTCAATGGGGTCTGAAACAGAACCCCATCGGACCCCATTGACTTCAATTTTGTATTTCACTGAAGAAAGAGAGTCATCAGATTTGGAATGACATGAGGGTGAGCAAATGATGACAGAATGTCCATTTTTAGGTTAACTATCCAATTCATTTCATTTCAAGTCTTCCGTCATTACTGTTACTTTGTTGTCACTACCGTACCTTTGTCGTCTCTCTATGCGTTCTGGTGGTAGGGGTGTGATCCGTATTGATGTCAATGTCCAGGGATTCAATGTGGATCAGTGTGCCAGTGGAGACTTCTGGTTTGCAAACACACACCAATGTAATCGTACCAGCATGGAGGTGAGAGTACACCGTCATTGACCAATACTTTCTCCAATACTTTCCATATGGGACCTACTGCAGACACCTCACTGGTCTCGATGCCATGTGTGCATGTCATAAAGTTTCATTAAAATTTTGGCAACACTTTGCAGTAAGGTTTAATTCATTAGTTAAAGGGATAGTTCACCCCAAATGAAAACTAATTTTTTGCTTAACCTTATGTTGTTCCACGACTTCTGCGGTCCCATTGTTTTGTATTGGTATAAAAAATGTATTAGTATATTTAGTAATTAACATAGATTAATAAAGATTGTTAGCTCACATAATGCATACAGTTAATGAATAGAACCTTATTGTAAAGTATCACCAAATCTTTTTATATATATAAAAACTGAAAGTAGGTTCTTAACACCATTTGGGTATTTAAAATTACTTTAAAGGTCAATCTGTTTTCATTGTCATACAAGAAGCTGCTACATTGTAAGTTCAGAGCTCTTCTTCAGATGGTCAGAATGATATTATAGGCTGCATGGGTGGATTTCACTAACCAGGGACAAGCAGGGCCAGAAAACATTCAGAGATCCACTCAAAATATTCTGTCACTAAATGTCAAGAGGATATTTGTGGTGAAGTGATTTATTTTTGTAAGTGTCTTTGTGAGCATGTTTCATTCTCCACTGTAATGTAGCTATTATGATAGCATTAGAATTTTGTTATCAGCTATGCTCTCCTCTTTTCCTGTATATATCATCATGTTTTTGGATTGACATTCCTTACTAATTGACACAATTGAGATGATATGTACTTGGGAAATTACAGGGGTACATTTAAATTCTGTCAAAACTTATTCTTTATGTCTTTGCAAATCTATGACTTTCTTTCCTTTGTGGGACATAAATGCTTCAGTTTTTTATTTATTTTTATTTCTCCATACAGTGGAAGTCAATTGTAATCAAAACTGTTTGATTACCAACATTCTTCGAAATATTTTTGTCAGTATTTCACTTAAGAATGTCAAATTATGAAAAAAAGGGGCATTTTTGGGTTAACAATCCTTTTAACTTGAATACTACACATTTCATAATGCCTGTTGCCATCAGATCTGGCATCTCAATATTATGTTGGATTATTATTAAGTAACATATTCAAACATCACCTGCTTTACACGTTGTATTGCTGGACTGTTAGCCTATATACATTTCCCATTTCCTGCTCCCACTGTTTTCCATCATCATACTCCCACTTTCATCCAGACCTTCTATTTAAAGATGTGAGCACTGGGTGCAGGATGATCTGAAGGATTAGGCTGATAATCCTGGGATGCTCACACACCACAACCCAACAACCCCCCACCCCCCACCACCCCACACACACACACACACACTCTCTCTCTCTCTCTGACCCCTTCCACAAGACTCAGACCCCCCCATCATCATGACCTACCAGAGCACAAGCTCACAGGTGTTGGCAGGTTAAGCAACGGCAGGATTTGGCACACTGAACGAATTTAATGAGAATTGAGTTGATCCGCCTAAGGAGTAACGTATTAATAGAACAGTTTTGTGTCATAACAATGCATTAATTGCATGAAACATTAGATTGACGTGATCTATGATATAGTCCCATGCATATTTTAAAGGTTGCATACTGCTCAGTAAAGTGCTGGTTTTACTGAAGAATTACTTGACACTGATCTGTAAAATAAAACATTACTCCAATTTAAGAATCAACTAAATTTCATTTTTATGAATAGATACTGAATAGAGATACATAGCGTAAGTAATTATTATCATTTTATTTATTCTCAATTGCTCCTCTTCAGGAGGACAATATCCTCTTATAAACAAGAATCTTGTTCTTAAGTGAAAATATAAAATGTATGTGAACAGTGCTGGATTTCCTTGAATAAAAAGATAAAGCTCTGCCAATAGAGGTATTACCCCTCCATTTAGGATTTAGCTTAGATTAAGTCTGATGGGTGGGTCAGCCGACTCTCACAGATAAACTGCTGATGAGAGACCACACATGCAATTAATGGCAGAAAGCAGAGAGAACACAATCATACTGGCAGAAACATCTGTGTTGATTTCCCCTTTCTAGGAGCAAGTCGTTTGCTTACAGATGAAGGTAAAACAGATGAGCATACTTTTGACTTCACCTCTCGTTCTTTCTCTTCCCCGTAGTGTGAGCCCATCCCGCAACAGGGCTTCCGGATGGGTCAGTACTGCTGCCGATGTAAAAAGGGCTACTACAGTCCAGTTCCAGACATACAAAACAAAAGTAAGAGGCTTGAAATAATCAAAAATCAGTTGCAAAGTGGGTTTAGATTTATTTGATAATATAATATATAGCTAACATGATGCCATATAAAAGTATCTCAATTAATGATTGGGCAAGGGTCAAAGTTATAGCAGAAAGGCATTAAACCATAGCTTTGATGTATTTTTGTACATAATTTGTTCTGTTTTCTTTGGAACGATTGAGCTTTGCCTCTCTTTATATATGGCAGAAACGATAGGGCCTAAAACTAACTTTTTACCGAACATAAATATTTTTTTTTTACCAGGCATGAAACAGATTAATCCTTATTAAAGTAACAAAAGTTATTCAATATAGAGCAGTGAGGGATTTTCTTTGTCTTTTGTTGTTTAAATAGTATTAAAAACCATAGGCGTAATTTGTCCCCACCACTTTTTGCCAGAGTCAATATTGTCCCCACCACTTTTTGAAACATCTTGCGGCATGGATGTACCTAATGAAACATCTCCAGCAAGCAGAATATTCATTTTGTTCGTTTGTTAAATAAGAGGCGATCTGGCGCTGGGATGAGATGTTTTTTAAATCATGCTGAGTGTTCATTGCCGCTGTTATCAGGCTTCGCACAGACGAGCGCTTCAATCTATCGCGAAAAGATGTTGCGGAGACTCTCTGAGAAACCTATACGAGGGCGGACTAGAACCCAGACACGTTTAAAAAAAGTTTTACCACCTGACCATGGGGTCACACAAACAGTTAAAGGGGATTTATGTATTTATTCACTGACGTGAAGAATCTCGGGATTAACAATGTATTGTATTATAGTAGATTTTAAGGATGAAAACATATTGATAAATTAAAGCAACACTAAGTAAGATTTTTTACCTTAAAAGAATGTTTTCAAAATCGTTTCAGTGGTTCATCAAGTCGTGACGTGGTGAAATGCACTTATGCCACCGCTTTGCGGTCCTTTATCTGATATATCCACGCTATGTAAGATTGCCAGATCGGGTCGCGTTTCTGTAGTCCGAATGAGACATAAGAAAACTACAAATTTGACTTGCTTTACGGCAAGCATTACAATTGCCGATAGGTGGAGCGTACTCGACAGTAGACTACAACTACATGTAAGATACCTAGCAGCCGGGTAGCTTTTAAATTGTCATCATGATTCCAAAGCCGGTGCTGGATAAACAGAGAGCATGTGCGTGCGTGCTCGTGCGACAGTAGGATGCGGTAGGCTAAATTATTTACAACAGCAGTAATGGACAATTCCGCTTCCAGCCTGTAGGGCGACTGCAGAGGAAAAGTTACTTGGTGTTAGAGGTCTGCTACCCGACCCGAGCCCGACGGGTCCCGAAAAATGTGCGGGTTTCAGGTCGGGTTCGGGTTAATGTTAATGAACAGCCTCGGGTTCGGGTCGGGTTCGGGTTTAACTAAGAAAAACTAAATAGGCTATATATAGTTTGCGTGCCGTGTGCTTTGCCTGCTTGCTGTGTTGTGGTGACCGGCACGCGCGAGAGAGAAAGTATAGGCTACGTCCGCAGATGTGCAATATGTGCATACAGGCTCTCTCTCTCAAATATAATGATATATGAATATAATATTTTTAATTATTTGTTTTATTTTATCATATCATTTATATCACAAAACTGTTTTGCGCATGTGCTACCGCTCTCGCGCGCTATTTCAGTCACAATACAAACAGCCGACGACAACAAGCAAACCATGAGTCTGATAAAGCAAAAAATTACTTGGTAAGTTTTTTCTCTTACTGCTGTGCTGCCTGCTGATAGGGCCACTGCGCCTCCATGTATTTGTTTAATATGTCAAGCAATCATTAAATACAACATAGCATATTGCAAAAATGGTATTGCTGTGAGAAACAGAATGGACCTCGGGTTCGGGTCGGGTTCGGGCTTAATATGTAAATGTAATTGTCGGGTCGGGTTAAATGATCGCGGGTACGGGCCGGGTTCGGGCTTCAGTTTAAAGCCCGTGCAGACCTCTACTTGGTGTTGCTTTAACCTCAATGTACAATTAAAATTGAACATGGATTATTGTACATAACATATATGATATAGCATTGTATTAGTAGCCCCAAAACACACAAACACACACAATCCTTTCCCACCCAGTTACGACACTGTTAAAAACACAGCCAGCAGCAGGAATATTAGGCTGCTGTCACTTTAAGAGCTAATGCACAGGTCCAATATACTGATAAACATCAGTACTTAAGTTCACTTAAGACATAACTGACTATGTTTACGGAGATACTTGCAAGACTGGCATTTTGACATAATTTGGTTTGAATATATCCGTTCAAGCGCAAGACAACGAGAAGCGCCCAATTCTGTAATCGTGACCTGTCTGAGATGCAGATTTCTGGGCTTCTCACAGAAAACTACCCATACAATAATAAACTGAGATCCCATTTGTGTCTTCTTGCGTTTGAATATTTAAATGGGCAAGGCTTAAACTTTCGTGACGATGCAGCACTGGCTCACATTTGTTCACGTTCCTGTTCTCATGTCTTGCATTGTTAGAACTCATAAAAATGTCACCAGCCAACTGGCGACTGACACGGTTTCATATACTCGCCAACACCAGTTTTTACTTGCATTTGGCGCTTGACGAGTGTTAATTTTAGGCCCTGGACACACCCATCCAAACAGAGGGGTCATGATTTTAGACCAAGGTGCATAGTTAATGCAACTCATGTTGTTTGTATTTTTGATAATTAAGCTATATGATTATATAGGTGAAAGTATTAATTAAATACACTTAAAATGGGTTTATTTAAAAAAGAAAAACGATGATGATATATGGTGTTACAGGGAACAACCGTGTGAATGGTACCCAGGCTTGTTACCCAGAAGTCCCTGTGTGTCTGCCCTGTTGGCCCGGCTGTGCTGAGTGTGAGGACGGAGGCCCGTGTTGGGTGCAGGAAGACTGGCTCCTGAGAACGGGCGTCCTGGCTGTGCAGGGTCTCTTCATGGTCCTTGTGCTTATTAGCATGCTGGTAGCATATCAGTGCAGAAGAACCAAGGTAAGATTTCGGCATGCGATTAATATGACATGACGGTCTCTCTTAACATGATATATCTTAAAATGCCACGTGTTATGATGCATCATTTCAAACACAGGCAAAGAGGTCCCACATGTGCACAAACTTGATGCACGCTTGACAGCTGTAATTTCACCTCTGCTTCCCCTCTCACCATCTTTCTGTCTCTCAGCGGATCCGATCGTCGGGGCTTTTGCTGCTGGAGATGATCCTGTGTGGCTCTCTGTTGCTTTACTTTCCAGTGAGTGTGGGATTCAAAGCTTCTTTTCAGATTACTGCACTGCAGTTGAAATCATAATAGCTGGGTGGCACTTATGGAGGCAGAAAATGATCAAGAAATTACACAATTTACTTGTTTACTAGAGTTACTGAACAATGAGCACATTAAAATGATTTCTGAAGGATCATGTGTCACTGAAGACGTTCAGCTGCTGAAAAATCGGCTTGGCCATTACAGGAATAAATTACATTTTAAAATATTTCCGAATGGAAAACAGTTATTTTAGATTGTAATAATAGTTCACAATATTACTGTTTTACTTTTGATCAAATAAACGCAGCCTTGGTGAACATAAGACACTTCTAAACGAATTTTGGGATATGGGATTAGAACAACATGAGTTTGAAAATATAATTACAGAGTACATTTTTTCATCATTATGCATTGTAAAATAAGCATTTTTTGCACCTTCCACCAATAATTTCAGTTCATTTTATTCTTGTTTTCAGGTCTTCATTCTATACTTCAAACCCAGCACTTTCCGGTGTATCCTACTCCGCTGGGTCCGTCTGCTTGGCTTTGCCATTGTTTATGGAACTGTGACACTCAAGATGTACCGGTCTGTGGCACTTCAGTCCAGTCCTTTATCAAACTCAACCCTCCCTTCTAACTGTCCCGCCTGCACATCTGTCAATGTTGTGTAATAAGATGCAATTCTTAAAGATGCACTGAATCATTTTTCATGTGTTTTTGTGGTACTGGTTTATTGTAGAATTGTAGAAATGTATAGGTATATATTGATTGATATGAATAAATTGTAGAATTTCGAATCAATTTAGTCCCTTAACAAACGTGTCCAATAACAAGGTCGCTACAACGCGTCGGCCTCCATGAGTTGAACCGCTGCTGGTAAATTTAAACAGCTTTTATTAGGCTACAGATGAGTGCACATAAATGATTTTTTTTCTACTTTTTTTTCTAAAGTGTTATTGTTTTGTATGTAATTAGGGAAAAATAACTGCGTGCACCTTTAAGACTACACTAGAAGTCTGTAAAAAAAAAAAAAAAAAAGAAAAGATCTGACTAAGTAACCCAATTAAACTCCCAAAATGAATCAGTCTATGTGATGTGCCATATTTCCAGGGTTCTGAGGGTTTTCCTGTCGCGTACAGCCCAGAGAGTGCCATACATCACCACCACGGGTGTGCTGAGGATGCTGGGAGTTATAGTGCTTACTGTCAGCTGGTTCCTGTGTGCATGGACAGTTGGCGTCCTGCAGAATCGAGACCGAAATGTCCCATTGCTGATCATTTCCTCCACCTCAGAAGGACAAGGCTTCAATGTGTGCGACCTGGACCGGTGGGACTACATGATGGCTGTGGGTAAGTGATGTCATTTCTGACTGGTGGCAGTAGTCCATGGGTTTTCTTGGGTGTCTGGCAGAGAGATTAATTGAAATTGGGGCACATTAGTAGATCAGACAAATGAAAGGATGAATGCTCCTGGATAATTTAATGTTCTTTGAAGCATTTAGTTGATGATTTGAACACAGTACCATTGTCATTGGATATGATTCAGCATTAACCACTACCTGCCATACTAATAAAATACCACAAAAATAATGATGTTACTGCTATAATGTCATAAGTAAATGAGGGACTGAACTGAAATGACACCAGGAGATAAAATAGATTTATACAACCATTCTGGCATATTCAGACAGCTTACACAAAATAAACCTTGCATTTTTTATACTGCTACACTAGCCTATAATACGTAACACTGTATATTTTCTAAATACATATCCCTTCTTCTGTTGATGTTTGTACATAAATAGCTTTCTTCCATTTAGTTTTGATGCTCACTTTTTAGTTTGGACTTAAGTTATTAAAAAATTTAAAACATTAAAATGCAATTCATACAACTTAAATACATGTCTTCCATGATTAACGTTTTAAGATGAAGTCATTTTGATATTTTGATAGGGTTCAAATTTATAGTTGGTGTAACTGTCTGAAGATTGTAATTTCAAGGTTAACATTTTTTAGGAAAAAAACATGCGTTGCTTGGGATGTACTTAATTAAAACTATTGTGATAACTATTGTAACATGTCAAGAAAACCATTAAACAGGAAACTATATCACAGAGATAAGCTCTGTAAACATTTACAATTGTGCCAAGATCATTGTTTTTTAAAGAAAACATTAGAAAAGGTAGCTCAAACCAAATGGAGTAAGCCTAAGAATAAATAATAATAATAATAATAAATAAAAAAATTCCTCATAAAAAGTTATTTCTGCTGTGTACATTTGTGTATGTGACAAACAAAAGCTTTGTAATAAAAAAGTACGTTGTTTTTCACTCTCAGCGGAGCTGTTGTTTCTGTGCTGGGGCAGTTTCCTGTGCAGTGCAGTGAAGACGGTCCCTTCAGCATTTCACGAACCACGTCACATGAGCATCGCTATCCACAATGAGCTACTCCTCTCCTCCGTGTTTCATCTTCTCAGGTGGGGGAATAAAGTTGTTTTGCTTTAACAAATAAGAGTTTGTTCTGTTGACTTCTTTGTTCGTGTCACTTTCAGATTTGCCAGGCCATCGATTCATCCTGACTGGATGCTCTTGCTGTTCTTCACTCACACGCATGTCACAATTACTGTAACACTCGGCCTGCTCTTTCTACCCAAGGTACTGTCTAAAGTGTCATTTTTTACTTATGCAATGTTTTTTAACCTATTCATTAATTATATAGTAGGTATCACAATTGGCATATCCAAATAACACATAAAACACTTCTTGCATCCTAATTCACTGTAATGTCCTAAATATTATGCCTGATTAGAATAAAATTTTAGTATATTAAAAATAGTAAGCCAATGGAGCTTGCATGATGAATTCTCTGGTGAATTTTTGAAGTGTGCATCTATGCATGCTTGCTGGCAAATATCAAATTGCGTAGCAGAAGAGTAGAGGTTTTTGGCAACACAAAGTAGAACCTTTTATGATGTAGTAGTAAGTCCTACAAAAATGTATTACACACTCAAAAGTATGTACATTTCCAGCAAAATACATATTTTTAATACATAGCATATACATGCAAACTATATTCTATTTATTAAATTCTGTCACATTTCTCACATTTGTTGTGTAGCTTACCCTATGTACAAATCAGCGTTGGTGTTTGTTGCAGTTTCTTTACATGTCACGGCCAGGCCGAGAGGAAATAGCTGCAGAGGTATACGAGGATGAAGTGGAATTGCGACGCTCATGTTCTTACCTCAACAGTAGTTTCACCTCTAACTGTTGGAATGACCACAACCTGGACCCTGATGACATTCGGGTAAAACACTTCGCCCTGCCGCAGCCCTACTAACACACATGCTCACACCTCCATTTTAAGAAAAGGACACATACTAACACTTTATGACAATGTCTACTTAGGAATTACATTAAAAGCGTACATTTTACCTTTTCAGCAAAGTAAATTAGTAAACTAATATTAACAAAGTCTAAATTCTCATATAATAAATTTTCATAAACGTTACACAAAAGCTCAATGTATACTTCGTCCATCTGCGTTGTGCAACGGTCTGTGCACTGTCTGTGCGACATAATTTTCGTCATCAGGTCCGCTGCACTGTACGCATGCAACCCGATTTTTTGTGTTGTGTACGACAGAGCATGTGCAAGGTGAATGTTGAGACAGAAGAGTATGCACAGTCGTGATCAAGGGGGTAATCCATCAGCCGGAAACTGAAGTCTCCCCGGGGGCCGCCGTTGGCTAGCAAGCCTTCACCAGCTGTTAGCAATCCATTGACTCCCATTCATTTTGGCGTCAGTTTGACAGCGAATAACTTTACATCTGAGGCATTTAAAGACTCCATTTGTCCATTGTTTATTTCTAAAGAAACACGACAATGTATAAAAGGCTCCATTACCTTGTATCTGGCCCGTAGAAGCAGTTTTTGTAAAAATGGGCTAACGGTTGCGTCATAACCACGCGACTCTCTGTCGCACAGTAGAGAAATTACCATATAGATGGGAGGAGAAGCTCGCAGGGGGACGTGGAGGCATAAAGTCAAGGGAGAAGCCCATTGAGAGTCATAAAGTTGATCCTGCTGCTAGCTCATGGACAGCTCCTACTCACGCTCTCATTCTCTGGAAGATTCGAAAGGGAATGATTGAGATTTCTCTTGGCACAGCTACTAGAAGACGTACAACAGTCAGACAGGTTGCTCACGTCACATCTACGTCGTCAAGCTCAGTTTGAGCCTGCGCAGTGCGCTCAGCTACCAGGAAGTGAGTGCTTCTAATTGACTTCACTTTTCTCCGTTGAAGTCTATGGGGTCGCTGTGTCCATTTCTTTTACTGTCTATGGTTGTGATGTACTGTGCAGCAGTAAAAAAAAAAAAAAACACTTTCACACAGAGATTCCGGAAAATACACTGATAATGTGTCGTTTGATTTTTGTTAATTCACACTGTCAGTGATTTTCTGGAAGACCAAGACATCAGGATGTGACGTGGAATGTCTCCGCAGTGTCTAAGTTTGCTTATGATCTGCGATTTCTCTTTTGAGAAACCACGTGCATTTTTTTTCTGATTCGATCATAAACTAGCGCATCGCGAACCATCTCAGCTTCAGCGTCATCACTACGACACACCCCATATGGCATTGGTCCTGCCTTTTGCTCACACAGGGCACGTTATGGTCAATCCCAAAACGTGTTTGCGGTCACACAGAAGGCACTCTAGCAATTATATGGCAATTTTCTGGGATTAACGCTCTGTTTGAAAGGGGTAAAAGAAATATACAGAAAGAACAATACAAAACAATATTCTTCTCCATAGTTTTTGTTTTGTTTCTTGTTCTAAACTTTGCATACAATGGCGAAACCACTACTTTCCTTCTATACTTCCGAGCGAATGTCTTGTAAATGACAAGACTCAGTGCTGCCCTCTGATGTCTGGTAGAGTATAAAAAAAGCAATTGTACTGCGCATGTGTCGAACTCGTCCATCCAAGGTTGAGTATACTTTGAAAGCTGTGCTAACACAACAGTGCATGAGACGGAGCAGAATGCGGAAAATGAAGTATACCTGTAACTTAAAAATAACAAAAAGCTCACAAATTACAAGATAAATAAAAGTATTTTTCTGTGTTGTATGTATTTCTGATATTTTTAAATAGGGAGAGAGGGGGGAATGAGACTTAAACCTGGCTCCCCATAAGCCAACATCCCCTGAGCATCTTTATTATTAAACATCAACTTACAAATAAATACAGTATTATTACTTATGCTAGCCTCCTCCTTCTCCTCCTCCTCCTTTGCCTTTAACTTGCCCTTTTTTAAAATATTACCCTGTAATTTGGTGCCTTTTGAACATCATGATTTGTACAGTACATACCATCTCAAAAACCGTCCTACTGTATTGCTCCCAATGACTTTCCTCAACTGAAACCCTTTTTCTCCTCTGCACCAGGATGAGCTGAAGAAACTGTATTCTCAGTTGGAAGTCCACAAGACCAAGAGGATGGCAAACAGCAATCCTCACCTTCCAAAGAAGCGAAGCTCTCGCCTCAGTATTGGACGATCCCTTATAAAACGGATCACTGAGATTCCAGAAAGTTTAAGCAGGCAATGCAGCCGTGAAGACAAGGATGTCAGTGCTGCAATAGGAACTATAACCCGATCCGGATCTTATTACAAATGTCATCAAACCACAAGCATTAACATGATGAATGAAACTTTAATGCAGCCCTCTCCAAAACTGCGAAAGTCCCATAGTGCCTATGACTGTACCCCAGAAAGAGAGGTCTCCCTTTTAAACTGCTCCATAAAGAGCATAACAGACAGAAGGGCTTCACAGCATTCTGACGCAGGATCCATCAATGCAACATTGCTGATCTGTAAGTCTGCAAGTGCCCACAATCTATCGTTAGACACTAACCTTCTACTTCCCGAGCCTACCAGGTTTCAAAAGTCACTCAGCGTTATAGAACGAAATGACCATCGCTCTGTGACTACTTGTAGAAGCATTGAAAATGTGTCATTTCCTGGCAAAGCTACCCCAGCAGAGAAACCCCAGCTAACTGTGGATGTCGACATAAAGAAGCAGACTTCAAGTGCCTTGCTCTCAGAGTCATTTGACAAGGCAGAGGTCTGCCCATGGGAGGTTCCAGAGGAGCAGCCAGCAAACAAGAATCAGAAACATGTCACATATTCTCTATCAAATCAAGAAGAACCCAAATCACCTGGTGCTGCCTCGTCACCAACGCTAATATACGTTTGTCCTTGGGAATACTTACCACCTCCTACTCCCACTGCAACAGAAACTGGCAATGGTATACAGTCAGATGTTGATTACACAAAAGCCAAGCCTACGATCTCCTGTAGCGCTCCAGGGTCGCCACTTACATTCTCAGACAAGCCAAAGGATTTTCGGGCTTTCTCTTTCCGCTCTGCTACCCAAAATCTCCTTACAGCAAAAAGCATTGGGGAAGTTGGAAGAAGTATGAGCAAAGAGAAAGGCCTACAAGAGAGTCATGTTAAGGAGGGAACACTACAAAAATCCCAGTCCACATCCATGAGATTATCCCCAGGCAGTGCAGCTTCAGACAAACGTACCCCGCAGACACACAGACGGGCTATGACTACCATAGGCACAAAACCTTTCCTTGTAAAGCAAATAGCAATACGGCTGCCATCTACAGATTCTACTGAGAGGAGCCCCAAACATACTGCTCCAGTTCACATCTGTCCATGGGAGTCAGAGGAGGTTATCTCGGAAGTCAAGAAGCAAAATGTGAACGACAGTGTATTACAAAGACAATACAGTGACAAGGAAGTACTCTCTTTGGCAACAAGTAATGTTGGCTTCAAATCCCCTGACTCCCAACTAAATTCTTTATTGTCTGTTCCTAATACTGAAGTGTGTCCATGGGATGTCCCAAAACCTTTTCATCAAACCAGCATTTCTGATGTCTGTCCTTGGGAAGTTGTGGAAGTAGAGCAATTGCAAACCAAGAGCATATGTGCTGATGTTTGTCATTGGGAAACCAACAGTGACCCATCAAGGATCACTGAAGACAATATATGTAATACTACTGTTGAAGTCCCTATGTCTAGAGACACCCAGAAGCAGATAAATGTAAAGCCTGAAGCATGCCCTTCTTATGTAATAGACACAAATAGCTCTCAGGTTAGACAGGGATCTATCAAAACTCCTAGTGACACAATAAAACCTGGTGAAAGGGTAATTTATGTTAATGTAAGTCCAGTACACCAAGAACCAGCTCAGAGAGCTGCATGTTCCGTTGAAACAAGTGAAACACAGAAACAAGAAGAAAGTGATTTTCCTGAACCCCCACCACCTGTAACTGACATAAGTCCTTGGGAGACGGAGCCAAAAACAAAAGACACTACAAGATCCTCTTTAAAAGAGACAATGACTAAAAAAGCAACTGTCTGTCCATGGGAAGTAGGGGATTCTGAGAAGTTAGAAGAGAGGGAAGGTGCTACGAACAAGGAGTCAATGCAAGTAGACCAAGAGCAAGACACTGTTAGTGTAATTGTGTGTCCATGGGAAACAAACGAGTCTGTGAAGTCCACACAGAAAGAAGAAAGTGTCTGTGGAGATGTCTGTCCATGGGAGACAAGTGAAACTGTCAAGACCTTGCAGAAGCAGAAAAGTGTTTATGCAGATGTTTGTCCATGGGAGGCAGAAGAGCCAACAAAGATCTTGCAGAAACAAGACAGTGTTCGTACAGATGTCTGTCCATGGGAGACAGGAGAGCCAACAAAGATTTTGCAGAAACAAGATAGTGTTCGTACAGATGTCTGTCCATGGGAGACAGGAGAGCCAGTCAATACTTTGCAGAAACAAGACAGTGTTCGTACAGATGTCTGTCCATGGGAGACAGGAGAGCCAGTCAATACTTTGCAGAAACAAGACAGTGTTCATACAGATGTCTGTCCATGGGAGACAGGAGAGCCAGTCAATACTTTGCAGAAACAAGACAGTGTTCGTACAGATGTCTGTCCATGGGAGACAGGAGAGCCAGTCAATACTTTGCAGAAACAAGACAGTGTTCATACAGATGTCTGTCCATGGGAGACAGCAGAGCCAACAAAGATCTTGCAGAAACAAGATAGTGTTCTTGCAGATGTTTGTCCATGGGAGACAGGAGAGCCTGCGAAAGCCTTGCAGAAACAAGATAGTGTTCTTGCAGAGGTTTGTCCATGGGAGACAGGTGAGTCAGTGAAAACCTTGCAAAAGCAAGAAAGTGTCTATTCAAATGTCTGTCCATGGGAGGCAAAAGCATCCCCCAAACAATCTGTGCCACAAGACTGCACTCATGCTTCCCCATCAAAAAGGCAAGACAGTGCTCAAGAATCTACCAGTCCTTTGGAAAATGACATAAGAACAGCAGCAATAACAGAAAGCAGCAATAGTCAAACTGCCCAGGACATACACCCTTCAGACACAGGCACACAGGCCACAGAGGAGACGAGGGTTAACCCACCTCTAGCTCGGCGTGACGCGATGTGCCCTTGGGAAATGGAAGGGGGCAGACAAGAATCTATACAAATGCTTGATAATTCAGATGTCTTCACTTGGGAGGAGACGATACCAGAGGAAGATGATGATGATGCAGAAACTGCTGCAGAGGCCTTCATCTTTCCTTCAGACTTGTGACCCACAAGGGCAGTTTCATTGTGCTTTATATATCTTGAAAGACTTATTACAAAATGGACCACTGTTCATACATTTCAGCTTTATGCAGAATGTCCCTCCACTGCCAACAGCACATTTCACTGAGACCGTCATTTAAGAACGGCGACCTTCTCCCTCCTCAGCTCAATAAATTGAAGACTGACTGATATCAAGACAGACTGCTCTCCTGTGCACATTTTCCTTTAGCCTTACATTAAAACAAATCCCGTTTAATTTGGTATTGTTTTGTGTGTATTTGTGTTCGTATAGCTATGTAGATTATGTTGTCAGTAAAACCTGTATCACCAACATAGCTTAGGTGGAACATTTAGAAAGTTTAATTTGACACATTTTCAGTCAACAAACATTGCACTAATATTATCAAGCAAGTAAGTGAAGAGACAAGCTGTTCTGGATGGTGTTAATAATTAAATTAAATTTAAACAGATCTTTAGCCTCTGCACTAAAATGGTTTAGACAAACATGTTATAAGTTTTACTTCAAATTCTCAAATAAGGCATTTCAACAAGATTAACAATTTACAAATCTACATGATCTCACCATGGTATTTCCTGATAAGTCCCATTCAAAAATTATTAATTAAAAAGGGTCACACTTTACTGTATCGGCTATTACATACCCATATATACTTAATACAACAGTGTTGTAATTGTGTGATTTCAGGCATTTTCAGCCACATACCTTCTCCTCCAAAACTCTACCCTTCAAAAATGTCAGTCAACTAAATATTAGCAAACCTTAAAGTGCAAAGTGATACAAGGGCCAACAAGGTTTATGATTGTGGAAAAAACTAGGCTTTATTTGCCATTTACAGAACCTAGGTTTATAACAGAGACCGTTGTGATTTCATAATATTGTTTATAGCACTTTTAATTACAAATAGCTTCACAAAACATTTAAATATTAATCCCATGATGTTCATGACTTTTACTCATTTTTAATCGTACACTGTGAGAAATTACAGTAAAATGGACATAAAATATAATCTTTATCTAAAGCAAACTCTTGATCTTTAAGAAAACATGTTTTAAATATGATTAAATTTGATTTGTGAATTAAGTGGTTTAGTCCAAAATATTCTTATTGTTGTTTTTTAGAATACAATTTTAAGTCCCATTGTGTGAGGATGTGAAACTAAATGAGGGTTTACAAAAGTGTTTACTTCAACCTTTTTACATGCTGCTTTCTTCTTAAAATAACTAGAGATTAGCACAAGTAATGACCATTAGATTGCACTTATAATTCCTACCAGTGTTAGAGTTTGTTTTTTAGTTATTCTGTGATTTTGAATGTACTTGCAATGTTAGCTTTTCAAACCAGGAACATAAAAACTGCGCTTTTGTATGAAGTAAGATTTTTGTAAGAACCAACAGTCAATTTTCAACAGTAGCCAAAGGAAGTTACCACTAACTTCTGTCAAAGTAAAAAATGCAACATTTTATTTTTATATTCTTGAAAGTCTGTCAATTGAGCATTCTGAAATAAACTTTTCAACTGCAAGGTGTCAATTTTCATCCAGTTCCATGTGTAATGAATTAACATCATGTTGATCACTGTAGGTAACAAATCAATATGTGCATGTATTTCAACGTACCCGAGTTCAACTTTGTTTTAATTAAATGTGGGGAAAAAGCAACAACCCAAGGTTTAATAAATACAGTAATATTTATTTTGATTATCAGGAATCAGTCTGTACAGAGTGGACCTGTGTTGGGCGGAGTAAGGCACCACATTCAGAATTACTTATTCCACTGCACTGCCTTCGGCTTTGGTACCTGGTAATTCAGATTCTCAAACTCATCATCGGGCTTCAGCTTCGGACCAGGAATCATGACAGTCTGTTGAAATCAGATGTCAGATATTAAGTAACATCTCTCACTTTTAAAAATTCCACGTTCTGCTCCTTCACACAACTAATCCAAACATCACATTTATTAGATTGTTTTTCAATTGCACATAAAATGTATTAAAAAAAACTCATATCTTGATATATATATATAAAGTAAATGATCACTTTTATGGAAACAAACAGCAGTCATTTACCTTAATAATGGGATCTTTTGGGGGAGCCCATGCTGGAACAATCTTTCCGTGAAGTCTCCAGCATCCATAAGGGTTGACCAGATGCCTCTCCAGCACTAGGTATTCCAGGACATCTCTGGGTTCATCCTCATCCCCCAGCATCAACCGGCCAAAACGGTCATAGACTGCTAATGTCTGAGAGATGGATTGATGAAGTGGTATCATGAACCCAAACTCAGTAATCCCATATAATCCCATTCTTCTTCACTCACCTGTCTAGAATGCATGCGGAGAGTCACCTGGCCATACAGGTTGCCCTTGCTGATCATGTCAGGACACCGTGTATGAACCACCCGTGGCGGCTCCAGTGATTCAATGAAGCGCCAGCGTAGAGTCTTATAACGGTTCCCGCGAACCATCTCCTGCAAAACATGCACACACACACAGGTTGGATAATCTGAAATGCTGAACAAAGACACACTGCACTATAAATCATATATTGAATTATCAATATACAGATTTACTTACAGGATAACACCTCTCTGTCACCAAAGAATGGAGCTTTTCTTTGTTAAATCTGGGAAAAGAGGACATTTATGCAAATACATAATGATTAATATAGATGTTATAAGTGGGGAAATTTGAAAAAAGACAAGGAACACCACATACACTACTGTTCAAAAGTTTTAGATGGGTAAGATTTTTTTTATGTTTTTGAAAATCTTCTCTGCTCACCAAGGCTGCATTTATTTGATTCAGTAAAAACAGTAATATTGTGAAATATTTTTAACTTTTAAAATCTGAAATAGAAAGCTTTTGTAATGTTATAAATGTCTTTACCGTCATCCTTGTTGAATAAAAGTGTTCATTTCATTCCAAAAAAAATTCTTACTGACCCCAAACTTTTAAATGCTAGTGTACAATGTTGAAAAAGATTTCTATTTCAACATTGATAATAATAATAACTGTTTCTTGAGCAGCCAATCAGTATATCAGAATGATTTCTGAAGGATCATGACACTGAAGACTGGAGTAATGATGCTGAAAATTCAGCTTTGCCGTCACAGGAATAAATTACATTTAAAAAAATATTCAAATAGAAAACAGTTTGAGTTTTATTTTGAAATATTTAATAATATTACTGTTTTTGCTGTATTTTGTAAATGTAGTAATGTTGCAAATGTAGCCTTGGTGAGCAGAAGAGACTTCTTTCAAAAACATAAAAAAAAATCTTACAGTACAGTCAACTCTGAAGCAGTAACTATTGTTGCTAAAATAAGATTTGTTTCTTACTGTGTGAGTGCTGCATGAGCGTCTATGAAGATCTGTTGAGCTAGTGCTGGAAATGCTTTAGTGGAGAAATCGGGGTCATGATCCTTTATTTTACGAATCCTGGTCAAACAGAAAACCATACCAATATTAGCCCAGCATAGTTCTGTTGGATTTGACTGGCAGTAGGAAACACTGAGGCAGATGTGGGCCTTACGACAGCTGTGACGCTGCACTCTGACGCAGCTGTTCTGTGCGCTGTTTCAGACCTTCTTTGGACAGAGTGGAGAGGCGAGCATCTCCTTCAGGAGGAACGTACGGATCAAAGATTCCAGCTGGAAAAAAAGATCACATTCGATGACTAACCATAATGTGAAAATCCAACATCACTTGTTTAACAATTTATCATCTGAACATCTGAAGAGCAATGCTCAAGACTTCAAGCTTTTGAATATGAATCTGATCTGATAAAAAACTAGACATGTATCACAAAACTAATACAGAACCAGTAAAAGGTTTGGACACACTTGGTACACTGACATTCAAACGTTAGGGGGTTGGTGTGACTTTTTAATGTATTAAATGTTTTTGTATGTAAAAGTCTATGCTCACCAAGGCTACATTTATTTGATTCAAAATACAGTAGAACTTTCAAATGTGTGATGGCAAAGTTGAATTTTCAGCATCATTACTCCAGTCGTTAGTGTCATATGATCCTTCAGAAATCATTCTAATATTCTGATTTGCTGCTCGAGAAACATTTTTTGTTATTAACAAAGTTGAAAACAGTTTAATATTTTTGTGGAAACCGTGATACATTTTTTCAGGATTCTTTAATGTAAAGAAAGTTTAAAAGAACAGAATTTATTTGAAATAGAAAGCTTTTGTGACATTAAAGGTGATTACTGTCAATTTTTATTACTTTAGTTTAAATAAACAAATAAAACAAAAATCATACTGACCCCAAACGGAAGTGTGTTTCATGCGATGATCTTAAAGGGATAGTTCACCCTAAAAATCTGTCATTAATTACTCACCCTCATGTCGTTCCAAACCCATAAGACGTTCATTTATCTTCGAAAAACAAATGAAGATCATTTTGATGAAATCTTAGAGATTTCTATTCCTCAATTTTACAGTCAGTCTGTCAATTTTGACAGTCTACGCCATCGGTTCCCAACAGGGGGGTCGCGGCCCACAAGGGGGCCTCAGCGAGCTCTGTGGGGGGTCGCGTCATATTTTGAAAGGTTTGAGCAATGAGCATTAAATAAAAGTCCTTAACTTTTTCTGTTCAAAATTTACAAAATGTATATAATGAGCGAGTTCATCATGAATCCATTTTCCAATCTGTGTTTTTGTCTTATCCTGAACCACTATGGTACACCTATAATAAGTGTTTACATTGGGACTATTTTACACTGGTTCGGATCGCTACCTCTGCGGAGTAGCCCAGTACCTGTGTGACTCGTCATAGACGTACACAGAGAGAAGTTCCGGCTACAATGTTCTTCCGAAAGACGCATTATTCTTAGCCTGGTTAAAACCAGACCATTCTCAGTTGTAACTGAGTTATGGTCTGGCAAAGCGTCATAGACAAATCATTTCCAGAGGGGCGTCACCAACGGACGTCACGGATAGACCTAAACCCAATCAGAGCGATGAAGGAGATAACATATGCAGAGCGGCGGAGACACATCTCCGAGTGTTGTTCTTTGCTCGGTTTTTAACAAAAAGGAAACGTTCAAATCGCTTAAAACAGACGCGATAGCTGATTCGAACGAGTGATGTTCGACGGCGGCATCCATCTTTGTAATGTAGGCTACAAAATCTGCTTCAAAATCCCAGCGCTGTCGTCATCGTGTAAAGCCCGCCCCAACGTTTCTGATTGGTGCCTCGATTTCGACGGATTGGAAATGGGCTTGAATGAGCTCTTTGCCAGACTAACTTTCAGAGCAAATCTAAATTTGCCGGAAGTTGTCTGGGTTTTCCCAGGCTACATTATTCTGTTTATAAACGCAAGTTTATTATCGCTCGCTATAGCGCCAAAAGCGTAAATTGAAAAAAGCCTCACATTGATAAACCTCACAAATAACATGCAAGTATTGAGGCCCCAGACAGCAGTCATTTAGTAATAGCCTATATTCTTTTTTTTTTTTTACCTACACACCAGTGAGAATATTTTTGTTTTTGCATTTCAAATAGGGCCAATTTATAGGCTTCTCCTAGGCTTACGTTTTTAAATAACAAAGGGCCTAGAGATGTTTTTGTTATTGTATTTTCAATATTATAGGCTATTATTTGTGCATAAACATACCATTTGTTTGAAAAAAACATATTTTGTCATCCTTGCTGCAAGCTTACAAGAGCGATAATATCATTAAATGTGAAGGGGGGCCCTAAAATATTTTCATGGGAAAAAGGGGGTCTCAGACAAAAAAAGGTTGGGAACCACTGGTCTACGCAACTACCACTTTGATGCTTCCAAAAGTTCATAAAGAATTATAAAACTAATCCATATGAATTGAGAGGTTTAATCCAAATTTTCTGAAGAGAATCGATCGCTTCATATGACGAAAAGATTGAATTTAGGCTTTTATTCACATATAAACATTAATCAGCGAACGTAAACAGAAGCTTAACTGAACCTGCTTGAAGTGCGAGAAAACCTCTTGCAGCTCAAACTGCTGCGTAACACAAGAACGAACCTCATTGGTTCTCGCACGTCAAGCGAACATGCTCGAGCTTCTGTTTAACACAACTGATGTGTGAGTTGATGAATGTTTATAAGTGAAACAAAAAGCCTAAATTAAATCTGTTCATCTCATAAAGCGATCGAGTCTCTTCATAAAATTTTGACTACACCATTCAATTTATATGGATTAGTTTTACGGTCTCTTTATGAACTTTTTGAAGCATCAGTGGTAGTTGCGTAACTGTCAATGGAGGGACAGAAACCCCTCAGATTTCCTCAAAAATATCTTCATTTGTGTTTCGAAAATGAACGAAATTCTTGCGGGTTTGGAATGACATGAGGCTGAGTAATTAATGACCGAACTTTCATTTTGGGTGAAATATCCCTTTAAAATCGATTTGAACGGTAGGCTTATGGTTACGTCTGACATTAGAAATAATTGTGCCAATGTACACATTTCTAAAAGTAGTGTGCAAGTAATTTACTATTAATTACTAAAGAATGAGTAGGAGTGTCAAGACTAATTGGAATGGAAGAGTTTGCATATATTTGTGCAGGGAATGACAGTAGTTTGACATGCGGACCTGTGCACGAGATGTTGATGGGTCTCTCTATGTACTGCTGTCGGACCACCACCCCCGCAGCCCGGGCTTTAGCCTCCTGGTCGGTCTGTGTTCTCTCTTTCACATTCACCGCTGGAGGAATGAAGTAGCGCTTCTTCGTGCGGATCGGAACCAACACCGGAACCAACCGCACGTCCAGCAACGACGCGGCATACTGGGTTATACGAAAGAGGGATTTTGGCAATAAATGAGTATAAATGAAATTAATATTTGATTTTTAACAAAAGCTGTTGTTTTACCTTACAAAAACAAGGAAATAAATCACCCAAACATTTACAACATGCACTGAAGTCTCTAGCTGACACTCAATGAATATCATTCAGATGCATGTTCACTGAAGTTATGCGAGCAGCATTAATTTGCACATTCAAATGTATGTGCCCTGTTGAGGTAATATTTGAATAATTTCATACCTTAATATTTTGACATGTTATCGGTTGAAAGTATTTCAACGTCCTACAAATGGATGTCGCCATGTTCTTCCAACACTGACTTCTTCGTGTAACCGTCTTAAAAATGGCGAACATGTGCGGATCCGTCATCAGCGCCCTCCGGTGGAGAGGAGAGGCACTACAGTATCTGACCTCGCTTATCAGAGCGACAGTCGTTTGTCATTGCTGGATTACGTTTTTTTTTTTTTTTACGGATAATTTTATATAGATGTATTTTCAAAGAACATTTTACAGCCGACAAAAGATTTAATTTTTTTTTATCTAAAAAAACAAGATTCACTATAGAAATGTACGATTTTACACGATTTTATTTCCCATGACATTTTAAAACAAATCTTATTTCCATTTTTTTTTCATGACTGCTTTTAATAAGCTACCAGCTAATTTGAAAGCTGGAAGACAGATGAATCACTTGTAATTTGTAATACTTTTATAAATGCAAGCAGTCCATTGCAAAAGGTTCCTCTTGCATCAGATGTGATTTTCTTTATTGCCTATAGTTTTTGTTGTCTTCGGCAATAATGTTATGAAAATCTTGTGAAATCAGACTCTGTGACACTATCAATGATGTTTGAAATCTGCCATTCAAATTCATTCAGATACGCAAACTGCAGTCTGCATGTTGCACAGTGAACACAAGCTCCCAACATAAAATCTGTGCAAACATAGGTGAACTTACATCATCATATCTGTGCTTCAGTGACCAAAACTGAGCATAAAATCAAAGTCCTCGTCTTTCCTCCCATTGTACCTGCTGCACATGATTTGAACTCATTATTTACATTTATATTCATAACTGATATGTTTTTGAAACACTCATTTGAACTGTGTGAATGTCTATGGCATATACATTTAAGGAATACATGTTCATTTGTGTATCGTTTACAAAATGCACAAAAACATAAGAGCATGAAGAGTCATACCCCACATGTACAAATCCAATATAGCATTCCAACAATACAGCTGTGCCCACATTTTTTCTCATCTTCTTTAATGAACATCAATTGTATTTTTAAACAAAAGCACATTTCAGGGAAAGATTTAGAGACAGATTTTGATGATCATGAACCACATTGGGCGCCACATCAGATAATAAATTCTGTTTAGGGTTCAACAAGGGTACCATGCCATCGAACAATAAGGTTGACCAATTTAAGGCCTCCAAGTTTGAAACCAGGTTAAATCATGATTTTTTTTTTGGGGGGGGGGGGCTTTTTTTGATTTCAACAACAGTAAAATAATCATTAAATAGATCTTATAAAATGTTTCTCTAACAGCTTTGCATTATTATGGCAGATGCTAATGACATTTCTGACTTTGTGTAATTTATCTTCCATTGAGTTGATTTCTCTCGCAGTTTCTGGAGGTATAAACCACTGGAAGTGCTGAAGAACAGATGACAGTGACGTACAGGAGACAAGGGCAAAGACGTATGTATATATATAATCACATTTCAGATTAATTGAAGGTCTCAGAACTAATGCTCGCAGTTTACAATATAAACACAGTACCATGCTTATGCGTCTTCAGTCCTAACCGTTACTAACGATGGGATTCAGAGCCGTTACCATAGAGTCCGTTCAGTTACCAGTGCATCCCAACCTTTAACCTCCATTCTGCCCAGTCACGCCGCAGAGGATTCTGGGTAAAATGCGTATATAGCCATTACTAATAAAACCGAAGGAGGAGATCGTCATTTGTACAGAACAAAAGAAAACACAAACAAACAAACTTAAAATTGAGCATATCAACATCATGCTTGATTTTTTTTGTTGTATTTTTTTACCGGTAAATGCAAGGAAAGAGAGATGATTGCGTTTATAATACCACTGCATTAAGAGCAGTGCCATACTGAGGGAACGATGTGTTGACATGCATTACCAGCTCATAAAATAACATGGAGAATCTCTTGCGTTTCAGTCACAGCTCTGCTCGAGTGCACTTGCGCCTCCCACTGGCAGAATGGGGAACTACGTCACACTCAAAGCGTGAATAACGGTCTTGTTTCCTAGTTTCACTTCTCTTTATTGACTCTTGGGTAATTCTTAAGATGGAGTTGCAGTTTTGAAATCATTTCTGTTTTCGCTGAAGATAGCAAGATGATGCTCATTTTGGAGTGAGTGAGCAGGTCAGGGAGGGGTCAAAGTTCGGAGGTCAGACAGGGGGCGCTTTCCTCTGCAGGAGATAGTGGTGGATGTCATCTGCGTCTCTCTTGAGCCAGGCAGCGTTCAGGAGAATGTTCTCGCAGCACTGCTGTACCGTGCGCTCGGCCGCTGGTGCGTGATGACTTTCAAAGAAACTCTGAAAAACAACCAGCATTTCTGTGAAGAACAGCAACCTGCAGTGGTTATCAGTCTCTTTTTAAACGTAATACTCAAATTATCTGCATCTTTAACAGGATATCTGTTGTTTATATTGATATCTATTGCATCATGTAAAACTAAACAAACATCTTTCTGTGATAAGTTGTGTTTGATATGTTAGCTTGTCATACATTTCTTGAAAATAAATCCAACTTATATAATGGGGTGACATTCATTCATTCAAACTCAAAACAGTCCCTCCTTCAAACTTTTTTAATGTTTTTGAAAGAAGTCTATAATGCCCACCAAGGTTGCATTTATTTGATAAAAAATAGAGAAGAAAAATTAATAAAACGGCGTAATTTTATTATTTTTAAATAATAAAAAAAATAAAAATGTAATTTATTCCTGTGATGTCAAAGCTGATATTTTTTTAGCAGCCATCACTTTTATGAACCTTCAGAAATCATTCTAATATGCTGATTTGCTGCGCAAGAAACATTTCTTATTATTATCAATGTTGAAAACTCAACTCAAATGAATGATTTGCCAATTTGACAAATGAAAAATTTTACTTTTATCCAAGTGTAAAGTAATATCTAGTCTATGAAATATTTAGAGCAGAAAATAACTAGAAAAGCATCTCTCTCTCTCTCTCTCTCTCTCTCTCTCTCTCTCTCTCTCTCTCTAAACACATATATATATCTAATATATATATATATATCTATCTCCATAATTTTTTTATTTTTTTTTTTAGGCCAAAATATGACCAGGACATTTCATTGCCAGGTTTGGTGCGATTCAGACAATGAAACTTTAAAAATGTGAACATTTTAAAAATGTAAACAAATATCATTTTGTTTTATATTTTGTTATATCAGTGGCATTCATACAAGTGATACTCAGTTTTTTGGGTTATTGTATATACATTTTTATATCTTATTTATATCTTATTTAAATACATTATATTAACAGATAAGTGTTCCTGTACAGAGTTTATACATTTTTTTTAACATTTTTTTTTTTTTTAAATAACTGTATAAGGACTTAACTCATTCATAAAAATCTCATAAGGACTTCACTGATAAAAATCAATTCAACTCAACAATTTGCTTACATAGTTTACATTTGCTTACTCCCAAAAGCAAAATCCAGTCAAATTAAATGAAATTTCCAAGGAGAACATAACTAGAAAATCGTATACAGAAATTTCCATTCACTTTGGACAACAGTCTGTAGAATGCAAAAAAGGTTTTGCTAGAGACATGAGAAAGCACATGATGCTCACCTTAACTTCAGCAGCCATTTTATCTATTGCAAACCCATCCACTGTCAGCTGCAGTGAAGAATCAAAAACAACGCATCAACACTGCATATATATACACAGTGATTATACACAATCAAATTAGATTTGGTACAGTATTTCTCATCTTGATTTACTTTACTGTGTTGCTTATTTTATCTGTGCTTTCGTCTCTACTTGTGTACTGCACTTGTTTCACCTTGATGAGTCTTGATATGAGGAAGCCGCCCTGGTAACGGTTATGAAGTTCTTCCCAGTTGTCCTTAACAAATTTCCATGCAGCTTTGCGCCCCTGTTTGCTGCTTCCAGCTACGCCCCCGATTACAGACACAGTGTCCTGGGGACGAACCTCCTCCTAAAAATACCACAGCCAGAATCAGTGTCACTGTTCACACTGTCACTGGAGATTTTTAATTCCTACAGATTCAGATTAGAGCGTGTCAGATTGGATTTCTTGTGAGAATGTTAATTTAAAGATGAGAGAGAGATGAAAATGGTGATTTATTGATCTCCTGGGGATTTAAAAAAAAAAAATCTTTAAACATTAATACAACAATATTAAAGATACATAAACATACAATTATGTCAAAATGCCCATCTTGTGGAGTACTCAAACACAGTCGGTTATGTCTTAAATGAACATAAACAGTTGGGAAAAAACTGTTCAGTATATTCATTCTTAAAGTGACAGCAGCTTTATAAACCTGTCTGTGTCATTAATGTCAATCAAACAACAAAAAACAAAGAGAAAATCATTCACTGCTCTTAACTAAGAATCAATTTATATTTAATTCATACAGAGAAGACTATGCAGTGTTTTACTTTTATATTCAAATTAAATGACCCTTCATACCACAGCTCTACCAAACTTGGATGTCTTTTCCAGTAATAAACAAACACTGTTAAGTTGTTTTGATTGATACTGTGAAGCAGCTTTGATACAATCTGTATTGTGAAAAGCGCTATATAAATATATTTGACTTGACTTGAACATTTGATTATTCAATTTATGTAGTATTTCTTTTATGCTAAATAAGTCTACTGTACCAAAAAGTATATTTAATTTGTATCTTTGTTCTATTATATTGTTCCTCTTGTTTGTATTATTCGTTCTTATTTTTAACAGCTAAAATAAAATAACAAAAATAGCTTTAATCATGATATTATGGAAGCTTGTTTCCACCACAGAATAAAAAAACATTTAAAAGATAATTGCAACTTTTTATCTTTTAATCTTTTCAATTACTCGTCGTAATTGCGAGTTATAAAGTCAAACGGAAACAAGCTTCCATTTGATATATATCATCATTGTGAAATAAGATTTTGCATTTCACCCACCCTTATTGACAGGTTTGGCAGGATTCACCCAAAAGGACATGACTAATGTCTCCTGCCATTCCATTTATCTGTTCAAACATTTCACACTCTTGCAAAGCGTGTTTCTGGTGCTTTCAAATTTTTCCACA